TAAAATCAACTGATATAATCAACAGATATAATCCACTGACATAATCAACAGATATACCACCATAAGGATGGACCAAGATAACACAAAACGATACATGTACATCGCTATTTGCAATACGTATATCGGATGTTTCATAAAGTGAGTGTTGTGCTGCACTCTGTGACCAACACTAAAGCTGTTGTCATGGTTTTCTGCAGGTATGTGCAGGTAATCAGGTGGGGGAGGGCAGGGGGAGTGCTACATGTAGAGGCCTACAGCAGGCCTGCCCTTGTGCTACCCTGGCCTGGCCTTTTGGGACCCTGTTCTACCCTAACCTGCCCCTATTGCTACCCTAACCTGCCCCTATTGCTACCCTGGCCTGCCCCTGTGCTACCCTGGCCTGCCCCTAGTGCTACCATGTGCTACCCTGTCCTGCCCCTGTGCTACCATGTCCTGCCCCTATTGCTACCATGTCCTGCCCCTGTGCTACTCTGTGCTACCCTGACCTGCCCTAGTGCTACCATGTCCTGCCCCTATTGCTACCATGTCCTGCCCCTGTGCTACCCTGGCCTGCCTCTAGTGCTACCCTGTGCTACCCTGTGCTACCCTGACCTGCCCTAGTGCTACCCTGTGCTACCCTAGTCTGCCCCTGTGCTACTCTGTGCTACCCAAGCCTGCCCCTGTGCTACACTGTGCTACCCTGGCCTGCCTCTAGTGCTACCCTGTGCTACCCTGGCCTACCCGTGTGCTACCCTGTGCTACCCTGTCCTGCCCTGTATTACCCTGTGCTACCCTGTCCTGCCCCTGTGCTACCCTGTCCTGCCCCTGTGCTACCCTGGCCTGCCCTGTGCTACCCTGGCCTGCCCCTTGTGCTACCCTGTGCTACCTGTGCTCCCTGGCTTGCCCCTAGTGCTACCCTGTGCTACCCTGGCTTGCCCCTAGTGCTACCCTGTGCTACCCTGGCCTGCCCCTGTGCTACCCTTGCCTGCCCATGTGCTACCTTGTGCTACCCTGGCCTGCCCCTTGTGCTACCCTGTGCTACCTGTGCTACCCTGGCTTGCCCCTAGTGCTACCCTGTGCTACCCTGTGCTACCCAGGCCTGCCCCTAGAGCTACCCTGGCCTGCCCCTTGTGCTACCCTGTGCTACCCTGGCTTGCCCCTAGTGCTACCCTGTGCTACCCTGGCCTGCCCCTTGTGCTACCCTGGCCTGCCCCTGTGCTACCCTGGCCTGCCCCTTGTGCTACCCTGGCCTGCCCCTGTGCTACCCTGGCCTGCCCCTTGTGCTACCCTGTCTTGCCCCTGTGCTACCCTGGCCTGCCCCTGTGCTACCCTGGCCTGCCCCTTGTGCTACCCTGTGCTACCCTGTCCTGCCCCTGTGCTACCCTGGTCTGCCCCTGTGCTACCCTGGCCTGCCCCTTGTGCTACCCTGTGCTACCCTGGCCTGCCGCTGTGCTACCCTGGCCTGCCCCTTGTGCTACCCTGGCCTGCCCCTTGTGCTACCATGTCCCGCCCCTGTGCTACCCTGGCCTGCCCCTGTGCTATCCTGGCATGCCCTCTGCTACCCTGTGCTACCATGGCCTGCCCCTCTGCTACCCTGGGCTACCCTGTGTTCCCTACATCAATACGCCGATCGATAAACACGTCAATTCACGATCAATCAGGGCCGGTGATTAGGTCAGAGGCGGCCAGGGATGGATGCGTGGGTGAGCAGGACTGTGGTCCACATAGGTTTGGTGGTCCGTCTATTTTATGTGGTCTAGATAGGTTTGGTGGTCGTTTGTTTTATGTGGTCCACGTCTGTTTTATGTGGTCTAGATAGGTTTGGTGGTCCGGCTGTTTTATGTGGTCCAGATAGGTTTGGTGGACCGTCTGTTTTATGTGGTCTAGATAGGTTTGGTGGACCGTCTGTTTTATGTGGTGTAGATAAGTTTGGTGGTCGTTTGTTTTATGTGGTCCACGTCTGTTTTATGTGGTCTAGATAGGTTTGGTGGTCCGTTTGTTTTATGTGGTCCACGTCTGTTTTATGTGGTCTAGATAGGTTTGGTGGTCCGGCTGTTTTATGTATAATAGATAGGTTTGGTGGTCCGTTTGTTTTATGTGGTCCACGTCTGTTTTATGTGGTCTAGATAGGTTTGGTGGTCCGGCTGTTTTATGTATAATAGATAGGTTTGGTGGTCCGTTTGTTTTATGTGGTCCACGTCTGTTTTATGTGGTCCAGATAGGTTGGGTGTTCCGTCTGTTTTATGTGGTCCAGATAGGTTTGGTGGTCGGTCTGTTTTATGTGGTCCACGACTGTTTTATGTGGTCCAGATAGGTTTGGTGGTCCGTCTGTTTTATGTGGTCCAGATAGGTTTGGTGGACCGTCTGTTTTATGTGGTCCAGATAGGTTTGGTGGTCTAGATAGGTTTGGTGGTCCGTCTGTTTTATGTGGTCTAGATAGGTTTGGTGGTCGGTCTGTTTTATGTGGTCTAAATAGGTTTGGTGGTCCAGCTATACTGGTGATACATGTAGAGGCCTACAGCAGGCTGTATTGGTGATAGGGACCTACAGCAGGCTGGATTGGTGATAACAGCCTACAGCAGGCTGTATTGGTGATAGGGGCCTACAGCAGACTGTATTGGTGATAGGGGTCTACAGCAGGCTGTATTGGTGATAGGGACCTACAGCAGGCTGTATTGGTGATAGAGACCTACAGCAGGCTGTATTGGTGATAGGGACCTACAGCAGGCTGTATTGGTGATAGGGGTCTACAGCAGGCTGTATTGGTGATAGGGACCTACAGCAGGCTGTATTGGTGATAGGGACCTACAGCAGGCTGTATTGATGATAGAGACCTACAGCAGGCTGTATTGGTGATAGGGACCTACAGCAGGCTGTATTGGTGATAGGGACCTACAGCAGGCTGTATTGATGATAGAGACCTACAGCAGGCTGTATTGGTGATAGGGACCTACAGCAGGCTGTATTGGTGATAGAGACCTAAAGCAGACTGTATTGGTGATAGGGACCTACAGCAGGCTGGATTGGTGATAACAGCCTACAGCAGGCTGTATTGGTGATAGGGGCCTACAGCAGGTGTGTTGGTGATAGGGGCCTACAGCAGGCTGGATTGGTGATAGGGGCCTACAGCAGGCTGGATTGGTGATAGGGGCCTACAGCAGGCTGTATTGGTGCTACATATAGAAACTTGCATCAGGCTGTATTGGAGTTCCCAACTATCTACAAGCCTACAGCTGTGCCCAAACAATGCAACATGCAGGATTAGCCGCAGGTGTCGGGACATTAACATTCCTTTCAAACACCTCGGTCAGGACTTGAGATTCAGGTGTGAGCTTATGTTGTGTGGTGGGTCATGTGTGAAGTCATGTGTGAGGTCATGTGTGAGTTCACGTCATGTGTTAGGTCATGTGTGAGGTCATGTGTGAGGTCAGGTCATGTGTTAGGTCATTTGTGAGGTCAGGTCATGTGTTAGGTCATGTGTGAGGTTAGGTCATATGTGAGGTCAGCTCATGTCTGAGGTCAGGTCATGTGTTAGATCATGTGTGAGGTCATGTGTGAGGTCAGGTCATGTGTTAGGTCATGTGTTAGGTCATGTGTGAGGTCAGGTCATGTCTTAGGTCACATGTGAGGTTAGGTCATATGTGAGGTCAGGTCATGTGTTAGGTCATGTGTTAGGTCATGTGTGAGGTCATGTGTGAGGTTAGGTCATATGTGAGGTCAGCTCATGTCTGAGGTCAGGTCATGTGTTAGATCATGTGTGAGGTCATGTGTGAGGTCAGGTCATGTGTTAGGTCATGTGTTAGGTCATGTGTGAGGTCAGGTCATGTCTTAGGTCACATGTGAGGTTAGGTCATATGTGAGGTCAGGTCATGTGTTAGGTCATGTGTTAGGTCATGTGTGAGGTCATGTGTGAGGTTAGGTCATATGTGAGGTTACGTCATGTGAGGTCAGGTCATGTGTGAGATCAGGTTATGTTTCAGGTCATGTGTGATGTCAGGTCATATGTGAGGTCAGGTCATGTGTTAGGTCATGTGTGAGGTCATGTGTGAGGTCATGTGTGAGGTCATATGTGAGGTCAGGTCATGTGTGAGGTCAGGTCATATGTGAGGTCAGGTCATATGTGAGGTCAGGTCATGTGTTAGGTCATGTGTGAGGTCCAGTACACATTGGAATGAACACAGGCAGGTAACAATATCATGTGATTCTCTACTAGCCATCGATACAGTAAATCCTTTACAACAAACCAACGTGACAAACTTAAACACATATACACAAAACTTGACCGTACACATCCATAGCACAACCTAGAACATACGCATACATTACAATTAGGCAAATATCGTGAACATACACAAATAATAACACAGCTACAAATCTTGAACATACATAACACATAACTACGAACATACACAAACATAAAAGATATGTATATATCGTATAAATGCACATACATAACACATAGGTACACATCTTGAACATACACCATACTCATACATAACACAGCTACCATTCTTGAACATACATATACATAACACATAGTTACACATCTTGAACATACATATACATAACACATAGTTACACATCTTGAACATACACATACATAACACATAGCTACACATCTTGAATATACATATACATAACACATAGCTACACATCTTGAACATACACATACATAACACATAGCTACACATCTTGAATATACACATACATAACACATAGCTACACATCTTGAATATACACATACATAACACAAAGCTACACATCTTGAATATACACATACATAACACATAGCTACACATCTTGAATATACACATAAATAACACAAAGCTACACATCTTGAATATACACATACATAACACATATGTACACATCTCGAACATACACATATACAACACATAGCTTCACATCGTGAACATACACATACATCACACATACGAAGACTTCTTGAACATACACATACATAACACAGATCCAGACAAACCGTACACGTAACACAGACCTCATCTACCGAGAGTACTCACGAGTTGGGGTCAAGGACGTGCGAGTGATGTGACTCAGCCACGCTGGACGAGTCATCACTGGCGTCATCATCCAAGACGTCATTCAAGCTCTCGTCCTCTCGGTCCTCATCCGGCGTCCTGTCGTCCTGCAGCATCCCGCCCTCCATCTTCTTCCGCTCCAGCCTCATGAGGTGCTTGTCCTTGTGGACGCCATTGTTACCTCCCATCTCCAGCAGGGTGACCTCTTGACCTCCGCCCTTATCCATCCCGCCTAGACCATAGTTACCATCACTCGCTGCAGTAACAGCTCAAGGTAGGAGCGGTAGGACAGCGGTCAGCGGCACTAGAGGAAATGATATCCAAAGTTATCCAGTTTCCTAACAATATCCTAGGTTATCCATTTACTAACAATATCCTTGGTTATAAAGTTTCCTAACAATATCCTAGGTTATCCAGTTTCCTAACAATATCCTAGGTTATCCAGTTTCCTTAAGGATATCCTAGCTTATTCAGTTTCTTAACACAACAATACCCTAGGTTATCCAGTTTCCTAACAATATCCTAGGTTATCCAGTTTCCTTAAGGATATCCTAGCTTATCCAGTTTCTTAACACAACAATACCCTAGGTTATCCAGTTTCCTAACAATATCCTAGGTTATCCAGTTTCCTAACAATATTCTAAGTTATCCAGTTTACTAACACAACAATATCCTATATTATCCATTTTCATACCACAACAATATCCTAGATTATCCTGGTTCCTAACACAAAATATCCTAGATTATCCATTTTCCTAAAATAACAACACCCTAGATTATCCAGTTTCCTAAAATAACAACACCCTAGATTATCCATTTTCCTAAAATAACAACACCCTAGATTATCCAGTTTCCTAAAATAACAACACCCTAGATTATCCAGTTTCCTAAAATAACAACACCCTAGATTATCCATTTTCCTAAAATAACAACACCCTAGATTATCCAGTTTCCTAAAATAACAACACCCTAGATTATCCATTTTCCTAAAATAACAACACCCTAGATTATCCATTTTCCTAAAATAACAACACCCTAGATTATCCATTTTCCTAAAATAACAACACCCTAGATTATCCATTTTCCTAAAATAACAACACCCTAGATTATCCAGTTTCCTAAAATAACAACACCCTAGATTATCCATTTTCCTAAAATAACAACACCCTAGATTATCCATTTTCCTAAAATAACAACACCCTAGATTATCCATTTTCCTAAAATAACAACACCCTATATTATCCATTTTCCTAAAATAACAACACCCTAGATTATCCATTTTCCTAAAATAACAACACCCTAGATTATCCATTTTCCTAAAATAACAACACCCTAGATTATCCAGTTTCCTAAAATAACAACACCCTAGATTATCCATTTTCCTAAAATAACAACACCCTAGATTATCCATTTTCCTAAAATAACAACACCCTAGATTATCCATTTTCCTAAAATAACAACACCCTAGATTATCCATTTTCCTAAAATAACAACACCCTAGATTATCCAATTTCCTATCACGACAATATCCTAGATTATCCACATTTTCTACCCAACACAAAAAGTCCCTAATGAATCCACGCTATTTAACATACAGTAACGTATATTCTTACATCTTTTAAAAGAACCAAATTTTTTTCTTAACCGTTTTAAGGTGTGTAACATTTGCAACAATATCATTAACCGTTTTAAGGTGTGTAACATATGCAACAATATCATTAACCGTTTTAAGGTGTGTAACATTTGCAACAATATCAGCCTGTTTCGACTGATTCTGTTGATTTCAACCAATATAACACTATCCTAAATTATCCTAACTTTATATTGTCTGGGGCCACTTCTGTTGTTTTTAACCAACATAACATTATCCTAAATTATCCTAACTTTATGTTGTTGGGGCCACTTCTGTTGATTTCAACCAATATAACATTATCCTAAATTATCCTAACTTTATGTTGTTGGGGCCATTTCTGTTGTTTTTAACCAATATAACATTATCCTAAATTATCTTAACTTTATATTGTTGGGGCCACTTCTGTTGATTTCAACCAATATAACATTATCCTAAATTATCCTAACTTTATGTTGTCTGACGATCTCGTTTTAGCTAGTCAGCCGTCAGTCTAAAATTGTGCGGATCGGAAAATGTGTAACTCATTCTTTCTAAGCCTGCTGCAGTAACTTAGGACATTCTGGCATAGGCTTCTGTACTAGAGAGTCTGTTAGGTAATTATGCTCACTGTTAGGCTAATATGGCCACGCAATTATCGATAGGGCCACTTTACTATCACTATGGCCATTTTACTATCACTATGGCCATTTTACTATCACTATGGCCATTTTACTATCACTATGGCCATTTTACTATCACTATGGCCATTTTACTATCACTATGGCCATTTTACTATTGCTATGGCCACTTTACTACCACTATGGCCATTTTACTATCACTATGGCCATTTTACTATCACTATGGCCATTTTACTATCACTATGGCCATTTTACTATCACTATGGCCATTTTACTATCACTATGGCCATTTTACTATTGCTATGGCCACTTTACTACCACTATGGCCATTTTACTATCACTATGGCCACTTTACTATCACTATGGCCACTTTACTATCATTATGGCCATTTTACTATCACTATAGCCACTTTACTATCACTATGGCCACTTTACTATCATTATGGCCACTGTTAGGTTAATATGGCCACTTATCTATCACTATGGCCATGTAATTTTCGATTCGTCCACTCAACAATAACACTTTTCTATAGATGCTATAGACTATCAACTGCCACGTTGTAAGACATACACACTGTACTAAAGTAATGATTGAAAATTATAATCCACAGACAACAACACAACCTCCGCACTCATTAATTAAGCTAATTACCACGGAGCTCAATACCTTGCGTGAAAAAAATAATCCTAACCGCTAGACCACACGGCCTAACCTGCGGCCTGGGTTAACATGGGTAAACCACAGGAAAACTTTCCTCATGTTTCCAGACGTTTGGGTGTGTTATCCTATCGGTAAACCAAGATCCCAGTCTTGGTGTGTTATCCTATCGGTAAACCAAGATCTCAGTCTTGGTGTGTTATCCTATCGGTAAACCAAGCTCCCAGTCTTGGTGTGTGTTATCCTATCGGTAAACCACGATCCCAGTCTTGGTGTGTGTTATCCTATCGGTAAACCACGATCCCAGTCTTGGTGTGTTATCCTATCGGTAAACCAGGATCCCAGTCTTGATGTGTTATCCTATCGGTAAACCAAGCTCCCACAAGTGCCACGAGACGATCCAGGTGGCAAACAATGTGGAGCAGCCTGTCCTCCGGCAGTCTGTACACCAGGCCGGCTGGAACCAAGGCCGAGACCATCCCCCTCCTCCCCACCCCAGCGGCCCCGTCTGCTAGCAGGAGAAACAACAAATTGCGGGGCGCGTGCAATTCATCTTCGATCGAATGAGATCGATGCTGGTTCGTCTTCTTCCTTCGAATATGTCGAGGTTCGTTTTCCTTCGTGTATGTGAAGGCTCGTTTTCTTCCTTCGTGTAAGTGGAAGTTCGTCTTCCTCCTTCGTGCCTAGTATAAACATGGCAAGTATTAAGTATCAAATGTGTATCAACTTGTCTGGTTCCTTCAAATATTTGATTTCTGAAAATCAATATTTATCAATATCCTCCCCCCCCCCACCCTAGCCTACCAAAACCTCCCCACCCTACAGCTGATAACCCAATACCTCCCCACCCTAGTCTACCAATACCTCCCCACCCTACAGCTGGTATACCAAAACCTCCCCACCACACAGCTGATAACCCAATACCTCCCCACCCTACAGCTGGTATACCAATACCTCCCCACCACACAGCTGGTATACCAATACCTCCCCACCACACAGCTGATAACCCAATACCTCCCCACCCTACAGCTGGTATACCAATACCTCCCCACCACACAGCTGATAACCCAATACCTCCCCACCCTACAGCTGGTATACCAAAACCTCCCCACCACACAGCTGATAACCCAATACCTCCCCACCCTACAGCTGGTATACCAATACCTCCCCACCCTACAGCTGATAACCCAATACCTCCCCACCCTACAGCTGGTATACCAAAACCTCCCCACCCCACAGCTGGTAACCCAATACCACCCCACCCTAGTCTACCAATACCTCCCCAGCCCACATCACCTCCCACAATGCATCATCTAGTCTCCCCTGTAAGAGAACATCACTTAGCTTATTGACGTGATTCTACAAGAACTTGGCCCATAATTCTCCCTCGTTCCATTCGATGCCGTCTCATATAGCCGTGAAGGCCCTAGGATTATCGGAGCTTTACAAAACCAAGAGCTGGCACATATGCTAGACAGCCAGTGGTCATGCGTTATATATGGTGCTCATGCGTTATATGGTGGTCATACAAGGGGGTGTAGGACAAAAGGCCGACATCCAAAAGGCCGACAAGACAAAAGGCCGACACGGACAAAAGACCGACTTGGACAAAAAGCCGACAGCCCCAAGGCCGACAGACCCTGTATATATATATATATATATATATATATATATATATATATATATATATATATATATATATATATATATATATATATATATATATATATATATATATATATATATATATATATATATATATGTGTGTGTGTGTGTGTGTGTGTGAGAGAGAGAGAGAGAGAGAGAGTGTGTGTGTGTATGTATAAAGGGTTACACAAGTGTATTGTGTCAGGGTTGTGTACCCTCCTGTAAATTGAAAACTTCCAAAGTTGCTTGCCTGCTGCACCACCGTTTATTGCCGGCCATAAAATACGTCATGGGCACTTTAGCAGGGGCGGTGGGGGGGGGGGGCGATCGGTTGAGGTCAGGAAAGATTTTACAACAGTGGCGTTGACGAGAGGTTGGTGGTAGGCAGGGGCGGAGTTGGCGTGCAAGCATCAAGACAACTTAGAACTTGGTGGGAAAATTAGAGAGAGGGGGTGGAGTGGTAGAGAGCGAGAATGACAGTGTGTGTGTGTGGGGGGGGGGGGTTGAGAGAGAGAATGGGAGTGTGGGGGAGAGAGAGAGAGCGTGTAGAGCAGTGTGGAAGAGAGAGATTGGGAAAGATCGAGAAAGAAAATGAACGAAAGAATAAGAAAGATAGAGCTAAACTTATTGTCTTTTTTCTGGGCACATAAACGAAACCCCAGGCAGAAAATTACTTTCAGAGAAGACAACTAATTATTTAATTATTTCTTGCCCCTCAGATTTTTGCACTACGTAACTGTAACCTTGACCTTGTTATCACCCCTCCCCAAACAACCTCCCACCCCAAATTGACAATTTTCTCAGAGTATCACAAAATAGCGAACTGGTGATAACGTTTATCATTGGAGTCAAGAATCTGTGATAGTATTTCATTTCTGTTGACTTACTGGTTCTCCATGAATTATGGAGGTGGTTCTATATGAATTATCAAGGGATTTTTACCTTGAAACAAAATCAATCAATTGCCTGTCAGCTCTTGAGCTCCATTGTGAGGTTATGACACACTTTGAGATGTGTGTTGGGGACTTTTGTTGTGTTTAAACCAGGGTTTATGGTTTTTGTAGTGTTTGGGTTTTATGGCGTTCTGGGCAGAATTCAGTTTGGTGGGGGTGGGTTGTGTGGGTTGTGTGCGGCAGTTAATGGCGTGTGTGTTAGCCGTGTATAAATCGTGTGTTGGTCGGTGTAGGCCGTGTGTGGATCTGTGTGGGTTGTGTGTGTGTTGTGTGAGGAAGTTAATGGCGTGTGTGTTAGCCGTGTATAAATCGTGTGTGGGTTGTGTGTGGGTTGTGAGTGGGTTGTGAGTGGGCCGTGGTTAAAACAAACCCGGGCAGTCGTCGGTTTTCTATTGTGCCGTATGCGGTTCGTATATGGGCCTAATTTGTGTCCTATATGAGGTTGGTGTGGGCTGTATGTGGGCCGTATGTGTGTCGTAAATGGGTTTGGCCTGTGCTGTGCTTTAGAAAACTTTTGTCAGCTATAGACGCACCATCAATGAAAAAAAATCACAACTTATTTTAAAAAAACTAATAAGCAAAGAATGCCATTCGTCGATGTGGCATTTGTGGCGATTGATAACGTTTCAGACAGAATGTGCATGGGATGCTAAAAATAGAAAGTAGGTTAAATCACCAGACCGAGTCGTATCAAAAGTTGACCAATACAAAAAGTCGTTACAAAATAGACCTTAAAAATGCTGGCCAATACAAATTACCGTCACAAAAGTTGACCAACACAAAAACCTTGACAAAAGTTGACCAAGACAAAAAACCTTGACAAAAGTTGACCAAGACAAAAACCTTGACAAAAGTTGACCAAGACAAAAACCTTGACAAAAGTTGACCAAGACAAAAGTTGACCATCAATCTAGGCTGCTGTTGTTGACAAGCCCTCCAGTCCCACTCGAGAAACTGTTAACCAGGGGAGTTAACCAGGGGAGTTAACCGCGACCAGCGATTGGACGAGCGGCGAGTGGTAATCATGTTACGTCACTTCCGTCTCCATCTGGCCACGGGGGAGGCGTGAGCGTGTCGGACCTTTTGACCTGCTCACACTTTGGTTAGCTGGGAGGTGCTCACGCTAGCCGGTGAGGCTAGCACTAACGTCATCACTGGCCACTGGTCAGTGGGCCACACTAAACTAGATGGCTGTGGGCAGCACTAACGTCATCACTGGCCACTGGTCAGTGGGCCACACTAAACAAGATGGCTGTGGCCAGCACAAACTCCATCACTGACCACTGGTCGGTCATAGTAAATGGGACAAAATAAAAAAGGCGACTGTGGGCAGCACTAACTTTATCACTGACCACTGGCCAGTGGGCCACACTAAATAAGGCGACTGTGGCCAGGACTAACATCATCACCGACCACTGGTCAGTCACAGTAACTGGGCCAATATAAAAAAGGCGACTGTGTCCAGCACTAACTTTATCATTGACCACTGGCCAGTAAATGGGCCACACTTGGAAAAGTCGATTACTAAAGCAGCCTCTCTGATAACTTTAGAGTTGATCAAGAAGCTCTAGGACATGCAGCTGACCTCATCTGTAGGTACTTAATCCAACGTGACCTCCGTGAGTACTGCATGCTGCTGCGGTACTGTGTGTAGGTGGCTGAGACTATCACTGACCAGTGGTCAATTCCCAGACCTTAACACAGGGCGAGACAACACATTGCGGTGCGGGGATAATTACGGCGTTAATTAAGCTTAAAAAAACATAACTCTTTAAAAATTTTAAATCAACAATTCCCATCACACTTCTCACCCCCCCCCCCCCACACACACACACACATCCCTGCCCTATTAACAAAAATTGTCATGGCCCCATAAATGACACCAAACTAAACATAGAATCCTCACATCTTTATAACCACACCAATATTCAATATCGTCACACAACGGTCGTCCTACCATTATCGACACCTAGTTACGCCAAATGTGATACATTTGTCTTGGAACATGCACCATTGTGATTGTAATCATTAAGTTAAGTGTATGATCTCGTTCTTTGTCGTGGAAGGAACAACAGCGTTTCTGTCGTCGTCCGCTGAAAACCACACAATTTTACAATGCCTGGAACAAAGGATGATGTTGCTGTTGAGTCAGAAACAAAAGAGACCACAGAGCCAATTGTAGTAAAGACAGTTGAAGATGTGAAAGGCAAAGCTGATGAGGCTGATGCTGAAGCAGAAGAACAAACAGAAGAAAACACAAAAACAGAAGATTCAGAAGAAAATACAAATGAAAATGCTAGCTCAGAAGAGACAGAATCAAAAACAGAAGAAACAACAGCAGAAAAGCGATCTGTAGATGAAAAAGAAAGTGAAGATGCAGAAGATGAAAGTCCGAAGAAAAAGGCAAAGACAGACTCAAATGAATCATCGAATGGCAGAAACAACTGAATCTGCTTAGTTCTATTATATATATAATTTTTTTTTCCTTTTCATTTTGAACTTAATCACAAACTTGTAAAAATGTGTTTATCATCATGTTCAGGAGAAAACTGAGATATTTATAATCAGGTTGTACACTTCATCATGGTTCTCATCATTTGTACTGTTCTTGTAATAAACATCTTAATGTTTTAAAAAAAAAAAAAAAAAAATAAGTGTATGCATGTATGGCTTCAGTAGTTGTAGGTATGGTACCAGTTGCCAATAATTCGTCAGTCGAAGCACATCAGAGCGTTTGCCTATCTCAGTGAGCCATTGTTGTAATCAACAGGGTTGGCTACTCATGATTGATCTTTAGCCAAAAGCATTCGTGAGAAACGTACGGCACAAAATACGACGTAGGTTTAGTATCTCATTAACTTTAATTAAGATTTATTATGCTAATTACTTGTATCTCCTTAACTTTAATTAAGATTTGTTATGCTAATTACTTGAGAAGAAATGACAACAAGAAAAAAATTACATTAAAGTCTTGGATAAAATCAGCTTAAAAACAAGATAAAACAGTAACTAAAGTCCATGAGAGAAAACTCCATAAGACTGAAACTAACATAACATTAAGGTCAAGGCTACTAGGCAACCCGGATGTGGCTGTTAAATGGACGGTATTTGGTAATGTCATAATTGATTAGTAAATAAATAATTGATTAGTAAATAAATAATTGATTAGTAATTACAAGACTACTAACATGTTTAAGGGGATGTACGGACAAATGTTTAATCTTTAATGGCAAAGTATTTTAAGACAAGGTTCTAAATTATTAGATTTTTTTTAAAAAGATTCTGTGTGTGTGAGTGTATTTAGCGGTTTTTGATTATATGATTCATAAAGTGTGTATATTCCATTACGTGTGTCACAATGAACTATATGTGTACATGTCACTATGTGTCACAATGAATTATATGTGTATATTCCATTACGTGTGTCACAATGAATTATATGTGTATATGTCACTATGTGTGTCACAATGATTGTGTATATGTGCGTATGTCGAACAGCTGTGACATATGTTCCCAACATAAAAAGCCCCCCCCATTAGTCTCCGCTACCACACATCATAGATCTGGTAACAAAAAGACTTTCTGTGTAGTTTTTACATCTCACTTCTTTAAAACAAAAATTCTCTCGCACGTTAGATTCGAACTCCCCGGCAGAAAAATGTTTAATCTAAACGTTTAGAGGGGGGGGGGGGGTTGTTATCTAAAGTGCATATCCTACGAATCGTGTTATTGATAAAAATATAAGTTCAAATATCCTACCTGAATACTGGACGGTGGTGTCTTATCTCACGTCAGTGGACTGTGAACGTTCAGTGGTGTCTTTTCTCACGTCAGTGCTAGCAGACGACCAGAATATAGCAGACGTCACAGTCGTCACGTTGAGCATGTATCTCGGTCACGTTAAAAAACGAGTGATCACGTTGTATCGTGACCTACCAGCATGTAAACATCACGTGACTTAAACAACCCTATGAGAATATTCAGCGTTCAATGAACTCTACGAGTCAACATCAGCCCGCGCCAATCTCGTCATTACGTCTGCTACGCCCACCCCCACCTGTCTGATAAAGACAACCACTGTCCACCCAACCATTTCCCATGCACCCATTCAACCGTGACGGCCCCGTGTGTGATAAATGTCGTCAATCAACCTTGACACTATGCACTTTTGCCTACGATCACTTGGCTATAAATAGCAACAACTGCGCCTGTTTGATTGGTTGGTTGTTACCAAGCCAATAAGTTTAAACAACTCTCGGCCTAATTTAGTTCTTACAGTACTGAGGGGGAGGGGGGGGGGGGGGTTCAATCAAGTGCCTTGTTCAATCTTTGAGGGTTCACAACATCTCCAGTGTAAAGATTATGTATCCATGTGAAGTAGGACCCACAATATTTCCCCATGTTAATCAGGACCCACCAAATATTCCCATGAAAATATAGGCTAATAATAAATTCCCCTTAAAATATAAGCCCATACCATATTCCCATGAAAATATAGGCCCACAATATCTCTACCTTACAATACAGGCCCATACTATATTCACCTTACAATATAGGCCCACAATATATTCACCTTACAATATAGGCCCACACAATGTTCCCATGGAAATCTCCAGTGGTCCGTAGTAGGCCCACAATTTTCTTCTTTTAATGAATGTGGGGTTAATTGGAGTTGGTGTTAATGAATGTGGGGTTAATTGGTGTTGGGTTTAATGAATGTGGGGTTAATTGGTGTTGGGGTTAATGAATGTGGGGTTAATTGGTGTTGGGGTTAATGAATGTGGGGTTAATTGGAGTTGGGGTTAAGGTGTGGGGTCATTTGTGTTAGGTTAAAGCGGGGGGCTGCTAAATGTGGAGTGAATGTGTGGGGTTGCTGTATTTGTTGCTGTGTGTGGATTTATGTGGGTTACTGAGTGTTGAATTAGGTGTGGGTGTGGGAGAGTTATGTGTGAGGTTGTGTGTGAGCTTGATGTGTGTGAGCTTGATGTGTGTGGGATTAATGGGTGTGGGATTAATGTGTGTGGGATTAATGTGTGTAGATTACAAGAGAGAAGTACTGTGTGTTGTAGGCTTATCTATGTGTGGTGTAAATGTGTCGGCTGTGAGGGGAAATGTGAGGGGAGATGTGACAGTCTATGTAACACCTTTATGTGTGGGTGGGTCAGTTGAGAGCTTTCAAATAACCAGAAAACCCACCCCTCCCCATTATAGAAAGGTTTAGCCATCAGAAAACCCACCCCTCCCCATTATAGAAAGGTTTAGCCATCAGAAAACCCACCCCTCCCCATTATAGAAAGGTTTAGCCATCAGAAAACCCACCCCTCCCCATTATAGAAAGGTTTAGCCATCAGAAAACCCACCCCTCCCCATTATAGAAAGGTTTAGCCATCAGAAAACCCACCCCTCCCCATTATAGAAAGGTTTAGCCATTGTTTCATACTGTATGCCTACTTGTTAGCACATTTTTAAAGACCTGTTCGTTAAAAAAAAAAGAAACAGAAATAGAATCAAGTTTACAGTTTGGTTTATAAAATATTGCTGTGGAATCTCTAGACTCTAGGTCAGGTCAGCCATTTTAGCTTTCCTCCCATGTCTACATCAGCTGACATGTATTGTCCTCGAATCTATAAATAGCTTTTCCTACTTGAAGTCAGACGAAACTATTGGCTAATGCTGTTAGCGTTACACCCTAGTTCTGGCCAACTTCTCAGAACTTGTTCATGCCAGTTTTTAGAGTAAATATGATACCACTCAAGATTACACAATAACAAATACTATAGAATAAATGCATGTCTACATAGGCATATATATTTACATGTTATTGTATATCATACATAATATATGCGTGCATATTAAAAGAATATATGTAATATAATTATATCTACGTGTATATATATGTATATATATATATATATATATATATATATATATATATATATATATATATATATATATATATATATATATATATATATATATATATATATATATATATATATATATATATATATATATATATATATATATATATATGTATATATATATGTGTGTGTGTGCGTGTGTATATATATATATATATATATATATATATGTGCATGCGTGCGTGAGCATGAATAAATGCGTTTGCGTATGTATATCGGTGTGTTTGTTTGTGTGTGTCTGCGTGGTTCCACATCAAAACATCTCAGTGACAACATTTATGCCCCACCTGACAAAAAGTTCCAATAGCTCGATCATAAAGTATTTGAACTATTGATTTAAATGGCATCAAATTTTCAAACCAATCATTTATGATTGGCATTTAATTAATTTTTTGACAAGGACAAAAATAGTTATGTTTTTGTTGTACTTATGATTTTAATCAATATTTCAACCAACGCTTTTTAAAATTGCAGGACATTTTTATTTAAAAAAAAAAGTTTGTACTAAAAATTGTTGAATGTATTTACTTTTTTTTTTGTTTAGAGGAAAATATTCACAATCTTTAGATATTTCTACTATTTTATTTTTCATTATTTAGTCCTCTAGGTGGTTGGTAAGTTCCCAAACAATTCCTCTTGGCTTATTCTCAGTGGCCCTTCTCATAATCCAGTCCATTACCACCAAAAAGATGGCAGGTGATATGACACAGTCCTGTCTGACTCCTGTTTTTACCTTGAACCATTCACTTTGCTGATTTTCGTGTCGCACACAACATTGGTTGTCATAGTACATGTCCTTAAGTATGTTTATGACTTTTCCTGGAAAGCCATATAGCTCTAGTATCTTCCACAATGATGGATGGTGAATGCTATCAAATGCTTTCTAGAAATCTATGTAGTTGATGTAGAGAGACGAATTCCACTCCAGTGACTGTTCCACTATAGTGCGCAAGACAAATATTTGGTCGTTACATGACCTGTTGGCCCTGAAGCCAGCTTGTTCTTCACGGAGGATCCCATCAATTCCTTTCCTCATTCTTTGTAATAGGACTCTGCAGAAGACTTTCCCTGGTACTGACAGAAGATTAATGCCTCTCCAGTTCTCACAAACATTAAGGGGAGAGTTTGAGAGAGAGAATGACAGTGTGTGGGGCGGAGTTTGAGAGAGAGAATGGGAGTGTGGGGGAGAGAGAGTCGCCCTTTTTGGATAATTTGATGATGATTCCCCGTTTCCAAGAATCTGGGACATTTTCTTCATTCCATACTTTATTGAAGATCCCTGATAGAGTTTCTGCACCTTTTTTTGGGTCTGCCTTTAGCATCTCCGCAGTGATTCTGTCCTCTCCTGGGGCCTTATTGCTTTTTTATTTTTGGATAGCTTCTATTATTTCTTGTTCTAGGATGGGTCCTCTATACATTTCGATTTTATTCCTACACGATACAAAAAAGTAGCCACCTTCACATTTTTCCATCACTCCCTCCTCCCTCATGTTGCATTCGTCACAGGCAAACTTTCCTCAACTAGTTCAACGGTTTTAAATAGTTTGTCAAGAAAGACAACCCAGGTTTTTTAAATTTTTAATCCAATTTTAAAGTTATCTCTCTTACTTGATTATGAATAAAATGTTCAGAATTTTACAATTTTATATATTTTATATCTATTTTTTTTTTAGTTTCTTCTGTCAGTGTTTCTTTGATTGACAACATAGTCCAAATTTGCACAGAGCCGTAGCTAGAGGGGAGTGGTGGGGCGACCATAGGGGGCGCCAAAAGGGGTCTGGAAAAAAATCAAAAGCTCAATTTAACTTATTAAGCTGCAGTTTTGAATTATAGATTGTCAAAGTTAAGAAATTTAACAGCTACACGCCTTTACATACCGATTTAACTGTTTTCCACCTTGATTGTTTAATTTTAAAGCATATGACAGGATAAAACCACTTTCCAGCTTTTCCAAAGACTAAAATTTTACAAAAAAAGTGAGTTAAACTTTACTTTTAAAAAAAAAAAAAAGTTTGTGACGTTTAAAACCCGCTCTACAACTTTGTCCAAGATGGTGCGTGGGGGGGGGGGGGGGGGGGGGGGTGGCGCTTTTTCGCCTACAAAAATTGTAAGGCTTGTACTGGATAGGTGAGCAGATAACTCTTTAAACACTTAGAATAGAAACCAATTGTATTAACGCTTAATTCTACGATTTGACCACCCAGTTTTGTTAAGAAATGACGTGATTCTAAAAATGCTCTCAATTTCAGCGTGAGAGATTAGATACTTTTACTTGATTGCATTACATCTTGCCTGGATCACTGTATTAAAGAGAAACAAATACCACGGATTCTTGAATCGCTATCCGTTCAGTAAAATATCATACGGAAGAAGTGAGTGGGTGGAAGACGATACTCTTGCCGAAATTTTAAGAGAGAAGAAAATTAATATATTGTACCGAATAGATAATTTTTTATGGCTTTTTACAAGCTTTTATTTAACTCACTTCCTCTGTCGTCAGTCCAGACGGAAACGCATGAGTGAAAATTCGGACAGTTCTACTTGACCGACACGATTCACAGTTGGCACGTGGGTCAAGACATGAAGACAATGCAATCTGAAACTAAATTTGACTTAATTGGATGCCTAATTGATTTTTTATGAATAAATTAAAATTTGGACCGAATTAGTAGGCATGTCTAGCCAACCACACCACACGCGTCATCAATAGCTGCGCCATCACGACCACGTAATGGCTGCGTTCAAAAACCATTGCGCGCCTACTGAACGTGATATTCAGTAGGCGCGCAATGGTTTTTAGTCATGTAACTCTATTGTAGATAAAACATGTAAAGTACTGAAAAAAAAATTCATAAAAAACGTTTTAATAACAAGCTTTTATGTAATGATGCACTAAAAAGTAGAAAATAAATTATAGACTACTATTTAAATAACTATAAAGAAAAGCGTGGGTGTCTTCCTTAACATTAGTAAAGGTATCCAATAGATACTAAAGTGACCCACGCTTTTCTTTATAGTTATTTAAATAGTAGTCTATAATTTATTTTCTACTTTTTAGTGCATCATTACATAAAAGCTTGTTATTAAAACGTTTTTTATGAATTTTTTTTACAAGCTTTTATTTAACTCACTTCCTCGTCAGTCGTCAGTCTAGACGGAAACGCAGGAGTGAAAATTCGGACAGTTCTACTTGACCGATACGATTCACAGTTGGCACGTGGGTCAAGACATGAAGACAATGCAATCTGAAACTAAATTTGACTTAATTGGATGCCTAATTAATTTTTTATTAATTAATTAAAATTTGGACCGAATTAGTAGGCATGTCTAGCCAACCACACCACACGCGTCATCACCTTCAATAGCTGCGCCATCACGTAATGGCTGCGTTCAAAAACCATTGTTCAGTAGGCGCGCAATGGTTTCTAGTCATGTAACTCTATTGTAAATAAAACATGTAAAGTACTGAAAAAAAAATTCATAAAAAACGTTTTAATAACAAGCTTTTATGTAATGATGCACTAAAAAGTAGAAAATAAATTATAGACTACTATTTAAATAACTATAAAGAAAAGCGTGGGTGTCTTCCTTAACATTAGTAAAGGTATCCAATAGATACTAAAGTGACCCACGCTTTTCTTTATAGTTATTTAAATAGTAGTCTATAATTTATTTTCTACTTTTTAGTGCATCATTACATAAAAGCTTGTTATTAAAACGTTTTTACAAGCTTTTATTTAACTCACTTCCTCTGTCTGTCGTAAGTCGTCAGTCGTCAGTCTAGACGGAAACGCAGGAGTGAAAATTCGGACAGTTCTACTTGACCGATACGATTCACAGTTGGCACGTGGGTCAAGACATGAAGACAATGCAATCTGAAACTAAATTTGACTTAATTGGATGCCTAATTAATTTTTTATTAATTAATTAAAATTTGGACCGAATTAGTAGGCATGTCTAGCCAACCACACCACACGCGTCATCAATAGCTGCGCCATCACGACCACGTAATGGCTGCGTTCAAAAACCATTGCGCGCCTACTGAACGTGATATTCAGTAGGCGCGCAATGGTTTTTAGTCATGTAACTCTATTGTAAATAAAACATGTAAAGTACTGAAAAAAAATTCATAAAAAACGTTTTAATAACAAGCTTTTATGTAATGATGCACTAAAAAGTAGAAAATAAATTATAGACTACTATTTAAATAACTATAAAGAAAAGCGTGGGTGTCTTCCTTAACATTAGTAAAGGTATCCAATAGATACTAAAGTGACCCACGCTTTTCTTTATAGTTATTTAAATAGTAGTCTATAATTTATTTTCTACTTTTTAGTGCATCATTACATAAAAGCTTGTTATTAAAACGTTTTTTATGAATTTTTTATGAATTTTTTACAAGCTTTTATTTAACTCACTTCCTCGTCAGTCTGTCGTCAGTCTAGACGGAAACGCAGGAGTGAAAATTCGGACAGTTCTACTTTGACCGACACGATTCACAGTTGGCACGTGGGTCAAGACATGAAGACAATGCAATCTGAAACTAAATTTGACTTAATTGGATGCCTAATTGATTTTTTATGAATTAATTAAAATTTGGACCGAATTAGTAGGCATGTCTAGCCAACCACACCACACGCGTCATCACCTTCAATAGCTGCGCCATCACGTAATGGCTGCGTTCAAAAACCATTGCGCGCCTACTGAACGTGATGTTCAGTAGGCGCGCAATGGTTTTTAGTCATGTAACTCTATTGTAAATAAAACATGTAAAGTACTGAAAAAAAAATTCATAAAAAACGTTTTAATAACAAGCTTTTATGTAATGATGCACTAAAAAGTAGAAAATAAATTATAGACTACTATTTAAATAAATATAAAGAAAAGCGTGGGTGTCTTCCTTAACATTAGTAAAGGTATCCAATAGATACTAAAGTGACCCACGCTTTTCTTTATAGTTATTTAAATAGTAGTCTATAATTTATTTTCTACTTTTTAGTGCATCATTACATAAAAGCTTGTTATTAAAACGTTTTTTATGAATTTTTTTTTTACAAGCTTTTATTTAACTCACTTCCTCTGTCGTCAGTCTTGACGGAAACGCAGGAGTGAAAATTCGGAAACTTCTACTTGACCGATACGATTCACAGTTGGCACGTGGGTCAAGACATGAAGACAATGCAATCTGAAACTAAATTTGACTTAATTGGATGCCTAATTAATTTTTTATTAATTAATTAAAATTTGGACCGAATTAGTAGGCATGTCTAGCCAACCACACCACACGCGTCATCACCTTCAATAGCTGCGCCATCACGTAATGGCTGCGTTCAAAAACCATTGCGCGCCTACTGAACGTGATGTTCAGTAGGCGCGCAATGGTTTTTAGTCATGTAACCCTATTGTAAATAAAACATGTAAAGTACTGAAAAAAAAATTCATAAAAAACGTTTTAATAACAAGCTTTTATGTAATGATGCACTAAAAAGTAGAAAATAAATTATAGACTACTATTTAAATAACTATAAAGAAAAGCGTGGGTGTCTTCCTTAACATTAGTAAAGGTATCCAATAGATACTAAAGTGACCCACGCTTTTCTTTATAGTTATTTAAATAGTAGTCTATAATTTATTTTCTACTTTTTAGTGCATCATTACATAAAAGCTTGTTATTAAAACGTTTTTTATGAATTTTTTTTTTCATAACAAGTCTTAATACCGAAATTTACATATAGTAAAGGTAACTAAACCTACTAAATGATGTAAACATGGTACAACACGACGACTGCTACTGCTTTGTTACTTTGTTTCAACCTAAATGATAATTGAAAACTGTAAATTTACAAATGATAATGGCGCAAATTCATAGACGTTTGGATTATAAACTTATAAGTTTGCTAGACTAAGGTCATTCAATTGACATATAATTGCAAATTATCAGAAACATTTATATTACACATCGGAATACGACATGAGTATTTCGTTGACTGGTTGATTGTGTAATGAAACAATCTAGAGGAAACAAACTGGAATGGATATAACCGATCGAATTCTTGGATTTTTCAATTTGTGCGCTGCCTTCACGCACAAAGTCAACGACAAATGCAGAACAAATTGTACTGGTTGAAGAATCAGTAATAAACATTTAATTATAGTGACAACATTTATCCCCTGTTAATCTGCTGAAGATGAATTAAAGATAGTTTACCGTTGTAAATCTAATTGAAGACCACCAGCCTTTTTAATTTTTACAACAGATGAAATACCGTCTCGGGGAAAGTGTAAACTGGTGTAAAAATACTCTAAGGAAAATTGTCATATCTAATATATATATATATATATATATATATATATATATATATATATATATATATATATATATATATATATATATATATATATATATATATATATATAAATCTCAGAAAAAATGTCACAGCAAAAATGTTTAATGGGAAATAATATCAGAAAAAAATGTCACATGTATAAGGGGAAATAATGTCAGACAAAATGTCACAACAGAAATCGCAGAAAGTTAAAACAATATTGCGACAGAAAAAGTCATCGGACATTTTTTTAAAGACTTTTTAATAAGTCACAAATTAAAACAACGAGGAAAGAATGGAGAAAAAAGAGAAGATAATCAACATTGGAAGAAGAAAAAAAAAAAATAATCAACATTGGAAGAAGAAAAAAAAATCAAGATTGGAAGAAGAAAAAATAAAAAATAATCAAGATTGGAAGAAGAAAAAAAAAATCAAGATTGGAAGAAGAAAAAATAAAAAATAATCAAGATTGGAAGAAGAAAAAAAAAATCAAGATTGGAAGAAGAAAAAAAATTCAAGATTGGAAGAAGAAAAAATAAAAAAAATCAAGATTGGAAGAAGAAAAAAGAGAAGATAATCAGCATCTGATCGACAAAAAAAATGAAAGAGGAAGTCGCGGGCAATTAGCTCGGCACTCACGAGTCGTGCACCAGCTACCGCCCTCCCCCCACCCGTACTCTACCCCCTATTCAACCCCTCCCATCCCTCCCCATCACGTTTGTGATCTGTTGATGGAGGTCTTGACGTGACAACTAATTACCCCATCAATATCCCCAGCCCCAGACATACACCATCACGTGACTCCATGTGCAATGTTTCTTCCAGTGTTGCTTCAAGCCAAACATGAGGTTATACTCACTAGGATATTACTTAACTCTGTCATACGTGTGTTTAAATATATGTATACATTCACAGATATATCGTAATGGGAGTGTAGGTACGTCTAATATGTGTATGTCATAGATTTAGCACATAAAAATAATAACACGCACAAAAAAAATAATGTCGAACAAAATATAGAGTAAATACTAAAATAAATTTGAGATTTTTTTTTCAATGGTCATCAGCTGACCAGTAGCAGGAAGTTATTTCTGGAACTGACCAGCAACTGGAATCGATGGCTGGAGGTGACCAGCAACAGGAAGTCATGGCTGGAACTGACCGCTAGTCATGAGTGACCAGTTGGTGGAGGATGTGGCGAATTATTTCCTCTGGACGGTAAGTAGACTACATCACTATTGTATGTTAAAGTTAGTGTGTGTGTATATATCAAGTTAGTGAGTGTGTATATATCAAGTTAGTGTGTGTATATATCAAGTTAGTGTGTGTATATATCAAGTTAGTGTGTGTGTATATATCAAGTTAGTGTGTGTATATATCAAGTTAGTGTGTGTATATATCAAGTTAGTGTGTGTGTATATATCAAGTTAGTGTGTGTATATATCAAGTTAGTGTGTGTGTATATATCAAGTTAGTGTGTGTGTATATATCAAGTTAGTGTGTGTGTATATCAGTGGACGGTAAGTAGACAACATCACCGTCCTATGTTAAATTTAGTGTGTGTGTATATATCAAGTTAGTGTGTGTGTATATCAAGTTAGTGTGTGTGTGTGTGTATCAAGTTAGTGTGTGTATATATCAGTGGACGGTAAGTAGACTACATCACCGTCCTATGTTAAATTTAGTGTGTGTGTATATATCAAGTTAGTGTGTGTGTATATCAAGTTAGTGTGTGTGTATATATCAAGTTAGTGTGTGTATATATCAAGTTAGTGTGTGTGTATATATCAAGTTAGTGTGTGTATATATCAAGTTAGTGTGTGTGTATATATCAAGTTAGTGTGTGTGTATATATCAAGTTAGTGTGTGTATATATCAAGTTAGTGTGTGTGTATATATCAAGTTAGTGTGTGTGTATATCAAGTTAGTGTGTGTATATATCAAGTTAGTGTGTGTATATATCAAGTTAGTGTGTATATATATATATATATATATATATATATATATATATATATATATATATATATATATATATATCAGTGGACGGTAAGTAGACTACATCACCATTGTATGTTAAAATTAGTGTGTGTGTATATAGCCTATACAGGGCCGGCGCAACCTAAAAGGTTAACTAGGCTGTCGCCCTGGGCGCCATCCCTAGTGGGGGTGCAAAAGGTTTAATTGCTATTATCAAAAAGTACCTAATAATTAATAACTTATAGAAAGGAGTAGCGATCTATTTCGGCACCCAGGCCGAGAGTATATCGAGTAGTCGAATTTATCGTAAGTTAGATGATTTCAATTCAGCGCGGAGCACACTACAAAGAAATGTAGACCTTCTCTAGTTTAAAATATATTTACACTCTTAAAGTATTATTATATAATATTAAATAGGATGTAATTTATAACTAACCGTAAAATTTGTTTTTGTTTTTTTTTAAATTATAATTTGTTAGATTTAATCAATAATTCTAAAAATGTCTAAAACCCGTGATTGATTTTTTGAAAGACGTCCCTTTATGTAGGGGATCCAAAATTTTCTTAGAAACTTCATTCAAAATACACAATTAGGCGCATGTCATCAAATTGAACAGAAGTATGTTATAATAAAGCTACCACTTTTAGACTTTCTAATAAAACCTACAGTTAAGTACTCAATAGGTAAAATATATTGTTTTTTTTCAGATTACATAGCTAATAAAAGATTTGTTATAATTGTAAAGAAATTTATAGCGTTTTATTGTGTTTTTAAACATGTCTGAGTTACACTTGGTTAATTTAGCTATTCTTATGACAGTTATTTCCCTTGAATAAAATTTTGGCATTCGGATTTTCAAATGGGAGATAATTCATTGCTTAACTTTACATTCGTTTCAAATTCCTACACCTTAGGTTCACCGCTTACATATAAATACAACTTTAAATAATTATATGCAATTGTAAAAATTATTTAGAGCTTAAGTTCTAAACAAAATAGTTTGGTAGGGGTTTTTTTAGCATTATCAAGTTGAAAAACAAATACATTAGTAGCCGTTGTAGATTGCAATTCTTAATGTTAGTAGACATACAGTCTTAGACGTAAATTAAACATTTAATTAATAGTCTTATCATACTTTTCAACCGCTCCTAAAGGATTCATATATAACAATTTAAGGTTGGAATCTATAATATTTATAATCTTTTATTTTTCAAAACAATTTAAAAAATTGTTAAATAGTCACACAATATAGACAATTTACAATTATAACTAAAGACAATCAAACTTAAAACAGGTAAGTTCCGTTTTTTGGAACTCACCTTGGGAGGTCTGCAAAGAGCCCAAATCTACAAGAACTTTATTTCCAGTGTTTCTTTTTTTTCAAATTTTTTCTCCCGGGAGGGTGGAGATGCACTTAAAATTTTCAAAGGGGAGGGGGGTGGCTATGTCGTAAAGTACAAAGTAGACTCGTGGAATAAGCAACAATTTCAATAAAATGCGATTACGCTTGCAAACTGTAATTTAAGGAATTAGTACAAACTTTTGAAACGAAGGAGGCAAGATAAAATTTGATTTTGATGTTTACTTATAACATGTATGAAATTGATAAAAAATTAATATATCACTTTTAATTAAATGTTTTCTTAAACATATGTTTTAGTAATTAATGTGTGTAAGAGGGGGCGTTTTAAGAAGTTTTGCCTAGGGCGCTAAATAGACTGGCGCCGGCACTGTATATATATATATATATATATATATATATATATATATATATATATATATATATATATATATATATATATATTACACCAGCACAGCTGAAAGTGTATTTTATAAATAAAAATCACGAGTTTACACCAACTCCCCTCCCCCACCCCTAAAAAAACACTCTTACACACTTTTCCAACCCTAAATTATGCTGAGTGTGTAACGGAAGTGATGTAATAAAGAAAACTTAAGAAACCTGTGCCCCAGCCGTGAGTACATCCGGTCAGGACACTCCAGGGGGTGACTCTCGCTATAGACGGGGAGGGCTCCCTGTAGCGTAGATAACAAGTTCTTGAGAACAAGGGTAACCTGGCCAGTAGATCTACTTGAGAACAAGGGTAACCCGGCAAGTAGATCTACTTGAGAACAAGGGTAACCTGGCCAGTAGATCTACTTGAGAACATGAGTAACCGTCATGGCTGTGAATTTAGACTTGGTGGCTAGCCTATTCTGTAGGTTTAACATCGCTGACGTGAGGAGAATGTCACTAGTGTCATCAGATGTCACAGATGTCAGTGTGCCATGAGTCTAGTGTCACCAATTTCTGATTATCTAATGTCAGCCTAATGTCACTGACATAAGGCTAGTTATGTACTGACACCACACGTTTAAGTTTTCATTTTGATGTTTTTGTTCCCTACCCTCCCACACCCCCCACCCCTACATACCCCCACACCCCACCCCCACATACCCCCACACCCACATACCCCCACATACCCCCAACCCCCACATACCCCCACACCCACATACCCCCAAATACCCCCACACCCACATACCCCCAACCCCCACATACCCCCACACCCACATACCCCCAAATACCCCCACATTCCCCCACACACCCCACATACCCCACCCTGCAGGTGATGTCCCCAATTCTGCTGACGATAGGAACTATGGGCAACATTTTGTCAATTGTCGTGCTAACCAGGCGAACCTCCCAGACGTCGGTGTACCTGATGGCTCTATCTCTGGCCGACATCTTGGTGCTCAACACGGGTCTGCTTAGACAGTTCATCAAGCGGGTCAGTGGCATCGATGTCAGGTAATGATACAATGTCAGGATACAATGTGATACAGTGTCATGATACAATGTGATACAATGTCGTAATACAATGTCGTGATACAACAACATGATACAACGTCATGATATAACGTTATGATACAATGTCATGATACAACGTCATGATTCAACATCAGGCAATAATACAAGTTTATGATACAACTTGATGATACAACGTCATGATGCAACATGGTGATACACGATGAAATAACGATACAAGTTCAGGTAATGATACAACATGATGATACAAACAACATGTCATGATACAATATCTGATTATGGTATAGCATCAGGTAACGATGTAAATATCAGGCAATGTACAACGTGAAGATACACCATGATGATACAACATCTGGTAATGATACAAAATTAGTTAATGGTACATAATCGTTTCATAATATAATGAAAATCGGGAAACCATACAAATTCAGGTAATGATACAAAATCAAGTAATGATACAAAATAAAGTAATGATGTAAAATTAGGTAATGATATAAAATCAGGTAATGATTCAAAATCTAGAAATTATACAAAATCAGGTAATGATACCAAAATCAGATAATGATATAAAATCAGGTAATGATATAAAATCAGGTAATGATACAAAATCAGGTTATGGTATAAAATCAGGTAATGATATAAAATCATGTAATTATATAAAAATCATGTAATTATATAAAATCAGGCAATGGTATAAAATCAGGTAATGATATAAAATCAGGTAATGATATAAAGTCAGGTAATGATATAAAGTCAGGTAATGATATAAAGTCAGGTAATGATAAAAAGTCAGGTGATGATATAAAGTCAGGTGATGATATAAAGTCAGGAAACTAAACATCCGGTAACACTAAACACTGACACTTGGCATTATGAAATGATGGCACTAATCTGTTTCACATTTCATGTTAAGCTAGAGTTCCTGACTGTATTAACGTCGAGCCAATACAAATGTTTGCGTAATTATTTTTAATTAGTAGATGAGAAGGTTGCCACATCACGTGATACACACGTCGTGACAGGAAGTGAGCGACTCAAGCTGCGAGCTGCCGAATGTCATGTGACCTCAGAAATGTCAGGTGTCCGTCAGGTGACCTCTGGAACGTCATGTGACCTCTAGATTTTCAGGTGACCTCTGGAATGTCAGGTGACCTCTGGAATGTCAGGTGACCTCTGGAATGTCAGGTGACCTCCGGAATTTCAGGTGACCTCCGGAATTTCAGGTGAACTCTGGAATGTCAGGTGACCTCCGGAATTTCAGGTGACCTCCGGAATTTCAGGTGAACTCTGGAATGTCAGGAAACTTAATATCTTTAATTAACGATTGTTAATTAGAAGCGGCAACATGTTTAATTATCACCTAGTGCTACCTTACGTTCTGAAGTATCTTTTAACCAGCCTCGCAGTAGTTTTGTAAATCCATGCATCCTTGTATAAGACTTTTAGAACACAGCACACACAAAATACACGTTGATCACTAGCTTTTTCTCCTTAGAGGGAACGTTGGGCTGCTACCTTTGGAGTTAGTCCCTAGAGAGAGCTGTCTTTATTCTTCTAAGTGGTAGTAGACAGCGTGAGGTGTCTTTATTCTTCTAAGTGGTAGTAGACAGCGTGAGGTGTCTTTATTCTTCTAAGTGGTAGAGGGCAGTGTGAGGTGTCTTTATTCTTCTAAGTGGTAGAGGGCAGTGTGAGCTGTCTTTATTCTTCTAAGTGGTAGAGGGCAGTGTGAGCTGTCTTTATTCTTCTAAGTGGTAGAGGGCAGTGTGAGCTGTCTTTATTCTTCTAAGTGGTAGAGGGCAGTGTGAGCTGTCTTTATTCTTCTAAGTGGTAGTAGACAGCGTGAGGTGTCTTTATTCTTCTAAGTGGTAGAGGGCAGTGTGAGCTGTCTTTATTCTTCTAAGTGGTAGAGGGCAGTGTGAGCTGTCTTTATTCTTCTAAGTGGTAGAGGGCAGTGTGAGGTGTCTTTATTCTTCTAAGTGGTAGAGGGCAGTGTGAGCTGTCTTTATTCTTCTAAGTGGTAGAGGGCAGTGTGAGCTGTCTTTATTTTACTAAGTGGTAGTAGACAGCGTGAGGTGTTTTTATTCTTCTAAGTGGTTGTAGACAGCGTGAGGTGTCTTTATTCTTATAAGTGGTAGAGGGCAGTGTGAGCTGTCTTTATTCTTCTAAGTGGTAGAGGGCAGTGTGAGCTGTCTTTATTCTTCTAAGTGGTTGTAGACAGCGTGAGGTGTCTTTATTCTTCTAAGTGGTAGTAGACAGCGTGAGGTGTTTTTATTCTTCTAAGTGGTAGAGGGCAGTGTGAGCTGTTTTTATTCTTCTAAGTGGTAGAGGGCAGTGTGAGCTGTTTTTATTCTTCTAAGTGGTAGAGGGCAGTGTGAGCTGTTTTTATTCTTCTAAGTGGTAGAGGGCAGTGTGAGCTGTTTTTATTCTTCTAAGTGGTAGAGGGCAGTGTGAGGTGTTTTTATTCTTCTAAGTGGTTGTAGGCAGTGTGGGGTGTCTTTATTTGACTAACACATCTCTGTGGGGATTGTGCCAGACATGTGCCAGTGTTTTTTTTTCAGGGAACTCTCGGGTAGTGAGGCATTACCCCCACCCCACACCACCACCGTAGAGCGTCCAACACCCCACCGGCAGAAAAATGTCTAAGTTGATAGTGAACATATTATGTAACGCTAATGCGGTTCGCTTATACACACTTCATACTCTACATTACATACATCAACTATACCCACTTTTATCTTTAACCATTTCTTCAAACCAGAGTTTCAGGTATCTCTCCAGGAGGGGGTGGGGGTGGGGTGTATTGAGGTTATTCAAAAATGTACTGGTAATTAAGAAATGAATTATGAACAAACATTTTGGAAAACATCACTTCATTAAAACCAATTGCAAGCCTTATATTATAACGCTGAGTTTTTTTTTAAAAACACATGTTTGTATGATCTCTCTATCAGGTTGCTGTCAGAACCCGGATGTAAGATGCACGTAATGACCGTCTACTCCTCCCTGCACATCTCCGTCTGGATCCTGGTCGCCTTCACGTGCGAGCGCATCATCTCCGTGTTCGCGCCGCACAAAGTCCGCTCCTACTGCACCCGTCTCACGTCGACAGCGGCTGTTGCGGGCATCACGTGCCTGCTACTGGCTCTCAACAGCCACTTCGTGTACGGCATGGGGCGGGGCGGGAACCACACCCTGATCACGTGTTCGGAACTCTACCCCGAGTACGAAAACTTCCTGTCCTTCACGTGGCCGTGGATAGACTTCTCCGTCTTCTGCTTAGTGCCATGTGTTGTACTTTTGGCGGGAAACACCAGCATTGTTCTGGGAGTTCTTGCCAGCAAACGGAAGTCCCGGCGGGTCGGGCCCATCCTTGAGGCGTCAGCTCAGCCGTTGCCTAGAAACAAGACGTCATCCATGACGGCCGTGTTGCTTATGCTGAACCTGGTGTTCGTGCTAACCACTGCGCCAGTCAGCCTGTTTTTTATCCTCTACCCCTCGTGGCAGGAGAGGATTCGAACCGAGCAGGACGTTGCTCGCGCCAACCTCGTATTCGCCGCAGTCAACTTGTTCCAGTACCTGAACAACGCTCTCAACTTCCTGCTGTACTGTGGCTCCGGTACCAAGTTCAGACAGGACCTGGCCGGTATATTTAGACGGGGACAGTTTGTGATTCATGGACGGCCAACTACAATCACCCATGGACGGCCAACTACAACCATGGCCACCAGTTTTATACGAACAGTCAGGCTAGGGAGGTCTCAAGTTTATTAGAAGTCATGTGATTTTTTGGTCACGTGATCGAGAATATATCGTTTGTTTTATCACGGGCTGATTACTTCAATTAATTAACATTTTAAGCAGTTTTGTCAGTAATTAATAACTAATTGAATACTTAGTTTATTGATGACAAAGCACTTGTTAAATTTTCTACTTTCTTATTACATCATACACATAACCTTTTCTTGCATGCATTCGGGGACTCAATGAACACAGCGCACCTGAGTTTACCCAGCTTTAATGAGTACCTGACTCGATTCAGATGGGTAAGATGCCTGGGGATAGTCCTGACTACATTATCCCTTATTATGCCGAGGTCAAAGAAAACAGATGAACTTCATCTGCTCCATCAACTGTCAGATCTTACAAAGAATTTATCTTTTTTTTTTACTTTCACATTCAGATGCTCAGTTCACGATAATAAATTTAAGTGGTTTCCCTTTAAAATGGTTGCGACACAGTTTGTAAAATATGTTAAGAAAATTATCGTTAATTTGTATAATGACTCAAAACATTTGTTGTACTAATTGTGTTATTGGTTTTTGTTTTATAAACATTTAGCCAGAGGTTAACCATACATTATTTGTGCGTTGTTGTTTTTTTTAATTATTCCTCCCTCTCCCACCTCCCCACCATAAAAAAAATGTTAATCGTTTCAATTAAATGCTTTAGAATGCACTAGTATAAAGGCTTAATAATGTATCTATTGACGGCTTTAGACTTTCTGCACTTTAAAGTTCACCACTTAATCCAAGGCCAAGAATTGATTTAAAACAAGACCACACACATCCTATAAAAAAAGCAACATCTCATTCATAAGATAACGCTCAGGTTATTCATAAGATAGCCCTCAGGAGTTGAATATTTCTGGAAGAAAATCTGCGCGCCACTTGTGACGTAATCATCCGCCCCTGCCCGGCGTCTGGTTGTAACCAGTGGACTGTAACTTGACCTTTGGTCAGTGTCTGCTGACCTCGGTGACCCCCAGCCGCTGAGCACCACCTGTTCACAAAGAAAACACTCCCAGCGTCTGACCTGGGAATTCCGAGGGTCGTCCCGCGCCACACCCTATTTATCATCACCACATCAGTCAGTGTATCCACACGTCAGTGTATCCACACGTCAGTCAGTGTATCCACACGTCAGTGAATCCACACGTCAGTCAGTGTATCCACACGTCAGTGTATCGACACGTCAGTCAGTGTATCCACACGTCAGTCAGTGTATCCACTCGTCGGTCAGTGTATCCATACGTCAGTCAGTGTATCCACACGTCACTGTATCCACACGTCAGTCAGTGTATCCACACGTCAGTCAGTGTATCCACACGTCACTGTATCCACACGTCAGTCAGTGTATCCACACGTCAGTCAGTGTATCCACACGTCACTGTATCCACACGTCAGTCAGTGTATCCACACGTCAGTCAGTGTATCCACACGTCAGTCAGTGTATCCACACATCAGTCAGTTTATCCACACATCGGTCAGTTTATCCACACATCGGTCAGTTTATCCATAGGTCTGTGGATCTACACGTTTCTGTATCCACATATCCCGACAACTTTTATTTACACTTCCACACATTTCTTGTATCAACATGTCCACACATTTATACCAACACAGCTAATTACTTTTTGTATCCACATGTCCATTTTATATCCACATAGCCACACATTTTACTATCCACATAACCACACTTTATCAACATACACAATCCACATATACACATAATATATGTATTCACAAATCCACACACTTGTGTATCCACACATTTCCTCTACAAATATAACCACACATTATCCAAACATTTCATGTATCCATATATCCACATACTTCGTGTATCCACACAACCACACGTCTAGTTATGACGCCTGGCTACCTGACATTTGCCTTCTAATTATAATCTACCTGACATTTGCCTTCTAATTATACTCTAGCTGACATTTGCCTTCTAATTATACTCTACCTGACATTTGCTGATGACATCTTCAGACGTGGCCGAGAAAACATCTTCAAATTCCAGGAATGGCAACCGTCTCCTGACACCCCCCCCCCACCCCCCCCCCCCCCACCACCCATCTTTATTCTCTAGACAGTAGATGTGGGTAAACCAAATGAAGAGAAGGAACTGTCGATGATGGGGGGGGGGGGGTGTAATCTCTGCCTCTTGCCATAGAGTATAGACGGTCTATGGTCGGTGGGGGTGGGGGGGGGGGGGTCGTGCAGAAGCACGCACAAGTTCCATCTTGGTAGGGAGGGGTCTTGTAGTTGAGGGCCGAGTCAATACCATCTTGGCTGAGATGGGGGGGGGGATAATTGAGGGCCGAACCAACACCATCTTGTCCACCTCTACAACACCATCTTGTCCACCTACACAGCTTAGGCCACGGTTGTTGACCAACCCAATTTAACTCGAAATCTGAAACTAAAGTACAAAGGTCAGAGGTCATCCCAGGGGCAGGCGCGTGCCCCACCCAGACATCCACTAGCCGTCGGACAATGACGCTGGGCCGGGGCTGACCGCGGGCTAGCGCTGAGGGGCCCGGGTGAACTGGGACAGACAACAAGCTATGACATAACAGGCCAGAAAAAAATGTGGCTGACCCCGGCCACGGGGAGGGTCAGATTTTGTTCACAACAAACCAAGTGAGGTGTGGCTTCTGACGTCTGCCGTGTCAAAGGTGCAGAAGTCGTTGTTAGCTGGCGTCTGCTTCGTGATGTTTCTTGTGTGTTGCTGGTTCATGGTGTTTATTGGGTGTTGCTGGGGTCTGGTTCATGGTGGGTGTTGCTGGCGTCTGGTTCATGTTGGGTGTTGCTGGGGTCTGCTTCATGGTGGGTGTTGCTGGGGTCTGCTTCATGGTGTTTGTTGGGTGTTGCTGGTTCATGGTTTGTTGGGTGTTGCTGGGGTCTGGTTCATGTTGGGTGTTGCTGGTTCATGGTGTTTGTTGGGTGTTGATGGGGTCTGCTTCATGTTGGGTGTTGCTGGGGTCTGGTTCATGGTGGGTGTTGCTGGTTCATGGTGTTTGTTGGGTGTTGCTGGTTCATGGTGTTTGTTGGGTGTTGCTGGGGTCTGGTTCATGGTGTTTGTTGGGTGTTGCTGGTTCATGGTGTTTGTTGGGTGTTGCTGGGGTCTGGTTCATGGTGTTTGTTGGGTGTTGCTGGTTCATGGTTTGTTGGGTGTTGCTGGTTCATGGTGTTTGTTGGGTGTTGCTGGTTCATGGTGTTTGTTGGGTGTTGCTGGTTCATGGTGTTTGTTGGGTGTTGCTGGTGTCTGGTTCATGGTGTTTGTTGGGTGTTGCTGGTTCATGGTGTTTGTTGGGTGTTGCTGGTTCATGGTGTTTGTTGGGTGTTGCTGGTTCATGGTGTTTGTTGGGTGTTGCTGGTTCATGGTGTTTGTTGGGTGTTGCTGGTTCATGGTGTTTGTAGGGTGTTGCTGGCGTCTGGTTCATGGTGGGTGTTGGGTGTTGCTGGTGTCTGGTTCATGGTGGGTGTTGGGTGTTGCTGGCGTCTGGTTCATGTTGGGTGTTGCTGGTGTCTGGTTCATGGTGTTTGTTGGGTGTTGCTGGTGTCTGGTTCATGTTGGGTGTTGCTGGTGTCTGGTTCATGGTGTTTGTTGGGTGTTGCTGGGGTCTGGTTCATGGTGGGTGTTGCTGGTGTCTGGTTCATGTTGGGTGTTGCTGGTGTCTGGTTCATGGTGTTTGTTGGGTGTTGCTGGTGTCTGGTTCATGGTGGGTGTTGGGTGTTGCTGGTGTCTGGTTCATGGTATTTGTTGGATTTTGGATGATGTATGATTGGAAGTATTTTGGATGTCGTGTTTGATGCAATGTTTCTTTCTCCGGGGGGGGGGGGGGGTTGAGAAGGGGCGCACTACAAACTTTCGGAGGGGGCGTACTAAATTTCCCGAGCGAAGGGAGACACTGATAAAAGAATATACGTTCTACATAAATTCTTTTCGTTGGTGTGGTGGGGGTGGGGGCGAGGTAGCCGTACTTCTCTCCCCTCCCGAAGAGATGCTTGAAAGAAACACGGTTTGATGTGTACCGTATGTTGGATGTATGTTTATGTAGTATCTTTCGTGTTGAATGTCCTATGGTATAGCCATGTAATAGATAGTATGTGTTGTATATTTAACATTTTTTCGCTAACATAAAACACACGTATGGCAACTGACCGGCCAATCCGCCATTTCCCGTCTAAACTTTAAATACAATTAACACACAACTGTTCAACAACTACACGGCAACTCGACACGCATAAGTTAATGTTGTTATTTTTCTAAAAGAGTTCAAAAATTTTCTAAATATTTTAAATTAAATGCAACTTAAAACAGAGAACTTATTAGAGAACTAATTATACACTTGTTGCAGATCACCACTACAAGTTTATTTTTTTTTAAAGCAATAGCTTGACGTCATACTCTCTGGCCCATAACCCCGTTAAACGTCACTAAAAGCTAAGTGATGTGTTGATGTGTAAAGTCAAACTCAGTGTTGATGTGTGACTTCAACACAGCCGGCACTTGACAACAACGTGCCAATTTTCTTCAAGCAAGTTCTCCATCTCTATAAAGTCACTCGCCATGTTTGATGACGTCATAAAACTTCAGTCTCGTGACGCCAATTTAAACTTAATATACCCCCACCCTCTCTCCCTTCCCCCCTCATTCGTCTTGTTCCCCTCCCTCAGGTCGGTCCGCCCCCCCCCCCACCCCACCCCCTCGCCCCACCCCCCGGCATTGTTGTTGACCGTGTTACGTTATACAGGTCAAGCCTGCTCATTCTTGTCCAGTCCACCCCACCTGTCCCCCCACCCCCTCCCCCATCACCCAGCCAGTGCAGGTCAGTCTAAGCGATGGTGTGGTGGTCAGTCTAGGCCGAGAACCTGCCACTGTGAGACGTACGGTGACGTAGAGCTGGTCATCTTGAAAAGTTGTAGGAACAAGCACTGGTCAAGCCACACCGCCACATCATGTTTTCTAACCACACCAGCGGCGTGTGGATCTGTCTGCAAGACGAGCACACAAGTCTGCAAACCCTAGCTACGCCACGGTAAGTTTATATCATTACTAGAACTTTCAGAAATCTTCCAGAGATATGCAACGTCAGAGCGAGATCTTGAAATATGACGTCACGATACAGGTAATATCCCAGCCTCCTTGTAGAATTTGTTAGTAGCCCACTGGATAGATCTCTATGATGTATAACGTCAGAAGGAAGAGCAATTAGAATTTCAGTTTTTAAACTATAATTTGAACAACTTTGGAATTTTAATGCTAATATTTAACGTCAAATCTGGCATTTATTATATGGGGTTGTAACGTAGGGAAAAATTATAACGTCGGAACTTAGTTCAGACTGGTTGATTAAACAGTGTGTGTGTGTTGTCATGGTGACACTTTTTGTAGTTTCTGACTAAAGTTTAGATCAGAACGAACACACACCGATAAATCGGATTATGTCTTGTGATGATAGATCTAATATTTATGAAGCGACACGCTGTGGATCAAATAGTTGAACACTTCAGTAATCGCTGAATAGTTGTTAATAAAACTTTATCCAAAGTTTAATATTTGCGGGAAAATGCAAGGAAAATAAGTTCACATTATATACTCACGTAGTCTACAGAAAATATAATTCGTGTAATACTAGACCAAAAAGTTTAGTTTACGACATTCAACAAAAGATGGTACTAAATTCGCGTAAAAAAAAAATTCATAAAAAACGTTTTAATAACAAGCTTTTATGTAATGATGCACTAAAAAGTAGAAAATAAATTATAGACTACTATTTAAATAACTATAAAGAAAAGCGTGGGTCACTTTAGTATCTATTGGATACCTTTACTAATGTTAAGGAAGACACCCACGCTTTTCTTTATAGTTATTTAAATAGTAGTCTATAATTTATTTTCTACTTTTTAGTGCATCATTACATAAAAGCTTGTTATTAAAACGTTTTTTATGAATTTTTTTTTCAGTACTTTACATGTTTTATTTACAATAGAGTTACATGACTAAAAACCATTGCGCGCCTACTGAACATCACGTTCAGTAGGCGCGCAATGGTTTTTGAACGCAGCCATTACGTGATGGCGCAGCTATTGAAGGTGATGACGCGTGTGGTGTGGTTGGCTAGACATGCCTACTAATTCGGTCCAAATTTTAATTAATTCATAAAAAATTAATTAGGCATCCAATTAAGTCAAATTTAGTTTCAGATTGCATTGTCTTCATGTCTTGACCCACGTGCCAACTGTGAATCGTATCGGTCAAGTAGAACTGTCCGAATTTTCACTCCTGCGTTTCCGTCTAGACAGACTGACGACAGACTGACGACAGACCGACGAGGAAGTGAGTTAAATAAAAGCTTGTAAAAATCTAAACCAATGTCGGAGTTCATAGCCAAATAAACAATCGTCTTGATCTGGATATAGCCCATTTTTATAACCTTTTAGTTAAGATCCTTTCAAAATGAAAACAGTATTGAAACTAAAGTGAAGTATATATGAAATGTAGAAGTTTTTTGCTTACATTTAAAGGGCTACAATAAACTTTATCCCGCATTTTTTCCTGCCTTTTTTCCCGCCACTTAAGGGTTATTGCCTCCTCCCCCCCCCCCCCCCCACGGTTCTAATGTTTTCTCTGCTTTGTATTGAACTACTGATTTATGGAGCAGTTGAGAAGTTGCCTTTTGTTTCATGGGTGTATCTCAATCACTAGCAATTTGTTATTTTGTACCTAAGTCGACGTGCTACTTATCTAGTTTTTTCACTGTAGTGTTGTCCATGTGTTGTTTCTTAAAGGTGTATTATGAGTCTATACCAAATATGTTTGAGTGGTGATTCCTGTTTTTTCACAGGTTCCTACAAATTATTATTGTGTTCAAACTGTTCGATGCCTTTGAAAGTTTTGAAAATATTCTTACTGCTACAAATGAGTAAAAAAAAATGTGCACAGTGTAACGTCGATTTAGTTTACAAATTGCAAATTCGAACCCAGAGACAGTCTTAGATTATCTGTGAGTTCGCAATGAGGGGAGTTTGTAACCCACTCCAACTCAAGCGTTTAATTTTAGCAACAGGTCTTCTTCCCCACCCCAACCAACAATGGTATCACACCCCCCCCCCCCCCCCAGCTCGGATAACTACGGGTTAGCCACAGGTCAACCCCCCCTACCTCCCCTCCACGCTGTTCCCATCCGTCCTGATGACGTAAGTCACGTGACACATGACACGCCCTGCCGTTGAGTAACAAACAGTCAAAGTCATTGAAGCGAGACAAAGAAATAATTGAGACCACAGCCGGACAAAGGGCGTGGTCTCGCTTGAGTGGAGCTGCCTCGGGGTCGCCACCATATGTCAGAGTCCCCTTACAGCACACAAACGGAAGTTTGGTGGGAGGGGGGGTGGGGGGGAGGGGGAGTTTTACCACGTCTTCACAGAGGGCAGGGTCATCTGATGACGTAACTGAGCTGTCAAGTGTGTTTGATGCTACCCTCCGGCTACAAGATTAGTGGATGGCCCCTAGTGGGTGGCCTCATGGTGGATGGCTATACCGCGGTGGATCATCATCACAGCATCCTCACATACGGTGAATGGCCTGACCATCAATTTCAATACACTGTAGATGGCCACACCATCACATTCGGTAGATGGCCACACCATCACATTCGGTAGATGGCCACATCATCATACACTATGGATGGCCACACCATCACATTCGGTAGATGGCCACATCATCATACACTATGGATGGCCACACCATCACATTCGGTAGATGGCCACACCATCACATTTAATAGATGGACACACCATCACAATCGGTAGATGGCCACATCAGCACAATCGGTAGATGGCCACATCATCACATTTGGTAGATGGCCACACCATCACATTTGATAGATGGCCACACCATCACATTCGGTAGACGGCCACACCATCACATTCGGTAGACGGCCACACCATCACATTCGGTAGACGGCCACACCATCACATTCGGTATATGGCCACACTAGCATAAACACTGTCGATATACCAGAGACCCACTTACATAAACATCAAATCCACCTTCATATACCAGATACCCACCTACATAAACATCAAACCCATCTGGATAGACCAGATACCTACATAAGCATCAAACCCATCTGGATAGACCAGATACCTCAGCTTTACCACTGAAACTACCGCTGTTTGCCATGATCGTTATCACATGATTTGGTGTACAAAATAAACATTAGTTTCCTTGGCAACGTTAAATGCGCTGTGGACAACGTACAAAGGTCGTGGGATCGAACTTGGTCGAGTAAACAGAATCCTTCCGTAAGGACAAATGAAACTAAAAGAATTTAAAAGAATATCAGAGATATGTTCTACTTAAAGAAAGTTGTTATTTATGGTGCATTCGAGTCGTTTTTTTCAAACTAGCCGTAGTACTAGCTGTAGACTATGGTACGTTTGAGTCATTTCTTCAAGCTGGTTAAGGAACGTTTGACTGGTAACCCTACTTCCATAATATACCATAGATTCAATGTAATCAGTGACTGCCACTTCTTGTGTTTAAATTATTGCGTATAACAATGGAATGTAATCAATTATTCGTCTCGAGCTAAGAGATTTAACGTTAGTACGAGAGACTCTAGTCCTCATCACACACCTGCTCTCTCATCCATGACGTACTCACGAGTCAATATCTCCCCATCCATGACGTAACGAGCCAATATCTCCCCATCCATGACGTAACCACGACTCAATATCTCCCCATCCATGACGTAACCACGAGTCAATATCTCCCCATCCATGCCGTAACCACGAGTCAATATCTCCCCATCCATGCCGTAACCACGAGTCAATATCTCCCCATCCATGACCATGACGTAACGAGTCAATATCTCCTCATCCATGACGTAACGAGTCAATATCTCCCCATCCATGACGTAACGAGTCAATATCTCCCCATCCATGACGTAACCACGACTCAATATCTCCCCATCCATGACGTAACGAGTCAATATCTCCCCATCCATGACGTAACCACGAGCCAATATCTCCCCATCCATGACGTAACCACGAGTCAATATCTCCCCATCCATGCCGTAACCACGAGTCAATATCTCCCCATCCATGCCGTAACCACGAGTCAATATCTCCCCATCCATGACGTAACGAGTCAATATCTCCTCATCCATGACGTAACGAGTCAATATCTCCCCATCCATGACGTAACGAGTCAATATCTCCCCATCCATGACGTAACCACGAGTCAATATCTCCCCATCCATGAGGCAACCACGAGTCAATATCTCCCCATCCATGACTTAACCACGAGTCAATATCTCCCCATCCACGAAGTAACCACGAGCCAATATCTCCCCATACATGACGTAACCACGAGCCAATATCTCCCCATCCATGACTTAACCACGAGTCAATATCTCCCCAGGCTTGACGTAACGAGTCAATATCTCCCCATCCATGACTTAACCACGAGTCAATATCTCCCCAGGCTTGACGTAACGAGTCAATATCTCCCCATCCATGAGGCAACCACGAGTCAATATCTCCCCATCCATGACTTAACCACGAGTCAATATCTCCCCATCCATGACGTAACGAGTCAATATCTCCCCATCCACGAAGTAACCACGAGCCAATATCTCTCTATCCATGACGGTACTCACGAGCCAATATCTCCCCATCCATGACGGTACTCACGAGCCAATATCTCCTTATCCATGACTTAACCAAGAGTCAATATCTCCCCAGGCTTGACGTACTCACCCAGGCCCTGGTGCCGACACTGCTCCTGCTTGCCATCCTGCTCATGTGGTCCCTGCTCCACAAGTCTGACAACCCCCGCCTCCCCCCTGGCTCAATGGGTCTACCGTTTCTGGGTGAAACTTTGGAATTTTTTAAGGTAAGTCAGGCTTATTACATTATTACATTTGTCTGATATCTTACATTATACATCCGTCTGGTATACTACATCTGACATGATTACATATGTCTGGCACCTTACGTTATTATGCGTTTCTTATAGAAATCTACTAATATGTGTGTCTATTTCAAGCTTGCCCTAATGTAAATCATAACCCAACAGTTTCCAACTTTTGTTACTGCGTCTCACTATTTTTAAATTTGACGTCCCAATTCACATTCGGCCAATCATATAACTTATAAGTGTAGGTCTACCTCATAGTTTATGGGTATTGTTAGAACCAGAGGCATAGCGAGGTGGGGTGCAAATCGAAAGTTGGGGGGGGGGTGCAAATCGAAAATTGAAAGTTTGTCCCCGGGAAGGATCGCTACGCCTACACCGTTAAGTGCCGCACCGGGTGACACCCGATCTCGCTACGCCACAGGTTAGAACTAAAATATTTACTGTCGAAACTAAGAAATAACATCAAACTATGAGATGGGGTGTCTGATTAATTGCAAACTTTTTAAAAACTGTACCGAGTCATTTTTTAAAAAATTCGCCTGATTTTATAAAGCTGTATGTTTTTGTATTTAAATAGTGTTGTATATTTCTGGGTAACTTAATGGGGCGTGCCGTCCAATTTGTAAAAGCTACCCTAACCTGTCCTTCTAAATCCTTAACTCTAATCCTATCCCTAACATTTGATACCCCCTCCTCCTCCCAGTACCCATCCACATGAGTGAAGAAGTGACGCTATGTTTGAGACGTCAGAGAATATTATTCTTGATCTCCCCAGAACAAAGATTTCTTCGAGACCCGCCGCAGACGATACGGCCCTGTCTTCAAGACGCACATCCTGGGCTCGCCCGTCATCCGGGTCATCGGGGCCCCCCACGTGAGGACGATCCTGTTCAACGAGGACAGCCTGGTCACTGCCTACTGGCCCACCAGTGTCCGTCTGCTACTGGGGGAGGGGAGTGTGGGGATGGCCATTGGCGGCCTGCACCGGTCCAGGAGACGTGCCCTACAGAAGGCGTTTAACCACCACGCCCTGAGCCAGTACCTGCCAATCATGCACAAGGTACGAGTGTTAGGCGCTATTTTCTGTGGAATTACAGAACAGTCATGGCGGGACGCTAATATGCCGGCACACATTTCACTTAAGTTGTCTCCCATATATAGCTGAGGCCTATTCGAAGTACCAACTTACATTTCACTTAAGTTGTCTCCCATATAAAACCAAGGCCTATTAGAAGTACCAACTTACATTTCACTTAAGTTGTCTCCCATATAAAACCAAGGCCTATTAGAAGTACCAACTAACATTTCACTTAGGGTTGTCTCCTATGTAAAACCAAAACCCAGGATTTACTATCATCATATGTTATTAGTTCTTACCACATCAAAGTAATAGAGGACTATCCACACGTCTAACACTTTTTGCCTTCACAGATCACCTTGTAACAAACCCCCTCACACACACACACAGATTAATTTTTTGCCGTCAAGGTTTCAAATTGTTCTTCTTTTTATCCGAACATAAGCTGACTGGAAAGTTATTAAAACATAATTGAATGTGCTAATTATTCGCTTAATTGTCCAATATAAACGACCCCACATACCCCCTCTTGACGTCACGCATGTGTAAGGCTCGTTTAGAAATTGCATGACGTCTTATTTCTCTAAAAGACCTGGTGTCCTAAACTAATTTCCCACAACTGCTTCAGTGTGAGCAGTCTCTCCCACCCCCACCCCCCCCCCCCCACACACGCACACACGCGCGTCCCCCCCCCCCCCCACATACACACATACACGCCCAACATGACGTAACACCCGTGTCACCCCGTAACAAACTGTCACCTTTATCGTCTGTAGGTGGTGAAATCTTCCATCGACTCCTGGTGTCACCAGCCGTCTGTATTGGCGTACGATCAATGTAAGACCATGACCTTCACCTTGGCTGCCCAGGTGCTGGTTGGATTTGACCTCACGCCCCCGGAACTCGAGGAACTGATGGGCGTGTTCGACACGTTTTGTAACAACCTCTTCTCTCTGCCACTGCGCTGCCCAGGATTGGGGCTTTTGAAGGTAAGCGGTGTGTGTTTGGTGCAATATGCACAGGCAGCTGTCATATAATACAGATGAGATCAAAGTGATTGGGGTTTCTTTCAGACATTTTTACGCCAGGGGTGGAACTTTTGAAACTTCCAGAGAGGGGTTTGGGCGGGGGGGGGGGACACGACACTTGAACCTTCCAGAGGTAGGACACGGGTTTCATGTATATTTTTTATACGAAGTGTAATTTTTCTATTTAGTTCCGGGGATGGGGGGGGGAGGAGGGGGAGGCTGGAAATATTCCTGAAAGAAACTATGAAAGTGATATCTTCTTATACTAATGTCTGCATTGCTGTGTCTAATCAGGGAATTACTGCCCGTGGTATTCTGCTTGAGAGAATCGAGTCCTGCCTGTTGAAAAAAGAGGGGAGGGGTGAGGCAGGCGACGCCATGTCCCGCCTCATCAGCGGTCACGATGCCCTGAGTCTCGCAGAGGTCAAGGACCTATGTCTGGAGCTGCTGTTTGCAGGGTTTTCAACGCTCTCCAGCGCTGCCACTTCTCTGCTTTATTATCTGCATCAGAACAGGTCAGTACCACACCTTGATGTCATGTCACAACCCCCCCCTCCTGCCCCCAATGTCATGTCACACCATGTGCCCCTCCCCTTTCTCCACTCAACTCACCCTTATCTTAACCCTTTCCTCCTTGCCTTACCTAACCCTGTAAAACCCACGGAGAGCAAAAGACTGCAGCTTTACATCTCCAACTGAGCGGCTCTCTTTATTTGGGCCATGCAGGGCTACAGTCCTGACTTGTTTTTCAACAGTTCTTCAATGTGATCTTCTAGGCCTGTCCACTTTAAGTAAATATCCCTTTTCAAACCTGACGGTCTATAGGGGCAAGTGAAGTAGAGTACACTTGTATCTGTGACCTCGGCATATGAAGAGATAGTGTGGTCAGCACTATGCCCGCTTTTACTTTCCCTAACGTGAGTTGGGTGGACTCAGGGACGGTCTACTGACTAGAACCCGGATTCGAACTCGAGACTTACGGGTTTGCGGTCCAGCTTTCTACCGCTAGACCACTCCGTCCCACCCTGTCCACTTTACTACAATTTTTTTCTTTGATTTTTTTTTTTTTTGCATGAGGAACGAATATAAAACACGTAACTATTTTCTCATGTCAAGTGTAAATGAAATGTAGCTGTTTCGTGACGCTATATACGTTGGCTAAATTTGTGCATGAAGTCACATGACAAGACGCCATGTTTTTCACCAGTGAGGTCATGGGCAGACTTGAGCTTGAGCTGGCCGAGCACGGATTGGCTGAGGAAGACACGTGCAACCTGTCGCTGAACACTCTGGGTAAACTAAAGTACGCCGGGGCGGTGGTCAAGGAGGTGCTGAGGATAGCCCCGCCCATTGGGGGAGGCTTCCGTACCGTGCTCAAGCCTTTCACTCTAAATGTAAGTCATGTGACGATCTTATGTTACTTAATTCACATCCACTATATTAGCCACATTCTCAACATCAAACTTTGCCAACGGGAAATAACTGAAAAATGTATTTAAAACTTCATACTTTCTGACACACACGTCGTTACGAAATTCCACACCTCCCCCATTTTATTATCTCCTTTATGAGTGAGACGTCATTTATGAACGACCCAGAGGCGAATCGACCCATTCAGTTGCCCTTGGAGTCCCATCCGCCCTCCCTTAGCTACGCCACTGGAACGAACACCAAACCCTATCTCTACAGCTCAGTGGCGTAGCGAGGTCGGGTGTCACCCGGTGCGGCACTTAATGGTGTCACCCCCCAGAGGCGTTGCGACCCTTCCCGGGGACAAACTTTCAAGTTTTCGATTTGCATCCCCCCCCCTCAAACTTTCGATTTGCACCCCTCCTCAAACTTTCGATTTGCACCCTCCCCTCAAGTTTTTCTCTATATATTTTGCTATTTATTGCCTTGGTGTCACCCCCCTAAATGGTGTCATCCGGTGCGGTCCGCACCCCCCGCCCCCCCCCCCCCCCTCGCTACGCCCCTGCTACAGCTTTCAATTTTAATTGTCTAAATTCTAGCTCCATTTTAACTGCATGCAATTAGGTAAGGCGATTCTTGTCACATGTATTGGTATGTAATGCTGTGTCGTTGATTTTTTTTTTTTTAGGGTTATCAAATCCCTGCCGGATGGAAAGTTGTGTACAGCATACGAGAGACACATCTGTCGTCAGACGTCGAACACGTCCAGAAATTTCAACCTGAAAGATGGCTAGAGAAAGACCAACACAAGGAGGAAACTTTGGATTACATCCCTTTCGGCGGAGGAGCCAGGATGTGTGTCGGTAAACAGTACGCACAAATATTCCTGCGCGTCTTTCTCGTTGAACTAGTCCGATCCTGAAATGGCGTCTGGTGAATCCATCCGTGCCGATGAGTTATCTCCCTGTGCCCCATCCTGTGGACGGTATGCCAGTTGTTTTCACAGAAGAGCGGCTACCTAACAGGACAAGGTCACATTCATTTTAAATTATTTAACAAGTGTAAATAAAATTATTCTATCCAAACTTTGATTTGTGTTGTTATCAGTATAAAAAATAATGCGTGCTGTCAGAGACGTCGCAAAGGGGGGGGGGGGGGGGGGCCGCTCCGGGTGACACCCAGTGTTTCTTCCAACTTTTTTTTCGGGGGGGGGGGGGGGGGGGGGGCAGTAGACTTTCTTCGGGGGGGGGGACACTGATAAAAGTATATATTTTCTATATAAATTTCATTTCGTTCGGGGGGGGGGCAGAGACCCCCGAAGAGATGCCTGGAAGAAACTCTAGTGACACCATTTAGTGGGTGACACCCTGGCGAAAAATTGCAAAATATATAGTAGAAAAATGCTTTTTGCCAGTTCAATTAATGATTAATAAGAGTGAATCCACTTATATTAATAGCTGACTATAGATAACCATCCTTACTATTAACTATGCACACTATAAAGCTATCATTGGGGGGGGGGGGTGACACCAACAGAAGAATTTAGACAGGAATAAAGGCGTGTGTGGTATTTTGATTAACAGGTACGTAAATCAACGAAAGTAGAGGTGAAACAAAAATCTAATGATTGTGCGCACAAATCAATGCCATTAGGCAAAATGAGAAGTAGCGATGCGTTATTGATAAATATCGACTAATGCCTATGGGGGTTAAGACTTAGGGCCGACATCTGGAGCTTTACGTTTAGAACAAAAATTATGAAGAACGTTAATATAAACTTTAAGTGATGGGGAGCGAATGACAATTTTGTGGAGCAAATGGGTTTTAATCGGCTGGCAAATATTAAGTCATTTATAACGCTAATTGTGGGATTTGAAAAAAAAAAAACGAACATAAAGAGGTTAAGGAAAGTCATTCTTACACAAAGTTAGCTTAGTATCACAGACCAACAAGAAGGAAGCTGCAATTGTCAAATCAAGGAATGGCAAAACAGGAGCTGCTAGAGAGCTGTGACTGTTGAGCTCAAATGTCAAGTGCTGTTTGGAGATTTGGAAGGATTACTAAGTCAATAATCGATCAGGATTTCTTTCAGACTTTTTCCTGGGGGGGGGGGGGGAGGCGTTTTATCATACCAGCATTTTAAAATTAAACGCTTGAATTGAAACCAATTTGTTAGGCATTTAAAGTGGTGTACTAGCTTTAGCAATGTGTTAATGTTTTTGACAAGTTAAATTTAGTCATCAGTAATGTAATACAAGTACAAGCCTGCTGCAAGGACAACACTGTCCAGCATTTTATTGTTAAAGGCATCTGATAGTGAATAAACTTGTTGCTTTTGTTTAAGTTTGCTATAGAGAAATGGGTCAATTAGTCGAACAATAGACTGGATACATGAAATCTCAACATTAATATCATACCAGATAATTACAGCAAGTCTGAGACAATACATAAATTACTGGATGGGATGGCAAACACTTTCAATTGTTGGTTGTCATACAATCACACAAATAATATAAAACAAACAAGTAGATCCTGTTTGCAACTTTTATATACACAACATCAAAAGTAAAATTTTTTGATAAAACTTGTGACATTCCAATGAAAAATATCTCAAACATTTGAAACATTTACATGCAAGACAGTCCATCTCCACATATTCTTCTAATACCAGACAGGAATACGTGAATTATAAACAACAACAAAGTTTTCAACCGATGGCTCCTCCTATTTACCAGGCACCCCCTGGTTTCTAATAGAAACCTACAGGTTCAATGAATACCTGATCAATACCATTTAAGCCATGAAATAGAACCAAAGTGCTCAAGTCACCTGGGTACCATACTGGCATTAGTCATAGTAAGAAAAGAAACATACAAGTTATCAATATTAAAAAAAAACCTAATATCTCTAGCCTAATGCTGCAACACAACAATCATTAAGCTAACTAAAAGTGTATGCTTATCATTACACTTGGGTGAAACATGGTATACACAATAATATATACAAGTACAAAAATGAGAAATGTTTAAACTGTTCTATATTATGTACATGAGAAACGAGTCAATACATCTTCAACCGAAAAATACTTTGATAATGCTAATCCAACAATTGAACACTGTTTACTGAGCAGCTGCCTCTGGTTCTTTCTCTTTTCTGTCTTTTTTCTCTGCACCTACAATACAAACTACAGTTTATCAGCATCGATCAATTCAACATTTTGTAGCCCGTGATTAATTTACTAGAAATTATAAAATGAATAATGCAGCACAATAGTGTTCAGTCAAAGATTTGTACCTTCATCTCCAGTACTACTTGTGTGTCTTCTCTTTCTGTTACTAAATCTCTTTGTTGGAAATCTGGGAGCTGGAAGAGCATCCATACCCAAAACTTTATGGATTTGTCGGAATGCTATCAACCTCAAAGCATGCTAGAAAAAAAAAGTGAGTGATAATTGTTTGTCTTGCATGACCTCTCCAGACTAGAAACAGATGTATAGCTAAGACTCATCTACATACACTAAGAAAACTGACCACAGCTACATGTGTTAGGGCAAGAAAACTGACCTATCACCAGACAGATATAATGGACTATTTACCTGAGCTAAAGCAGTAATATCCTCCCTCTGTTGGTTGGTTAATGTAGCAGTAACATCATATGCCTCTTTTTCACAAGGATCATACAACCCGGGGCCACCTGTATTTCAAGTTAGAGAAGAAGTAAATGAAACTTATTTGTAGCTAATTAAAAAATTAGGCTACTTTTTCTTTTATTTTATGCTCATATAAATATAAACATGGTTTGAACAGAGTAGTTAAAATGTTTAGAAACATGCACAAGAAATAATTGCTATTACCAATTTCTAAAGCTTAGCTTACCAGGCAAGAATATTCCAGAAGCAATACATTCAAATACACGTCTTAATGAATCCCCAGGTGCCATGTTAGCCCCTCCAGTACTGACACATTTTTCAACCAGAAGTTCCATGGCCTAAAATAGAAGATAAACTATGATATGAGAATGTATTGTATAAAAAATTAAATTTCAGAAAATTTGCCAAACTTGTTAAGAAAGTTTTGGTAAATTTGCATAAATTAGTTATTAAAATTAAAATCCTATTTGTGTTATGTCATAGCAACATTTTTCAATGAAATAGATAAATGTAAGGGCATTATGAAGTGCTACACAAAGTCAGTCTCACCCATTCATTGAGTAGTGACCATGTTGGTACACGCTGGCAAAGATCTCTAAGAATTCTGATAATGATGACACATGATGGCAGACCATTTGCTCTAGCCTAAAGAAGACAGTTGTTATCATAGATTAATCTACAAAGCTTCAAGTGGGTAGGCAGGTGGACTTTAACAAGTGACTATGGAGCAGAAAAAATGTGACATGAGAAATTGATAAAGCTAGTAAATGATGCAGCCCTGGTGATAACCACGCAGGGTGCACGGTGTGACACTTCATGTTACAAGCTAACTTTCCAGCCTCATGGTATATACCATTGTCCCAGTGCATTATTTACTTCTATAACTTGTTAACTAGTGTCAAAGATGGATGTTGTAAGGATTTCTACATTTTTAAGTTTACAACACCAAAACTCCTGACACCCATCTAAGACACCGAGCCAACAAAGAACAGTGACAGTCAGAGCCAAAGTAGGCACCTGCAGCCAGTCTGCCTCTGACAATGTCTACAATCACGACACTGTCTACCATGTTCTAAACATTCTTACATGTTTTTCTTTGTTCATGAAATATTATAGAACAAATTTTCCTTTTTCATTTGATCTTTAGTGTTACAGAATAAAATTGAAATAAATTGATGAACAAAGACTGTAACAAGTTGAACACAAAATTAAATAAGCACTGGGCATAAAATGAAAAGAAAGTAAAAACAAACGTTGCGGAAGTACTAAAGATTACATAAGGCTGCAAAGTATAAAGGAAAGTGCCAAACCTGAAACCACTTAGCATGACGAAGGGCAGCTAGAGCATCTAGGCATTTCTGCCTGTCGAGGACATCAGGCGGGTCTTTGACGTTAACCGTCTCTATAGAAACGTAGATGAAATCAGTTTCACTGGCCAGGAATGGGTGTTTGACCATAACGAGGGTGGCAGTGCACTACAAGCCATGAGAACGGCTGGGTACTTGAGGACATAAACACAACACTTGCTTTGTACACTCTCATTATGATATGTATTTTGCTACCAGATTCTAGAAAACTTATACTTGACAGCCTTTGATTTTTTAAAAATCCATTGAATAATATACCTTTATGATTGGATTAAAGTTAAATTTTAACTGCACTTACATGAGAGTAATGTAATTGATCTTAACAGTTTGTGAGTAAAAATGAGCGAGGAAAAGTCTAGTTATTTTGTGTCATTTACATAACTACTATCAGTAACATAATAGAGTACAATGTTATTCTGAGAGAGAATTTTTAAGATCTGTTCATTAACACAATTTAAGTTTATTTATTTAAAATGCTTTAGTTTTTAAATTGCAGGAGTAAGTCTTTGAGAGAGCTTGAAATTTAAAAAATTTTTTTACAAAGAGAGCATTGTTACATCTAATACTGTGTTATGTCACTGCATTAGAACAAAATAACAGTTACAAAATAAAAGCACAAAGAACATTCTATCAGATCAAATACAGTTTCACACAAAAGTGCCTGTGTCCTCAATGCCACCCTAAATGGTCAAAAATCCTTCCATGTTCCGTCTTTTCAATCACACCTGTGGGTACTTTAGATGGCTTTGCACAGCATTCATGTCATTAAGAGGAAAGAAAATTGAAATTATGTAAAAGTGACAATTTCACAGGCAGTTTAACCTGTTAGCCCCTTTTATATACTGGCTGATCTAAAAAGAATTGGGTTTTAAAAACTTAGATTTGGGGTCCATTGTTGAAGTAGGTAGAATGATCATGTGTGGCAACTATTTCCCAGTTAAATTCTGTCAACCTCAACAAACTTATATTGGTAACAGATTTTAACAAGCTAAACTATGCTTTTAACCACATGAATAATTTTAAAATATGACATTTAGCTTGTTCTTATAGTTTGCACACAAGCAGCTAGAAACAAGTACTCTCCCCTACTAGCTACCATCCCTTCTACATGACCACTCTACTGTATAGCTGCTTAATTAGGAAATGGATTTTGGTTTTGGGTGACTAGAACTGATTAAATCAGCACAGATATTTCTTTCCTAGTTAAAGCGTGAAGGCTCAGAGCTCTAATTACATAATGTTTAAAACATTACCTCCTTCTGGTAGATTTGCCTCTCTCATGATGGGAGATGTAAGAGTGATGGTACAACTGGTAGCAGGCTCTGCGTCACAGCTGACAATTATAGCAGCTTCTTCAACACACCGTTTTACTTCATACTGTTCAGTGGTTACAGCCTTGTGGAAATATAACAAAAGGTCCTAATTATTAAAAAAAAAAGTAGCTGGTATACATTAAAACAATTTCATTTTGATTTGGTTGTAAATTAATTTTTTATAATCTGGTATAGCAATTTTACTTAACACCACTCACAGATTTAACGTAAAATAAAGGTACCAAAATTTCTGATACTTTACATAAACCCATAAAATGTTTAGCTGGATAAAAGCTTATTTATCTGTTAAAGATTGTAACAATGCACCCAACAATATTTTTTTGTTTAATTCTTTGTTTTTCAAATTCAAGGTTTTAATTGTAAAACTGGTTATGATATTTAGAGCAACCATTTTTATTGTATTTACTTCTTTATAGAATTTTTTTTTAAAAACCATCACAAACCAGCATTTTCGAAGCAACGTTTTTTAAACACTGTGGAAATCCATTCACACAATGGATTTGCTTTTATTATGAATAAGAACTTAAGAAAGTAATTCCTATCCTCAGAAGTAGTCAGCTTTTTCTTAAAAACTAAGTAATTATCTTTCTTCAAGAAATTGATTTCATAAAATTAAAATAAGCGTGTAGTGCATTCAATTACAATTAATTTACATTGGTGATGTGTGGGTTTGATATTAATTGGTAAAAAGATACGAGTCATTTATCGAGTTCAAAGAGTTAAATAAAACAGTTTTAAAGAACAATCTTACCGATAGCTGTTTCGGTAATGCATCAGCAACCTGTTCTAGCATTGTCCGAGTGGGTTTCTCAGAACAAAGAACAACAAGATTGACATTTAGATCTCCATGCAGAAGTAATCCTTTAGCTAGAACACCAACTCGCATGACACCTTTTAGTACACGGCTGGTGGCAGATTCATCTTTCTTCTCACTATAAAAACAAACATGAAAAAGCAATAAAACAAAAAACTATAGAGGAAAAATCTCATTACTTTTTAAATTTTTTTACAGAAGGGTTCATACTGACCTCTCTTTCTCAGCTTCAGCAGTTTCTGTTTTTACTGAAGCTTTCTTGACTTCAACCTTTTCTGATTTTTTATCTTTGTTATCACTAAAAAGATAAATTGTTAAAATTATAGAACGGAAAAATGCTTATCTTATTAAGATTTTTAAGCCATTGATAATAACAGTTCTAAGCTGTTGAAGTTTTCTTAATAGCTTTTGATTAGCTTTTTAACACATTTTTTTAAAAAGTGCCTGAGCCTAAAAAATTAGAAAACTAACTTACTTTTCAGCTAAAACATCTGAGACTAGCTTAAGAGCTTTTTCACAAGCTGAAACAATATTTTGAACTGCCTGCAACTGTTAAAAACAATTTAAGATATTAGTTTGAAGTCAAAGACAAACTATCGCTAAAATCAAAAGATTAACATACAACTTTACTTACTTCATCTTCTGTAGGATATATGCTGTGATGTTTAGTCATAACATGTCTATCATCAGAAGAATCTGGCCTTCTCAGCTGTAACAAAATAACAATTCCAATTTATAAATATTTTTTTTGCTTATATATATATATGTAAAGAAATTTTTTGACTAAACATGGATGTTTAGTACAAGGTAACTCACCATTGGATGTATCGGAAATGGAGCACGCATCATAGGGCCCATCGGTCCAAATCTCTGCCAATCCATAAACTCAGGAGGAATAGGACCTCCCATCATTTCAAGACGACGATGGCCCCAATATATTTCATCTTCCATTCTAACAAAGATTAAGCATGGTAAAGATTTAATATGTGAAAGCTACTACTTAAGAAACTGAGTGTAGGATTAAATTTATCAAAGCTAACTACCTCATCTCTTCTCGTAAACGCTCCTGCTGTTCTTTGCGTCGCCAAAACTCCTCTTTCTGTGCCTGTCTACGCATTTTATCTTCTTGGATTTTTCTTACTCGGATACTTGGTTTTACTTCAACTTGGAGGTTTGGATCAACTTTTTTCTTTTTTGAAAGAGAAATAACTAAGTATAAAGTCGCAATTTTCAAATTTAGAATAAAGCCTACTGTTAACTTAAAATAATCAGAGCTGCAGTAACAAAAATTTAACTACACAAACTATTATTTTAAGTTAAATAAGAAGTGGTTTTCTATAATAATTGACTTCTCTTCACAACTTTTGAATAGATTAATTCTTTTAACAGTATTTTTGATATACAAGATAGCCAAGTCCAACAAGATATCATCACACATTTTTTAACAAAACTGATTTATGATCAACTCAAAACAGATTTTTTAAGGAAATGGACTAAATGTGAACTGAAATTATATCCTGTAATAATTAAATAAACTAAATAACCACCACTTGCCATGACAATCGACATGGAGGTGAGGAGGGTTATTAAGAAGACGCAAGTTAAACAAAAAGTACCGGATAATACAGCTGAATGCAACACTCAGGCCAAGAAATCAAAAGTTTACTACAACAGGGAAAAAACAACTAATTTACAGTAACAATTTTCAAATGCAGCAGATAAGAATCATCCCTCAAAAAAGATCAACATAATATAATTACCTTGTATTGCAATCGATGTCGTCTGCCTTTCAAATGCATCTCTTTAGCATTTGGGTCATTGAATTTACAGTCACAAAGTTTGCAATTGAAACTAACTGTTTTACCAATGTCATTTTTTATTTCCTCAATGTACTCGTGGCCTGCAATGTTTAACGCATATATATTTAAATAGTATATGTATGCAGAAAATGTAAGTTAAAAAAGGACAAGATGTAACAAAAAATTACTTAGATGAAACCTTACAACAGACTGCTCACCACCTACACTAGGCAAGTCAAAGACCTCACCATCAATATGAACATGGTGAGTGGATGAAGAGTGCTTTGGGTTACGGAGAAGTGTGACCAAATGTGGAATAAATTGTCTCTGCATATTTATGTTTCATAAATCAGTCCTTAAATTTACTTTTTACTTTTCATTTTATGCAAGAAAATAAACAAAATTTATGGCTATGGTAGAATAGCTTTGCTTTGGGGGAACAAAGTGGGGTTAGCAAAAAAATACAGAATTTTTACAACCGTCTATTTTCCTGAAATGTTCTGAAAAGCTACACTCCTAAGCTCCTCACAAATCCTGGATGAAATAGATAAAATTAATGGGTTTTTCTTTTTAAAAACTCACCAACTGGAGTCACATCCTTCTCAGAGGCAGAATTAGCACCATCATCTCCTGATAGGAACAAAAATTTGCAAATTCTCAAATTTAATGAAATTTATTTACTACATTTCTATAAAAAGTATTGTGCTACTGATCTTAAAACTTATTAAAAAAAAAGGAAAATTTGGGCGAAACAGAATGTACTAACCTTCATCATCAGACATTGATGTTGAAGCATCACCAGAATTTCTTACTGCTGTGGCTGTAGTGACTGGTGCTGCTGTAGTCACCTCTTCTGATTTACCAGCTAATGTCTTTAACTGGGTTCCACCTTTAAAAATGATAACAATAATAAAAATATACGCCCTCTATGAAAATGCTTGCTGCTCTATTTTAATTTGGAAAAGAAAACTAAATATTTAATAACCACAGTAGTGTTGTGCTTATATGTGATAAGCCAGAATGACATACCAACAAAGTTTATTTTGGGTGCAGCCAAAACTTTTTTTGCTGCAGTGGCTGATTGTACAACAACAGCTTTTCCTGGAGCAGGTTTAGCTGCAGTTTTATTTGCTGCAGATACAACTGGGTCAGTTGATGGGATTGGTTTCCCCAGCTTTGTATGTAGTTTCACAACCTGAGATTTTTCACAATAAGAAGATATAATTTAATAAATAAAATCCTAGCTACAATACATTCTTTTAAACAATATAAAGTATCTAGAAATGTTGAGTCATAGATAATTTACTACACTATTTGCGTCATGAATATATTGAAATTTATTTAACAAACAACCAGCATAATGAATGGAAATAAAAGATACTTAAAACTGATCAACAATCACATAACAAAAGTAATTAAAAAATTAACCTTCTGGTGTTTAGCTCCACGAATATGTGCAGCATAAGCGTCTTGCCCAGTGCAAGTGACATCACAAAGTTCACACCTCATCTGATTATGAGACTGTCTACTTGAAGGTTGACTAGCTTTTAATGCAGCTTCTTTTTTTTTGTGCTTTTGACCTTCTAAATGTTCACGATAAGTCTGAAATAGTTTTTTTTATTAAGAAAAAATTTACTTTTAACAATATACGATTAAGAAGACTGTTCTCCTTATATTTACACATCATCTAATGCAAAATATAAAAAATAACTATCAGTTTAAAGAATGTTTTTTGTGTCTATGATACAAAGATGTCCTAAAATATCTTTTAAATTCTATATTTGCTTTTTATATTTAGTTCGATAATTAGATTTTTTTTACTTACTAATTAATACTTTAAATAATACATGTATGTAAATATGCTGATATATATATAACAAATCAAGTAAAGAATTGTTAAAGTAAATTCCATGAAGATGAGTGACTGGGATTTTTCTTTTTCATCTGCATGTTTAAATTAGTTTCTTGCATGAATAGGTTACTAAGAAAATTATTTGGTTTTAAAAGCATCAAAAAGATAAAAAATTTCCGGAGAAAAATATGGAATGACAAAATTATGAAGGAGAATATTTAAATGATTTTTAATAATCAAACCATTACTTCCCCGACGGGCTCAAGAAAATCTGCATGGTTGAAATTGTGTGGCATGATATAACAAATGCTTCAATGTTAAAGGTTTGAGGTAAATATTACACTGCGGTAATAACACAATGCAATATTGTGTCAACACTGGTGATAACATTCTGATATAAACAGGCCTACTACTTCATCATTCTTTTAATTATACAAAAAAAAAAAACGAACTAGGAATAACTTTAACAATACGTGTTAGTAGGTAAGTGGTATTTTAAGACAAGGGTGGCTAGAAGTTTTGAGTGTAAAGAAGGGGTGGAAATCACAAGAAAGTGGTACTATCAATAAAATAATGTGCTAAGTTTGTCCTGTTCACAGCTAGTTTCTAAATAAGCTGCAATTTGCATATTAATTTTAAACCATTTAAAGAGAAAGTCGAGATAAATTACCTGAGGCCCAGCACAGCTGATCTTGCACACATCACAATAGTGCAACTGAGGAGCTTTAGGGGGTCCTTTTGGTTTTGGTTTGAACTGATTACCAGCAGCTGTTTTTTTTACCATCCATGATGGTGTTCCAGTTTTGCCTTGTTGCTGTTGGCTGTAATAGTTGCTAGCAGCAGAATACAGAGCTGCATCATAGCCTAGAGAAGATAAATCATCTGTAATGTTACACAAAATGAATACCAATGCGCATGTGCAAGTAATAAGTATATTGAATTATCAATTATGAAAGAAAATAAATTACTTGATATGCTGGTTTGAGGAGCAGTGGTAGTTGTGTAACCAGTTGTGGAATATGTAGTGACAGTTGGTGTGGTAGAAGAATAGACATAACTTGTGCCAGTGGATGAGACGGGAATCGCTTGAGCCTTGGGCGCTACTGCAGCTTGTCTTTGAGCACTGGCAAAAGTTGCCCCAGTGCTAAAAGCTGGCTTGGCTGTTGTTAAAGAAAGGCCAACTTAAAATACCACGAGCAGTAAATTAAGGTGGCAAGAAAAAAATAGTTTAATAAAGTTGTAAAATAAAAATTGATTAAGAATAAAATTAAAACCAAAATAATTTAAATGAAAAAAGGAGTATAAAAATGAACAAGTTAGATAATTTAAACAAAATAATTTGTTATGCAAGGACTCACCAGCTTGAAATTGTGGATCAGCAGCAGCTGTATATGTTGTCGCAGCTGTTGGTTGATAATATGCCTTTGACTGATCATATGTGACAGTTGGCTGCAAGGAAAAGGCACTCTGAAAAACGAAAAATTTCTTTTAAATACAAGGATATTTCAAGGTAAATATATATCAATTTAGTTTAAAAATAACTTGCAAAGAACCACTAGCTTGATAATAAAGTGCATGCTAGAAGTCTATAAATATATGCTTGCAAAATACCCAGGCAATAGCCTTTGCCAATTATATTCATCATAATATTTGACAGCTAACTATGAGACAAAAATAATCTGAAATACTTACTGTGACAGCGACCTGTGCTCTTGAATATGCGTACTGTGTTGAAGGATGTACAGCTGCAGAAGCTGCAGCAGCTGGATAGCTTTCGTAAGTCTGTCCAGCTCTTGGGGGAGCTGCTGTTGCAGCATAAGCAGCCTGAGGAGCTGCAACATAAGCACTCTGGGCAGAAGGATAGGCTTGTGCAGCAGGTGCCACTTGTGCCATTGGGTTGGCAGTAGGATAAACAAAATGTGCCATTGTGGAAACTAAAAAAAAAGGAAAATAATAATAAATAATAAACATGGGCTACTAACTCTCATTCTGTCATTACAGGCTCAAATTAGTACAAATTAGCAAGGCAAACTGGAACAGGGTTAAGAATCAAGCATTTCTCTCACACATGTTCCCAGCCGTTAGACATGCAGGTTTCCACCAGACTGTTTCCTCATGCAGTCCACAGCCCCACCTGGTTTAAACATGAGGGAATTCAGTCAGGGATGATGTATGGCTTTGAAACCCAGGACCCAAATCTACTGACTTCTGTGTTAATAAGCGCGCAGTCTACAGCTAGACATGGGTTACCATATAAAACAAACCACAATTAATTCAACCAATAAGCTAATGTAAAATTTTACCTTACATTTTTTCAGGATTTTCAAGTAGTTGCTTTTGTATTTTTTTAATGGATTCTTCTTACCCTTGTGAATACATGTATCATATAAAAAAGCTTTGTATCTGAGCTATTTTTTAAATTGTTTCCATTACAACCATGTTATATCACTCTTACGTTTGAGGCCATAGCAAACCATGAATTGGTTTGACTTTTTAATTGGCTATGCACAAGAGTGCCTCACTAATGATTAACCAAATAGTCACATGGTTTTTTAAAAAATAAATATAAATTGGTTGTGATATGAGAGTGGTCTTATAAAAAAAAGCTCACAATAGGCCTATTTGATTTATGTTTTCATAGACAGATAAAACTAATAAAGCTTTGCTTACTCTCTCACTTTTGTACCTACATCAATTATATTTTAAAAGTTCTATTAGATTTAATGAAAACTACATTTGAATTTAGCCTCCATTATTCAAAACAAATTTTAATATGCTTTTCTAGCATGTATAGCCCTGCCACCCATAGTTTGTTTTTATAATATGAAAATGGATGCTATTTCGAGTTGTCCCTTTGAACCCTAGTCAGAATCAGATCATCCACCCAAAGCTAACTGCATTGACAGTAAAAACTAGATCTAGATCTAGTTCACTCCCTTGGGAGTTGACTGGAACAGACAGTGACAGTGAGACACTCAACATTTTAGAATTAGGTCAGATCAGGCTATAAAAATATTTAAATAATTTAGAGTAAAGTTCCATGCGCGGTTAAAACCCGGGTGCGGCCATCGCCTGTTTATCGCTTCGTACAATATTTGTTTTGATGTTTTATACGAAACTACCGATATCTGCTGTAAACCTGTCCATTTCTAAATATATCCAGGTCAAATTCTTTTGTTTTTCTCTTTCTGGAAGTCGAGTTTTTAAATTTTAAAGTTTCGAGGTATGACGTCGTAGGCGATTCTAGTTCCCCGTATGAAAAACACTAGGTCCTGGATGAGATGAATAAACCAACCAATTAAAGCTTTTTATAACTAGGTTAACTATAAATAGCTTCTACAATATGTGCGGGACACTGTACATACGATAGATAAGGCTAATAAAGCAACCTGTTAGGTGAATAGGGGTGGCCGCAGCTTGGGTAACGATTTGGGTGGTTTCACCTCGCTGCGTAACCAACGACTTGAGCTAGACTAGCCTAGTTCTAGATGCTCTACATTTCAAGCTAAGCCTAGAATCTGTATAATTTCTATTTTTTTCTGCTGTTTTAAATTATTTCGATCATCTACTTCTTCAAAATCTAGTTTGTGTCTCTACATACAAGCATATCTAAGCAAATGTTACGTTATGTCTTGTCAGTGGTTGTTACGTCCCTTTGTTATGATTATTATAGTTGCGTCCCTTGAGTCATCACTGGGTCAACTTTTAATGTCATTAATTAATTTAACTAACATGTTTTTAATTTGGTTTTGCAATCTATTAATTAATAATACAATCAACAACATGTTTAAAAGTGTAAAATATTTATTTTCTTTATTAAACTAGGATTAAAACGTATAAAACACGATCGTTACGCAAGCCGGTTCAGATGGCCGCAGGGAGAAAAAAAGAGGGGAAAAAATATTGCAAGTCAAGTAGCACGTCACTAAAACATGAATATCTCAAATTCAATGCATAGGAATATAAAATGATTGATACATATTAAGAGTAGAAAGGCAGAGGAATAATATAGTACTTTGGGTTTGTTTCTGTGTTAAACAGTTACAAAATAGCACCCGATGAAAGTCGGGAGTTCGCTATGTGTGACCGGTTGTGGAAATTCTCTAGATCTAGATCTAGAAATCTAGATTCTATATCTGTTTATTCATGTAACATTTCCTTAGAAATGCCTACAATACAATGAGCAACATAATTACACACTAACTACTATTAGATTCTATATCTAGAATCTAGTCTAGAAATCTAGATCTGCTCTATGCAACCTCGCTTCAGCAGACAATAAAAATAGTGTGGAGCTGTGAGTGCAGATGAGACTGAGGACCTATTCCAGTGCATGTTTACTGAGAGCCGCGAAAGCTTTATTTCCATTGCATAGTACCAGTCTAGTAGGTTATAAACATACTTAACTTCCCAATTAATAGATCTAAATATACACACCTTATAAACTTCGATTGTTTCCAAGCGTTGTTAGAAATTTCGTTTTTTTCTAATCCTTAGCAAGAGTAAGCGGCCATGTAGTGAATCAAAAGAAAGACCGGTCTACTTCCGTTGATGGTTGAATTACGCCGTGTGCAAAATTATTTTGACCAAATAAATATTTTAATACAAATATTTCAAAATATGATCTAAATATTATATCTGAACAATATTAGGTTATTAAAATTGAAAATATACTAGTTTTACTAAAAAAATTAAAAACTCGCATAAAGATAAATCGACACTAGATCTATTTCTCTAGAGAGTAGATCTAGATCTAGGCAATAATGTATTGTTAAGCGGAGGGTTAAAAGTAGGCCTAAACGAAGCGTTGTTTCAAAAACTAAAAATGCTTTGCTTGGACTATAAAACAAAACATGATAAAAAAAATTTAATGGATTCATTTTAGGTACATTTAGGGGTCATCCATAAATAACGTCACGCTTTTTTGGACGATTTTTACCTCCCCACCCTTCCCCTCCGTCACACGTCGTCACAAAAAGCCAGACCCCCCCCCCACCCTCAAATGACGTCACACCTCAGCCTACAACCCCCCCCTCAAAATTGCAGTTGATTTTTTTTAAAACATCGATATTTTTTCCAAAAACTTGTCTGAACTCTGTCAAAATATAGTATTTTAATCAATTCCTATTACAATTTATCAAAACAGTTTTCTAAAACTCGAAATAACGTCTAAAATTCGTTTTCTAACATTGCTTTTTATAATGCAAAAGTGTGACGTCTCACCATCTGAACCACCTCCCCCTCATCACACACCGTCACAAGATTACGGACCACCCTCTCCCCCCTACGAGTGTGACGTCATTTATGGACGACCCCTTTACCCTAAAAACCGTAGGTTTATCCTAACAGATTGTGCACGTAAAATACAGCCTTTGTAGTGCCAAATTGTTTCGTGATTGGGGCGGGTTTCAGAGCTAACGCAAATCTCAAATCTTGCATAAAATTTCAAATAAACTGAAAGCAACTTTTTATACTTTGAAATTACTACAATAAAATGTGTTGTTATTAAATTGATTCTTGAAAAAGACATTAGCCACAGTCATGGCAAAAGTGAGCGGGGAAAAAATAGGAGGTTTGGGGTATGGTGCCGTATTAGGCCTATATGATTCTTCCCTAACCCCAGAGGCGTAGCGAGGGGAGGGGCGGGGGTGCGGACCGCACCGGGTGACACCATTTAGGAGGTGACACCAAGGCAAAAAATAGCAAAATATATAGATCTAGAGAAAAATGATAATTCCACTTAATTAAGTGATTAATTCGAGTGATAAATAGTCTTTTAATAGGTGCAAATCGAAAGTTTGAGGGGGGGGGGGGTGCAAATCGAAAATTGAAAGTTAAACTCTTTAGTCAGAATTCGGTTGTTGTTTGTGTATTTTAAACTCTAAAATCAGCTAATTTTATTGTAATAAGCGAAACGCTGGTGCTGATTATGGAGCGTTGGCTTTATATAACAATGTCTGTGGGTAGGAGATATAATGACAGTTGGTATTTATACTTAAAAGTGTGTTTTTGATGTTTTGAAAAAATAAACCGGGAGTGATCTCCCCTAAACTTTCTCGAATATTCTAATATAACACTACGGGGGATGGCAACTCGGGATATAGACTTCTAGACATGATTTTTAATCCATTTTAAATACTCAAATTTTTAAAAATAGAATATAATCTCGTAGAAAAAAGAAATGCACACCAAGTGAACGCTAAATAAAGATGTGCGTAATAGTGCGCAATATTATTAGTACTTTATAAATTTACATGCGTTTTTGAGAAATCGGAAGTAGCGTAAATAAGTACTTCCGATAAACGGAAATTACTCAAAATTTGACAGAATGTAGAGAATTAGATCTTCTACTTACATATCAAATTTCATTTATCTATCTGAAATAGAACTCAAGTTATAGGCTTTTGAAAAATTCAAAGTAGAAAAAGTACCACTTCCGGTTATCGGAAATCGCTCAAAAGTTGATACGGATCTACGATTTTGATAAAATACTTATATATGAAATTTCATTAACCTAGCTGTAACGGTACTCAAGTTATCGTGTTTACACACGGACACACACACGGACAGAATTGGATAATCCAGTTTTTCCAACTCCATTACGCATAAAACGCCAAAATTTTTATATATCTGAGTTTATAATTTTTGCCCGATTAAAATAAGTCTTCTATATCCCGGATGTGATGAAGGACTGAGGAGTAAAACGGTGAAAACTGTCCAAATTTAATGTGATTTTTGTGCACGATTACAAGACTTTCTCTATACGTCGTATATACGAGAAAGTAAAAAGTTATGAGTTTGTGATGCAAAATTTAAAGCTTTGGTTTTTATTGTTAAGAAAAGCAAACGCTACTTAATCCGCTAAGCTACTGATGGGGTGTCGTAATTTTGTGATGATGTGTGATGATGTGTAATGATGTGTGATGATGTGTGATGATGTGTGATGGTGTGTGATGATGTGTGATGATTGGGAGGGTAGGGGTCAGAAAGTGTGCGTTATACTGTTGCATTTTTAACAGTAACGCTTAAAGCTAAATTTTAACCATATGTTGACAATGCCTAGTCAAGAAATTGGTGGGTTCTAAAAAAAATTAAACTGCACATTATAAGGAAGGGGGGGGGGCTTGTAGGCTGCAGTGTTACGTCATTTTAGAGGGGGCGGTCTGGCTTTTGTGACGGTGGGGAGGTAAAAATCGTCAAAAAAAAGCGTCATGCCATTTATAGATTACCCCAAACAAGCTAACCAACAAACAGATATTGTAAATTAGTAAAAGCTTATAATAAGGTATATCTACGTTATAAAAGATAGGCGTACAGGTGAGCCATAGTACTCCACACAACTGTAGTAAATAATAGGTACTTCCACCTCTTGTGAGAACGACTCAACTTCCATTACAATATAAAACGCCGGATAGTGGTCAGAGTTTCTTCCAGGCATCTCTCCACCCCCCCCCCCCGAACGAAATGAAATTTATATAATTTATATAGAAAATATATAATTTTAACAGTGTCCGCTCAACCGAAGAAAGTCTACCGCTCCCCCGAAAATTTCAAGTGCCCCCCCCCCCCCCCGGAGAAAAAAGTCTGGAAAGAGTAGAGGACGGCAGACGTGCCCCACCCCTCCCTCGAAGAGAGCCCCGAAAGAAACTCTGATTACAAAATCACAGAAATACGCTACTTGAAGAGTTTTGATTGTGAGTCGTGACTCGAGACTAATTGACGTCACGCAAATTTCAACCCCAATCTTTCGTCGGACGCTGTCATGAAAACTCACTACTTATTCTTGTGATTCACGTATTCTCACTACGATTTTACTTAATTAATGATTTAAAATAAAACATTACGTCCCTGAGTCCACCCAGCTCTGATAGGTACCTAATTCACGCTAGGGAAACCAAGGTGTCTTGGCATAGTGCTGACCACAATACCCCCCTATATACCGAAAAGGTGTTGATGAGTCTGAATACAGCAAAGAAAACTTATTATTATCAACCAAAAAAACAATGTTCCGACAACTTAATTTTTCAGCTGTCTCCACGACTTAAGCTGTGCTGGTACTCAAAACTTGTCCTACAATGGCTACATCTAACAGCCTAACAGCATATTAAAAATATGGTAAAATGTGCTATTCGTGTCGTTAATAGGCGCCTTTCTTGACCAATAGTTTACTACACATGCCGACCACAAGATAGCCGCCTTCATTGACCAACAGTTAAATACATGTCGGCCACAAGACAGCCGCCTTCGTTAGCCAACAGTTAGTAAAGACACTGACTTCAAGATCGGCGCCTTCATTAACTAAGTTTAGGACAGACGTTGACCTTGAGGTCGATGAGATAGTAGGCGCATTCATTAACCAACAGTTATAAAAGACACCGACGCCAAGATAGACGCCACCATTTACTTCATTAATTTTGTTATTCACCACAAACTGTTCTCGCTTAATATTTGAATTTATAATTTCCATAATAGCTTGTCACTTTTCTAAAACGTTTGTTCTAATAGATTTTCATTAAAATGTCCAAGGTGGAGCGGTAGCTCCCCTTGCACTTCCCCTGGATACGCCACCAAGTCTATAATGAAGTATAATGACAAATCGTTTTCATGACATATGTTATATTTTTTTTTCATCGTAGATTAAACAAGTTAATAAAAAGTCTAGTGACAATTTAAGCGCAATTTCCTTATGTTATCCATAACAATTTTTTATTTTTTGTGACCGAACGAAAGGATATTTTTTTTGCGCTAAAAAAAAGACAACTATATTAACCTATATCAACGGAAATAGTTTTATTTTAACGAGTAGGCCTACACGATGCTCAGTTTTAAAAAGTAGTAAATATCATCCTAGGCCTACACGATGCTCAGTTTAAATGTTCTTAATTAATTTTTTGTGTCCGAACGAAAGGATATTTTTGAAAACTTTCTTCGGCAATATTGTTCTAAATTATGGCAGGAATCGATTGGTAAATGTTTCAAGTCGCTAAGTGGTCTGGTTGCCGAGATATGGACCAAAAACTGAATTTGTTCGAGGTTTTTTGGCTTTTCCGGGAAATCCAGGAAGGAATTCCGGGAATTTTTTTGGCCCACTATCATCCTCGGAACTTGCTTAACATATTTGCTTTTGGAACTAGTCCTCGATATTGCTTCGTTGAGGAGGAGATACGACTTAAAGCTGCGGACACACATCCACCCATCCACCCATCCATCCATCCATCCATCCATCCATCCATCCATCCATCCATCCATCCATCCATCCATCCATCCATCCATCCATCCATCCATCCATCCATCCATCCAGAAATGACGCATTATTAAACGCAATTGCCAGTATGGAAATTGCGCTAAAAAAACTTATAATTATAGATATGTGCCCTCTAGAATTTAAATTTAAAGCTACTTTAATTTTAGTTAAGCCCGAGCACATTGTCTAAGGGGTCATCCATAAATGACGTCACGCTTTTTTGACGATTTTTACCTCCCCCCTCCCCTCCGTCACACGTCGTCACAAAAAGCCAGACCCCCCCCTAAAATGACGTCAAACCTCAACCTACAACCCCCCCCCCCTCAAAATTGCAGTTGAATTTTTTTTAAAACATTGATATTTTTCCAAAATCTTGTCTAAACTATTACAATTTATTAAAACAGTTATCTAAAACGCGAAATAACGTCTAAAATTCGTTTTCTAACATTGCTTATTTATAATGCAAAAATGTGACGTCGCAACAGCTGACCCCCCCCCCCTCCCCCTCATCACACATCGTCACAAAATTACGGACCCCCCTCCCCCCTACGAGTGTGACGTCATTTATGGATGACCCCTAACTGTAGACCTCATAGATCTACATGTATTATTCATGCACGGTAAATGTTTCGTGTTTGTTATCTAGGTAGCCTAAATTAACATGTAGGGCCTATTTAATTAATTTAAAAGACAATATAATATTTTTCTTGCGCGTGTGTTAGCCCCCCCCCCCCCCCTCACATTATTCAAGTAAGTCTAAAGTAATCCATATCATGGATTCTGAAACGTTGTTTAGAAATAAATAATGAAGGGCATTTATAAAGGCATTTAAAGTTATTGCTAAGCGTAGCCTACTTGTGTTGATCTTTTTTTTTTAATACATGGAATCTGGCACACGCCTCACGCTGACATAAAGAATGAGAGCTCTCTCACTCTCTCGCTTTACAAGACTAGTCAGCATGCTGCAGGGGAACTAAAACAGTAACACAACGAAAGCAACGGAGGACACGGTGCAGTGTAGGCCTATGGATATAGAATCAGCTCTTGAACCTCCGTTATCAGTATCATAGGTTTGTTTGTTTTGCATACTTATTCTCAAAAATTGCAGGCCTATATTAGACCTAGATCTAGAAAATCTAGATCTAGATATCTAGATCTAGAATCTAGATATAGATCTAGATCTAGATTTCTAGAGTTTTAAATTTAGAGCCTGAGAAAATTCGCATACGGGTAGGATTGACTAAATATTAAAATAAATATTAAATAATTATGAATCTAGATTTCTAGATGTACTAATCTAGCTAGTTAGATCTAGACTAGATAGTCTTCTCTAGATCTAGTCTAGAAAAAGAATAGATTCTAGATCTAGATCTATTTCTAGACTAGATCTCTAGATCAAGAAATGTACAAATGTAGCTCTCTCCCTAGTTACTAGATCTAGTCTAGTCTACATTTTTTTAGTGGATACTACTCAGACGTTGTGGTCCATTGATTTCATCCATGGTTCTTTATTACATTTATTAGTTTAGGCCTAACCTACTAGATCTATTTCTTAGGACTTAGATCTAGAAATCTATATCTAGATTCTAGATGTACTAAAGGGATCTAGCTTAGATTCTAGATCTAGTCTAGAATAGATTAATTATTATATATTATATAAATTAAGATTCTATGCCTTAGTTAGAGTCTTAGTAGTAGAGGCCTAGACTTAGACTCAACTAGACCAGAGGCGTAGTGACCCTTCCCGGCGCCCGGGGACATACTTTCAATTTGGCGCCCCCTCGGGAGCAAATTTTTGATTTGCACCCCCCCCCCCTCGAACTTTTCATTTGCACCCCCCCTCAAACTTTCGATTTGGCGCCCCCCCTAAGGCATAAGGTCGGCGCCCGGGGACATATGTCCCCCCCCCTCGCTACGCCTCTGAACTAGACTGTCTAGAAGATTTAAATTTAAAATGTAGTATTTTACTCTTTAGATTACTTTAGTTTAGATCTAAACTTAGTAAATTACCTTACTTTAAACTTTAAAATATTTTACAAAAAGGTAGTTAAATCTGTTGACTCTCCCTGAGTCTCCAGCAACAAAATACAATAAGAAAAAGATAATTTGGATGATATTTTAAATATTTAAATTTAGACTATTACATAATACATAATTTAGAATCGACCCTTTGAATCCTGGACTGATCGCTCTCCCCCCCCCCCCCCCCCCCTCAGCGTGGCCTCAACCAACCGGCAGGCTTGTTGCATTGTCATTGAGTTAAATATAAACATAAAAATAATATAAATCTACAAACAACAGTTTCAAAGTGTATGTCTTATTTTTATTATGTAGACTCTAGTCTTGTTTGTGTAAAAGTCCGTAAGATCTAGGCCAAAATAACATATTTAAAAATTAATAAATATCCTATTTGACATTTCATCATCATCATTTCCCTTTCGTGCCCAAGAAACATGGGGCAGATGAAGTAGAGTTCATCTGCTTTAGAGACCTCTGCGTATGAAGGGATAGCTTGGCCAGCACTAAGCCCAGCCGCCTTAGTTTCCTTAATGTGAGTTAGGTACTCATCAGAGCTGGGTGGACTCAGGAACGTTCCACGTATTTGAACTCTGATTCAAATTCGAAACTCTCGGGGTGGCAGTCTCTCTACCGCTAGGCCACACCGTCCCTAATTTGACATTTACTCATTAAAAAAGAACTGATGATGATCGATGTAAAAAAAAAAGGTAAAAAGGTTTCTGGCTTGTTATTTTGCTAAGTTTTAAAGGTAAGAGGTAGGAATTCCTAAATAATAGATTTTATCTTTTTCTGTGTTCCAAAAGAGCAGTATCTAGATTCTCATATTGTCTAGACTGCATTTCTGGAGGTGTAGATCTCAACTTACAGCCTATCCTTCTTAGTCTTCTAGGGTCCCGAAGTATATGTGACTGTAAGAGATGATGTCAGTCCTCATTGTATGGAGTTAGTTAGATTATGCAGGTTTAATCATTTGTTTTTAATGACTAAAAATGTTTACTAATCAATCCATCTATTACAGCCTAAACAAACACATTGCTACATTTCATCAAAGAGAGGAATTCAGTGACTCTAAAATAAAATAAAAAAGTTTTAATTTTTAGTTTAACAAAGAAAATATTTGGAGTTATCATCAGCTGTTTATTTTAATCCCCAGTCCACCATGGTTGTTGATGGTAATTTGTTGTCATTATGTCAGAGTGGTGGAGTTTTCTTTATACTGACTTGTTTTATTGGTCAGCTACTGAACATTGAAAATGTTCATGGGAACCCCATAACAGATGAAGGTAAGAACATGTTTTTTTCCTGGTGATTTTAGTTGTGGGGGTGTGTAATATAAAAAATTTCAACATAAATTGTTATGATTAACAATGTTGATGTAGAGTTTATTAAATATTTTACATTTGCCTGCCTTTTGGCTACCTTTATAACAGCTGTCAATATCCATGCTACCCCTTGCAACAACTGTCAATATCCATGCTACCTCTTGCAACAGCTGTCAATATCCATGCTACCTCTTGCAACAGCTGTCAATATCCATGCTACCTCTTGCAACAGCTGTCAATATCCATGCTACCCCTTGCAACAGCTGTCAATATCCATGCTACCCCTTGCAACAACTGTCAATATCCATGCTACCTCTTGCAACAACTGTCAGTATCCATGCTACCTCTTGCAGTAGCTTTAAGTATCCATGTTACTTCTTGCAGTAGCTCTCAAGTTTTTTTTTTTACAGTGGGTTGACAAATGTGAAAATTTTTCCTACCATTACCACCAAGTCTAAATCCACCACCCCACAGTTTATAGTCACCACCCCACAGTTTAAAGTCACCACCCCACAGTTTAAAGTCACCACCCACCATTTATATCACCCAAAGACTTAAGTCAGCACCCAAGTCATATATAAATCCCCACACACTGTAGTAGCCCTACTCCACAGAGCCCTATTATTTTGTAAACAAAGTATGACGACATCAGACATTTTTTCTAGCGTCTCCTCCATCTGTGATGGCCCAACGTGTAGTCGGGATGTGGGTAGCGGGACGGGTGGGGCAGCACGAGGGTGGGGCTGGCTGTAGAGGGACGTGGTAAGACAGTGACGCAGACGGGGTTTTCCCTGTTACGCAGCTCCATGCTCTATCTGCGGGGTGTGAACCACAGATGTAATGTCAACAATGGCGATGCTCTATCAGCGGGGTGTGAACCACAGATGTAATGTCAACAATGGCGGGCTCACGGCAGGAACCCGCTCTACCTTGTCATGTTACATTTAGCTCGCGGGGTCACGGGGTTGGACCAGCATTGGATGTATCGGCGAGTCATCCAAACAAAGCGGCTTTTGTTATTTAACCCCCCCCCCCCTTACCTGTTTAGCGTGGGGGAAGGGGTGGGGGAACGCCATGTGTATGATACATAGCATTTGCATAACATACTGAGTAACAGTTTAATTAAAGCTGTTGGTGAATTAAGTACCTTGCTTTTTTAATTAGTCATTATCGACCGCTTCTTGCATTGACGGAAGAGAAAATAGTTCAGCAAGCGGGATGGCCATAGATCTCGTTACATTAACTAGAGAGGAGTTAGCCCACACCGTCTTCTACAAGACTGCTCTGGTATAACTAAACTATCTGACCATTTTTTTTTTTGGGATGAGATTTGCGTCATTTCCCACACAATGGGCAAATGTCTGCAAGTTACTCTCGGAGCTTTGAGTTTAACGTGTAACCAGTTACATCAGATTCAGCATACTGGCGTCTGGTTGCCGTATTATTCCTTCACCCAGCCGCCTAGTCAGCTGGGGGGGGGGGGGGGGGGGGAGTTCGGCCGTCCTCAGCACAAAGCGGTACAAATATTAAAATGCTCTTTTTGATGATTGCATTCCTTAATTATGAGTCTAAGTTGTAGACACATTCTGGCCTTAAAGATGGATAGTTTTCTACATCGGCAGTACAGCAGGTCAATAAATGTTTAGGTCGAAACGTTAATGGACATTGATCAGTCAAATGATTTCAGTTCGCCACGGGCGGTTGAGTGTGTGGCTCCTTTGGCTACACCAGATCACAACGATTTCACTCATCTCAACATTCCTGTGGCTTTCTAGCGATTAGCGTTAGATCAAGGTTTCCCAGTTGTGGAGGGAAGGGTGGGGCTCAGTTATCATTTGCAAAGTTTTCAGTTCTTTAAAAAGAGTTTATACATGTCCTTGAGGGGTGTAATAATAATACATTCGGGTCAGGGGCGCTACGGCTAAATGAAGTGACATTCTATTATGTCGTCAGCCATCAACCAGCTGGCAATAGCGTCTTATCGATGTATTTTTAGTTTTTGACGGTTCGTTTTGCATTGGTTAACTTAGTTATGTGAGTGTTTTCTATTCGCTAGACAACCGGCCTTACGTTAGAAAATCGGTCCCACGTTAGACAACCGGCCCTAGGCTAGACAGCCGGCATCGGGCTTACGTTAGACAACCGTAACGTCAGAAAACCGGCAGCGGGTTTACGTTAGACAACCGGCCCTAGGCTAGACAGCCGGCACCGGCCTTACGTTAGACCAGTGGCGTAGCGAGGTCGGGTGTCACCCGGTGCGGCACTTAATGGTGTCACCCCCCAGAGGCGTAGCGACCCTTCCCGGGGACAAACTTTCAAACTTTCGATTTGCACCCCCCCTTCAAGTTTTTGATTTGCTCCCCCCCCCCCCTCAAACTTTCGATTTGCACCCCCTCAAGTTTTTCTCTATATATTTTGCTATTTTTTGCCTTGGTGTCACCCCCCTAAATGGTGTCACCCGGTGCGGTCCGCACCCCGCCCCCCCCCTCGCTACGCCCCTGCGTTAGACAACCAGAACGGTCCAATGTTTGACTACAATACAATAAGCCACTAGTTAGACACTTCCATGATATTCACGATTCCCAACACACATGTCCGTCACGTGAATGACTGTCCCACGCACGGTCGTAGGTGCTCACTCCATGAACGGATGCCGGGCCAACACGTCTGGAGTTGTCCGCACTTGGTATCAGGCAATTACGGCTAATTAAACCATTGATAAGTAAGTACTGGTCGACCGGCTGATTAGTGCTGACCATGTACTTATAGAGTCCAGCTGTAACCACTCTAAATAGGACAATTTTTTTACACTAACAATTTACGTGGGGGGGGGGTGTATAGGAGAGTGTGTCAGTAACATGTGAACATTAGTGAACCATATTTTGTTTGGAGGTGTGAGTGTCTCATTATTTTGTTGATTGTTGGAGTGCTCTTAGATCATAGATAAGTCTATTTTTCGTGTGCAGTACAGATCTCCATATGAGAAACTCTAGATTTTGTTGGCAGAGTTTCTTCCAGGCATCTCTTCGCCCCCCCGCCCCCGTACGAGATGGAATTTATATACTAAAAATGTTGACCGCCCCCCCCCCCCCCCCGGAGAAAAAAGTCTGGAAGAAACACTTCCTTGGACGGCTGTCCTAGTCAACTGCCCCCCCCCCCCCCATTGACACCTGATTACACTCACGCTGTATTTAGGTCATCAGACAAATCACAACGTTCCTTGAGTAAAAGTCTTTATATTACTAACAATTTCTCTATAGTTCTCCCTAACAAATTCTCTATAGTTCTCTATATATTTCTCTCTCACAAAATCTCTTCTTCCTCACTGATTATATAGTTCTCCCTCACAAAGTCTCTTATTCCTCCCTCAGTTTATATAGTTCTACCTCAGACTATATTCCTCCCTCACAGTGTCTCTCTCTGTCCCCAGTGTCCCTGTATGGAGAGAGCTACATCCAGAACTCCCTAAAGGATGCCAGCAGCCAGACTCGCATCCAGCTAGAGTTCCAGACTGGCCTGCCTCATGGCTTACTTCTGCTTGCTGCTGGACAGACAGATTACGTCATCGTACAGCTGATTGCTGGAACTTTAGAGGTCAGGGTCAACCTTGGTTCCGGGGAAGCGGTCATCTTGTCTGCAAGAGGTGTGAGACTAGACAACCAACGGTGGCATTCTTTAGTTATAAATCGCACTGAAGATGTAGTCTATCTTGAACTGGATGGAGTAGGTCAAGGTCAAGCTAGCACGCCAGGGTCGTACCATGATCTAAATATAGATCTTGGTGTGTTTCTCGGAGGCACTGGGGATCTGAAGCGAGACTTTGACCACAGCATTAAATCTTTCAGGGGCTGTATGAGGCAAGTCCACTTCAATGGGCACAACATCCTGGAGGAGGTCAAAAGCATCCCCCAGCACCAGGTGGCCTGGAAGTGTGATGATGTCTTCTCCATGCCCTCGTCTGCACCCTTCAGCATGAACCACGAGTCCGCATATCTAGCTTTACCTTTTATTAGGATCGGCCCAGAACACCAGCCATTTTTTGCTTGCCTGCTCAAAACCAGGTCCTCTAATGCCCTGGTTTTGTTCAACTCCGGCGTTGGTGCCACATCCAAGGATTTCATAGCCGTGGAGCTGGTGGACGGCAAGCCTAAGCTTTCTGTAGACAAAGGTGGAGGGGTGATAGAAGTGGCGCTGGGCGTGGCCATCAATGATGGCAAGTGGCACCAGATGGAGCTGGCTCTCAGTGAAAACACGGTAGAGATTGGTATAGATGGCCGGAAAAATGTCACCACCTTTTATCTGGGTAACCAGAATAAATTAAATCTTGGGGGTTATCTGTATGTTGGTGGCGTGGGGGTCAAGGCCAGGCCCCAGGCTGTTAAACTTGGCCTCGTCATGCCTGGATCACTGCTGGGGTGTGTAAAAAACATCCGCATGAACTCGCGCAGCTATGGGTTTGAGCAGGTTCAGTCGTCATGGCAGGTGGACGGGGTGTGTAGGTGGGAGTACCCCTGTGCAGAGGACCCGTGTATCTCAACTGCTGTGTGTAAGGAGCTCCAAGGGTCAAAGTTCGAGTGCCACTGCCCTGATGAAGAGTGTGTGAAGCCAGTCTCTCAGCAGAACCAGCGGGGGATTGTGTCGGTGGGAAGAGTTCAAGTGGAAGTCGGGGGGTCAGTGGTCATCAACTCCAGCGTTATTCAGGTCAATAAAAGATCTCTGGGCCAGATGATTAGGGATGAAAACATCTTCTTTGTGGTCAAAGATCCCCCTAAAGATGGCATCATTGAGACGAGACGCAAGGACAGCATTTCTCTGAGAGACCTCACAGAAAACTCTGTATACTACAAGCATCTGGGTGGTCCACCAAAACTGGACAGTGTCACTTTTGACATGGGGGTCAGCTCTACCTCCCACCCTGAGCACTTTACATTTGTATTGCCAATAACAATCATAGCAAAAAGTGTCAACAAGCTGGAGGTCACACTACCCCGCGGAGGCTATTTGGTTATTTCATTAGGAGCAAAGGTGCGGATCACACCCGCAGTGCTCAATGTCAAATCACCTGAACAAGACCCTTCCAACCTGATATTTTCTGTGATATTTTTACGTGAGTCTGGCAGTTTTTTCCATCACTCTAATGATCCGAGGAAAGCAATTAAAACGTTTACTTTAAAAGATGTCCAAGACGGCTTCATCTGGTTCCAGCACAGTAGAGACAACATTGTTTACACCAGGTTTAATGTCACAGATGGCGCTGCTGTCAGTAGTGGCGTGGACCTGCGCTTTAAAGTGGAGGAGATGAGGCTGAGCACCAGGAACAACACAGGCGCCACTCTGTACTACGGCTCCAGCTCTCTGATCACCAGCCAGAACCTCAGCAGCACAGCAAACACCTACCTAGAGGACCTGGACCTCAGGTATCAGGTGACCCAACCACCCAGCCACGGCTCCCTGCAAGTCTTTCAGTACGGGTCCAGTGACTGGTCCGAGGTGTCCTCCTTCTCACAGAGCCAGATAGACTCAGGGCGAGTGCGCTACACCCACCACCCCGGGCGCAGCATGTCAGTCCAGGACAGCTTTAGATTTGAGGTCATATACAAGAATGTGAAAACACAAACCCAGATATTTCTCATCCGCATCAAATCTGTCAAACCTGTGATTGACCAGAGTGTGACTCTAGTGTTGCACCAAGCACTGTACGCTAAAGTTAGCAATAAAACACTGTTGGCTGTTGTCAATGTTGAACACAATCCTGACAGCATCAAGTTCACCATGGAGAGATCCCCAAAGAAAGGTAACTTCTATCTGAGCCAACAGAACATAAACAATCCTGGGGTGTTTGACCAGTTCACTCCCCTGAAGGAGAACAGCACCTTCACACAAGAGGATGTCAATGCAGGCTTCTTGTATTATAAATTTGACAAGACGGCCTATGAAAGAACAGACGACATGACCAGTTTTCTTGTCTCTTACTTTGGCTTCTACAACAGGGTGAGACTGAGCGTGCAATTCTCACCTGAACAAATTGACATTCGTTTTGTTAATAATGGTCTGAAGAATGTTCCAGAAGGAGGCGCTGTTGTCATAACCAAACAAGACCTTTACCTTGAAATGGAAAAGTACAAGAAGTTTACATTTTGGATTGTAAAGCCTCCTGACCATGGGAGGATAGGTTTGAGGGAGTCAGTCCGCTCGAGAGAGTCAGTCAGCTTGAGTGAGCTAGAACAGCTGAGCAACATCTCCTCCTTCACCATGTCTGACATCAAGGATGGGAAGGTTGTGTACAAACACGATGACTCAGAGAATGATCAGGACTTCTTCACATTCACTACAACCCCTATTCTTGAAGAGTCACAGGTTGACTCGGGGGATGAGTTCCAGGAATATTCTGGGAAGTTCCAGATTTCTATCAAGATGAAAAATGACAATCCACCGTTCAGGACTTTTAACAAGGTATTTCAGGTGGCCATTGGTCATGCCAAAGTGCTGACCATCAATGACCTGTCATTCACCGACCCTGACATAGACTTTGATGACTCCCAGCTGAAATACACCAGGCAAGTTATATCAAATGGTGACATCCTGCACACAGAGACAGAGGACCCTGTGTACAGCTTCACACAAAGTGATTTAATCTCAGGCACCCTCATGTTTCAACACACTGGTGAAAACTACGCCCGCACACAAATCACAGTCACAGATGGAGAGTTCTTCAGCAGTAGCATGTTTGAGATTCAGGCCTCCAAGCCTTATATAAAGATTGTAAACAATACAGGTGTGCGGGTGGGCAAGGGAGATGAAGTCCTGCTGAATGGCACCAACCTGAGCATGGACTCTAACCTCAACTACAAGCCTGATGAGGTTAGCCTCAAACTGATGCGGCTACCTGCACATGGGGGGCTGTGGATCAGAGGGAGGCAGGCGGAACAGCTGACCTACCTGGATGTGTTGGAGGGGCAGGTCAAGTACTGGCACAATGGTGACCAGGGAGAGGAAGACAAGTTCACCATCCTGATCAGCCTGGGTCAAGTTGAGACCCAGGCTGACATCCAGGTCAAGGTCATCACTGAGGGGCTGTCTGACCCGCCTGAAATAGTACACAACCAAATTCTCAAGGTGCCAGCCCAGCAGTCTGAAACCATCTCAGAAAATGTCCTCAAAGTCTACCACAAGCGGTACCCTGCGGCAGAGATTGAGTACATCATAACACAGCTACCCCAGTATGGTCATCTGGTGGTCAAAGGCATCGATGTTAAAGCTGGGAATGTTCCAGAATTCACCCAACAAGACATTAACGACAAGCTGATCATCTACACCAGTGACAGTCCAGACAGCATGTCAGACAGCTTTAGGTTTGATGTCGGCACAGAGTTCCAAAGTTTGAGACAGCTAGAATTTCTCATTGAGATCTTACCCCGTAAACCCCAAAGAGTGCAGGCCAATGTAACGGTGATGGAGGGTGGAACAGTCACTCTCTCAAACAATGTGTTGGCTCTAAAGGGACGGCTAGCCCAGAGCAGTAAGGTGATATATCGTATCCAGCAGAGCCCCGTACATGGGAAAATTGTGCTGAGAAATGGCAGGAAGGATGCTCAGGTCAACAACTTCACGCTGGAGGATGTGGGCCGCAGCAAGATTGCTTATGTTCACGATGGTAGTGAGAGCCTTCTGGACCAAGCTGTCATCATAGCTGAGACCACGGACGCCAGTCTAGGCCCGCAGACCTATGTCGTGTCCATCAAAGTTACACCAGTGGATGACCAAGCACCAAGGGTTGTGTTGAACAAAGGCTTAGATTTGTGGACCGGGTCCTTAAAGCTGTTGACAAGTGACAACCTGCAAGCCTCTGACCCAGACTCCAGCAGCAGTCAGATTCTGTACCAGACCTCCTCTCCCACCAATGGACACCTGGCCTTTCTCAACAACACATTCAAACGTATCTCCAGGTTTACCCAGATGGACATAGACAACAAGCAAGTCGTGTTTGTACACAAAGGTAAGTCACCTGTATATGAATGCTGAAGTAGTTTCTTTTTAAAGAGAATAAGGTCTGTAGTGTTGCTGAGGGACAGTTTGGATGTGGTGCTGTAGATAGAATGGGTGTCACCTGGTATTGTAACTGAGCATATTCCATTTATTTGGTGTCACCCCTTTCCCCATTTATTTTATTATTTAAACTGGGTAAAACTTTTTACAGAAAATTTGACAATTATTAAATTTAGTGTCACCCCCTATATAATGTCACACACTGCAGACTGCACCTCTTGTCCTTACCTTGTAAAGCTGCTGGTCACTACGAACCCAAAAGTCTTGAGTTTGCACCCTGACTCAATTCTGTAAGAGATTCCTGAGTCATGTTAGGGAAAGCTATGATGGCTGGGCATAGTACTGACCATTACATCCTGAGGTTATTGATGGCTGGGCATAGTACTGACCATTACATCCTGAGGTTATTGATGGCTGGGCATAGTACTGACCATTACATCCTGAGGTTATTGATGGCTGGGCATAGTACTGACCATTACATCCTGAGGTTATTGAAACAGATGCACTCTACTTTATCTTCCTCATGTCTCTGGCTTTAATGGGGATGATTGTTGCCTATTCAGCATGTGTTATAAAAAGCTACCAGAGCTATTAGTTTTGTTCTCTAATTTGATCTTTTGCAAAAGGGAGGCATATATCAGCTTTAAGATCTGGTACTATTTATTTATAACTATTTGTGTTCTACTACAGGATAGTAGAAAACTCCTTAGATCCAGTATATTAAATGCTATCAACCTCCACAGGTGCCGAGTTTGGAGATTTTAAATTTGATGTGACTGACGGCAACAACACAGCTGAGCGCCGGCAAATTTTCCAAATTCGTGCCAGACCTGTCCAGATTTCTGTCAGCGTCAACAACTCGGTGCAGGTGTTTCCAGGTGTGGTCCAGCCAATCACCAACAGTTCCCTCCTGGCCCAGACCTCCTCCGCCAACTTCTCCCACCCCATAGTGTACACAGTCCAGGAGCCCAGGCCCACTCTAGGGAAACTCTTGACCAAAGTCCAGCAGAGATTTGTTGAGATAAACTCCTTCACACAAGATGACATCAATGATGGTCTAATTTATTTCCAGACCAACCACACCATGGTCAACTGGAGCCACACTGACCACGTGGGCTTTGAAATCTCAACACTTTATGCCAAACCTATTGAAAACAAAATTTTAAAACTGGATATCTCCTTGTTAAATATTAATGAAGACAACTATCCAAGTTTATTAAATTTGAAATTTCCTCATCTAAAAGAGGGAGAAAAGGTGCATCTGAATCATCAGTACTTTGATGCTACAGGATTTATTAAAAAAGTTGAAAGCTTTAGGCCTGGTGTTAGTGTAGAGCTGTCATTTGCATCCTTGACCAAGCATGGATATTTATGGTTCAAAGGAAGGTCTGTAGAAAAAGATGAGGTTTTTACCCAAGAGAATTTAAACAATGGAGAACTGGATTACATACATGATGACTCTGATTCAATACTTGACTTTTTTAATTTTACAGTCAAAATATTAGTCCCTAGGTCATCTAGTGAACCCAGCCATTCCGTAGCCAAAACTTTTAAATTTCACATTTTTATCCAACCAGTCAATGACCGTGGGTTCGTGATGGTCACACAGTACCCAAGGATTGCAGTCAAGCAGGGGGGGCAAGTTGTGGTCACCTCCGATAACCTGACCACAGTTGACTTGGACACTGGACCAGATGGGATTGAGTACACCATCATCAAGCAGCCAGAACACGGGAAATTTGTCCGAGATTCCTCCTCAAATAGTCCCATTACAACTTTCACCCAGAAGGAAATCAATGACGGTAGAATTGTGTTTAAACATAATGGCACCAGGAAGTCTAGAAGTTCCATGAGATTTAAAGTGTGGGACGGAGTGTTTGGGCCCCAAACGGCCGGCATGGAGATTTCTGTGGAGCTTTTAAATATCGTGGTTGGTGAAGGCAGGCATGTCCCGTTGGTTCAGGGCAGCAGGTCAGTTGTCTTGTCCAATCAGTTCATGCAGGTGTCCACCAATGGGGACTATGACACCCTCCTCTACAGGGTCACACAGCCCCCTCACTTTGGCCAGCTGCTCAAGATGAATGCCGCGGTCATGGAGTTTAGCCAGTCAGATGTTGACAGCGGTCAGCTGACCTATCTCCAGAATAAAGATTCCCCTGGGAATGATTTCTTCACATGCAACATCACTCTAGGTAGCCGTTTCCAAGCTGATAATCTTGTGACTTTTGAAGTCATCATGAAGCCTTTGGTTAAACAAGGCCCTCTTGTGACTTCTAATGGCTTACATGTGGCCATAACCATTGCAAGCTTAGATGCCAGCGAACTTGCAGAACTGACCAATGACAACCCACAGTTTGAGATCACTGTGCCTCCAAAATATGGCAGCATTATGCGCAGACACAGGCAGCGGCGCCAAGCAACACTTGAAAACCACTTCCAGCCAGTGAAGCAGTTTACGTTTGAAGACATCCTGTACACCAAGATGTATTATGTGGCCAGTGGTGTCAACAGGGGTGTCAAGACGGACAACATGACTTACATACTACGGGCACGTGGCGTCCCACCGGCAGAAGGCCAACTGGTCATAGAAGTGACACAGTCTGGTGAGGCAGAGGCTGACAAGTCACAGGACGACACTGGCAGCACAAATGAGGAAGCGCAGGTAGACAACACACCTGATGAAGCCAACACAAGTCTGAGCTCTGAGAGTGAAACTCAGTCAGGTGTAGACACAAGCAACAGCAGTACCACGGTGATCGCCATCATCCTGCCCCTGATATTTATCCTGGTCATTGCTGTTGTCTTGGTTATATTGTTTATTCGATGGAGGCGGAGGAAACGGGGCAATGCTGAGAAGGAAATGAAGTATGAGAAGCCCCGGCCTTTGATTAGTGGACCATTGCAGCTGGAACAATCTCATGTGATGTTAGAACCAGTCAGCAAGGGTCTGGCCTCGCCAGGCAGTCGCACGTCTCTAGTGGAGGGACACAGTGTGGAGAATGACTACGTCAACAGCTCGCACATCAACAAGAGCCACGAGGTCGACTCGTCGTACCAGTTACATTCAGCTGCTCCCAGCCCTTCTGCTCAGACTACATCACCAACACATAGCCAGTCTGAACCAGTTTCTGAGGAATTAGAAAGCTCTTCCATGTTGACCAGTGGTCGAGGCTCTAATGCTAGTAATGACTTAATGGACTGGACACTATTGGACCCAGAGTTACTTCAACATTTTCGCCCCACCACGCCAGTGTTAAGAACCAACCAATACTGGCTGTAACTATTGTTCCTTTAAGTTACTTGTTCTTTTATTCTAATTACCCAACATATGATACCACTTTGAGGTGAAATGCTCAAGTTTCAGCTACAAAAATACTGATAATTTCATTTTTTACTGTTAGAAATAATTCAAAAAGTGTTTTTTATCTACTGAGCTCCAAGTCTTGGGAGCCATAATTAGTACTTATACTACTTATAGAGTTATTCAATTGCTAATGATGTTAACTTGTAAACTTTAATAAATATCATGACCATTTGTCAAATCTAGTTATTGAATCTCATGTTCATTTTAGAATTAGCAAAGCTATATCATGTTCCAGATTAGTTGGCCAGTAGATCTGTCATTTTTTTCAGCTTATTAGGCCAGTAGATCTGTCAAGTTCCAGTGCACCTGGCCAGTAGATCTGTCAAGTTCCAGTGCACCTGGCCAGTAGATCTGTCATGTTCCAGTGCACCTGGCCAGTAGATTTGTCAAGTTCAGTGCACCTGGCCAGTAGATTTGTTAAGTTCCAGTGCACTTGGCCAGTCAATCTGTCATGTACCCGTCCAACCAAATCTTAATTCCCCACTTTGTGCTGTGTTTGAATGTGCAATATATTTCTTGTATGTTTGCTTTTAGATGCTGCTTGTGTTTTACACAACAGTGTCATTCAACATTTTATTTATATAGTTATATTAACTAAACCATTTTTTTGTACATTTTTACTGGAGTCAAGTATATTTGATATTAACTAGAGAGATACATCTGTCTCACCAATAAGGTTGCCAGTCACTTTGGTTTTATGTAGACTGCACGCTTTTAACAACTTTTTCAAATGATCCAATCAGATTGTTGCTTGTTATTTTAAACAAACTAATAAAGATTTGAAAAATGGTTTTGTGCTTTTATTCTTCAGAAAGAAAATGATTGGGAGAAACAATGTCAGAAATAGTATGAGTTTTAATTCATTAAAGACAGATTTTTAAAAAGGGAGAACTGCATGAGAAGAGCAGTATACAAGTACAATATTAATATTAACACTTGTAGTTAATTAAATGCAGGCCCTTTCACACTCTTATTTTAGTTTACAGTATAACTAAATAATTTGGCAATTATTACAAAACCATGGAGGGCATAATATAATGATAAAAGAATAGATGTCTAAAATTAATATACATGAATATAAAGGAAAACAAAAAGTACCGGGTTTATTAAATGCAAAGGCTACATTAGTTCACCAAGTTCACATACATGTAGTGTGTATCTATAAAAAAAAACTACTAGTTTAAGAGAATAAATACATTATCACTGTAACCTTATAACAAATATCATGTGATCCACTGAAACAGCTACTAGACACCAAACAGGCTGCGTAAATCATTGAGTGTGAGTTTCTGATTTTTGGCCCCAGCACTGAAAAAAAGTATTAGTGCATGTAGATCTTAAGCATAAATAGACAATGTTACAAGGTACAATATAGAAATCATGTGGAATGACATAAATCACTGCAGCAGTCCAATATGAAGATGTTAAACAAGTTCTATTTGATAATACAAGAGAACACAGACTAAAGAATCAGGAAAGTATAGAAAAGTTACAAAAATCAGGGAAAAACAGACATCTAAAAAAGACAAAACTTACCCAGAAAGAACAGATTTTGCTAAAGATAACTTCCTCTCTTGAAGTGCTACTATTTTTTCTTCTATTGTATCTTTACACAGAAATCTGTGAAGTAGAAAACATTGGAGAAAACATTAATTTTTATTTTTCAAAGATGTGAGATCTTATGTGGAAAAAATTAAGTTTAAAACTAACTAAAAATAATCATTAGCTAAGAAAATTGAACAACAAAAATACACTTTGCCATGTAAATATGCTCAGTTTGCAATGTTCTTATATTTAAAGAAAACTAAAGAGCCTACAGATTTCTTACCAAATGCTACTTATTGATTTTATAGCAGAGAGATTAGTAATCAGAAAAAAGTTTGAGGCAAATGTGTGTGAAAATACCTGTAGATGTAAACATCCCTTTTTTGACCCATTCTGTAAATTCTATCACAGGCTTGCTCTTCAAGGGCTGGGTTCCTGTTAGGAAGTACACCATTATAAAACGGTCACATGGTCAGTCATGTGACTAACACCAACCTAAGGGACCTTCTGTCAAGCCATATAGACCTTAATGGGATGTATCATGGGTAAAATGTTCAGTGAACTGTGTCTAGAACTTACCAATGGTTGTCTAGCACAAATAAATGGTTTCCCCCCACTAGATTCAAACCAACTCCTCCAGCCTTTAAGGAGAGTAGAAGGACCTGAGGGAAATAAACCAGATGACCAGATCACAGAGTAAAAATTAGACTGATTAATACTTTGCCAAAACATACAACATTTGCGTAACACCTATACAAAACATTCAACACTTAACAAATAAAACATATGACATCCAAAATGGCAGCCATCACCATAGCAACCGCTAAAAATTTTTGGCCATTTTTTTAGGCTTAACTCTGTATTATAACTATATGCTAAATATAATAACATTAGGTTTAGAAATAAGCATTTTGGCTGATTAAGTACCGATCACCCACTAATGCTCTTAAACAAACAAAACACAACATTTGCCGAACTTTTAACTACTAAAACATCCAACATTTACTTCACAAGCACAACAATCACCTGAGCGCCTTTAGGGTTTAAATTAAAATCATCCACAATATCCATTCTTTTTTTAGGAGCAATATTCCCCTGGATAATGTTGTGGGTGATGCCACACTTGTCTAAATGCTGGCCAACTATGTCCAGCATTTGAGTCCACTGCGACACAATGACACTAAAATATAAATCAAATCTGTTAACCCACCAACTAAAATATTTCAAGAATGATAATAAAATTTCATCTTAATAAAGATATTTATTAAGTACTTTTATTACCTTTGTATGCTAACTTCAAAAATATTTATAAGCTTTATTCTATACAAATAAAAACAAGTCAGTCTCATTGATTGTTCCATCTACTTCTCTCACCTTTTTTCCAGTGAATGTTTGGAAGTTTCACTACAGTGTATGGCCTTTAACTTCTCCAGCACTGAGTGTAGCTGTAATTAAATAAATTGTCAGTGCTAGTTGTGTTAGGGCTTTTAGGGGTCATACCTTTATGATGTCGACCAAATTTTTAGAACCCCTCCACTTTTACAACTGGGTACTTTACAAAGTCAACATTATACATAGTGCTTTATTCTTTTTGGGAGCCTCTATCATTATTACAAAAAGTAGAGTCTAGAATGTTGAGAAGAAAATGTTTTTTAAGTATTAATAGGGATCTAGATCTATTTGATGAGGGCTAATTTAATTTTTAACATTTGATTTTTTCTTTCCTCCCATTGAAATGCAGGGTGTTCAATGATTATATTTTTCTTAACACAGAGGTATTAATTTTATAAATATAGATAAAATAATTGCCTGCTGAGTGGGTTTAAAAACATATTTGCCCTACTGTTTTAATGTATACAAAAGTCAACTATTTAAACCCATCTCTGTGTGGATGTCATGTTTGGCGACCCCTTAGCCATTAAATATATTCTATCAATCAAAACTCACAAAATGTAAACAGCGTTTAAAAAAAAAACAACAGAAAACACTTTGTTATGAGTTACAAGTATTGTATATAAAGTATTGAGAGACCTTGGAGCTGACTAAAGAAGACTGGAAGAGTTCAGTGACTTGCGGTGAATCTTTCACAGTTGTGTCTGCCACCAAGTCATTCAGTTCCATGCCCTGCAGTTGTTCTTCCAATGTCAGCTCTATACCATCTGACTCTAAATTTTCACTCTCCAAATGCTAAACATAGTAAAAACATAATATTAAACATTGCTGAATCAAACTTATTGATAATTGTTCAAACAATTTAACTTCCATAAAAAAAAAACTCATCAAATTAATGGTCAGTTATGAAAATAATATATAAATAAATCTGGGTAACAGACATATATTTAACATTTCTTTTAAAGCAAATGAAACAGATTTATGAGAACTAGAGAATATATCAGCCTTCATATTTAAGAACAAGCCTATAAATTTTAAAAGACTGACCTAGAGAAAATATGAATGCACATATTTTTATGAGCTGAAATGAACAAATTTGAACGTACAGATTTTAAAAGACTGAGGTGTGAACAGCTCTGGCGCAGCCTCAACAACAAGACAAGAATTTGGCTGCCTGAAGCTTTGCCTGGGGTTGGCAGCAGAATGCTAGATCTGGAATCACTGGTGTCATCTCTAGAGTCACTAGGGCCATCTCTTGAATTACTGACACCAGCTCTGTTTTGAGTCCTCCATTTCTCTTGGTCAAGATCTTTGTCTTGATGTCGCTGCACATAAGCTCGGACAGTTGACCTGTTTTATGAATATGGCTATTTAACTTTCATCACAGTTCTTTCAATTAAATTCTTTTTAAAGCATCCTAATAGATGAGAGGGTGAATTGGAAGTCTTAAAAAACAGTTATGTTGAAAAAACACTTTCCGAATAACATGATTATGTTGTATTCATTTATTTTTATCTTTTTTAACATTTTTATAGTTGTGTTGCTTTGATGTGACTTCCATCAATATTTTAATGTGTAAAAATAGTTCACTACCACATGCCTAATTTATAATCATTATTAACCCCTTTACAGTGGAAAATTTTTTATTTTTTTTGGAAACCGTGTTATTGTTTTTTTTTCCACTTTCGTTTTCACATCACGTGATGACCTATTTTTATCATCCGCTGTTAAATTGGCTGTTAGATTAGCCTCCCTCTACATTGTTATTGATTTCCAATGCTATTTTCGTATTTTCGTATCAAGATGAGTTAACTCGGGACGCACGGCACACAGACGACTTTTTTATCTGAAGACGAGTTAACTCGTGATGTACGGTTAAGCACAAGATTTTATATGACGAGTTAACTCGTGACACACGGTAAAGGGGTTAAAAAGAGGTTAACTATACTTCTTATATTAATTTTGTGTACAACATGAAATTAAATAGTATGAGAACTGGCTGTATAACATACTGTGATTTGCGAAACAGCTTGTCATAAATTGTTCGTTCTTGTGTGGAGAGGTTGACTAGGATTGTCTGACTAGATCGCTTGGGAAGGGACACAAGTGGCTTGCCATCTTTGCTGATCTGATCCTTGGTGCGCCTCAACAGCAGGGCTTTGACTATTGTGTTGATCCGCTTTGTCTCTCCTAGAACAGACAGATTTGGGAGAAACTCCAAGGTTTTAATTTGTCAAACATTTTAATAAGTAATTAGTTTAACTACTGTATTTAATGAAAATGTATAGGCCAATAAACTACAAATAAACTACATGCTAGCCAAGAACTTGCATCATCTCTATTATTTACTATTAATTTATTATTAAATACTGTCACATATTAAAAATACATTTCTCAGATAAGAACATTATATAATTGCAAATGTGCTGTATTAAAGTAAAAAGATATTTGTATAGAAATAGAAGAAAATGAGCACCTTTTCCAGAGTCCACATGCCTTTTCCAAACTTTGTATTCATCAAATGGGCTGAATCTTAAAAATCTTGAAAAGTGACCGAATAAAAATTAGTATCAGTGCAAGAGGTTATTTACAGAAGAAAAAACACCACAATTTTCAATATGTGAAGTTAGATAAAAGTGTAAAAATCCTTACAAAATTGTATTCACCAAAATTCATAGTGTATTTTTCTAATCCATGTAAAATATGGTACCTGAGCAGTGCATACATGTCCAGAAGGTCATTCTGAATGGGAGTTCCAGTGAGCGCCCACCTACAGACAGCTCTGAGTTTGCAGACAGCAATAGAAGTAGCTGACTTGTGGTTCTTGATGTTGTGAGCTTCATCCAGCACTATTCTTTTCCAGCCTACTTTCAGCAGCATGGGAAGATCAGCTGAACACTAAATAAATACAAAAAGTTTAGCCTTGGCCAATAGAAACAGTTCAGGACTTGTCAATAAACCAACTAACCACTGACCTCTTCAGAATCTTCAATAGGAGTTTCAGCATTAGTGTCTTTGTCAGTTCCCAACTCCTTAGCAATGATGGTGTATGTGGTTAACACTACATCATTATCTATCAACCTGTAAAATATTGTATTCATCAACTCGTGTATAATACAAATAACCTCAATGACAAGTAATCAATCAATGTCAAGTAAGACTGTTTGTACAGTGAATGTTTATTTTACTTTTTAATTACGTAATTAATAAAACACTACACATTTTTATTTAAACAAGGACCATTTTGTCCATATTTTAAAAAATCATATGATGCCTATGAATTAAGTATGTTATGTTACATAAAAAAGTGACCCACTTGTGTATATGTTTCTCTCTGTTAGGTCCGTGATACACAATATACTTTAAGGCCCCCGGTCGACACCTCCTGTCAATCTCTGAGGCCCACTGGTGTACCAGAGATGCTGGAGCAATGATTAGGGTAGCCCGGCTCTTCTTCATAGCTTTGTTCACTGAGGTTAAAACATAACAATCAAGCTTATGGCTACAATGGTAATCTGTAGTTTACATTTGTTAACACCATTATGGGGATTCCTTTGTTTATGATAATTGCTACAATAACAATGTGTAGGTTGATTTGATTTATGTGGCAATGTGTCTAGTTTGATTCCTGGGCTTAACTCAAAATGACAACAGTGACTACATCCAGCCCTGATGAGTACCTAACTTGAGATGGGGAAAGTAATTTACACCTTTGATCTAATACAGCAAAGATGTGAACATTCATTATAGTTGTTACAATAATGATTTGTTATGTAATAATGCTGCTTACAACAATATTAGAAAATCCTAGAAGAAAATGTCTTATGTTGTACTTAACAGAAGCATAAAATCAGTGAGTGAGTGCTTACATTTTTCAACTTCCTTTTTCCAATTGAGCCAGCCCTCCTGTACTGTGTCTGGTGTGTCTAGTTTTTGTTTCAGGACCAGAGCTATGGTGGTCAGTGTCTTGCCCAGTCCCATGTCATCAGCTGATGGAAGAAACAATTGGACTAAATCTTATGATGACTTGACCAGAGCTATGGTGGTCAGTGTATCATCCAAAAATGACATTTCAGCTGGTTGCTTTGGTCAGTTATATAGATATAATTATATCCCTAAGGGTAGTAATCAGTTGAATGTAAAAAAAATTTTATGTATAAGGGGAGTTGCATGACATTGTGAGTCCCACATAATATCATTCATATTAATCAATGACATCTATAGATACAACTGAATCATCATATAAGTAATACAGCAGCTGAGAGGTGGGAATATGTAACTCTCTCTCCACCAGGTGGATGCTGCTAATGACAGTGGAAACAATTTGTACCTAAAATTCCACCGGGTGGATGATGCTAATGACAGTGGAAACAATTTGTACCTAAAATTCCACCGGGTGGATGATGCTAATGACAGTGGAAACAATTTGTACCTAAAATTCCACCGGGTGGATGCTGCTAATGACAGTGGAAACAATTTGTACCTTAAATTCCACCGGGTGGATGCTGCTAATGACAGTGGAAACAATTTGTACCTAAAATTCCACCGGGTGGATGATGCTAATGACAGTGGAAACAATTTGTACCTAAAATTCCACCGGGTGGATGCTGCTAATGACAGTGGAAACAATTTGTACCTAAAATTCCACCGGGTGGATGATGCTAATGACAGTGGAAACAATTTGTACCTAAAATTCCACCGGGTGGATGCTGCTAATGACAGTGGAAACAATTTGTACCTAAAATTCCACCAGGTGGATGTTGCTGTTCTCGCCAGGTCAGCCAGGCCAGAGCTTGTCGCTGATGTGGCATTAACGTCACTGTCAAACCTGCAGGGTCATCTAGTTCTGTGCTGTCAGTTGGGGAGGTGTCCAACTGTCTAAGAGAACATGAGACAGTTAATTGACCAGAGCCTGGACAGTCACATGAGACAGTTAACTGACCAGAGCCTGAACAGTCACATGAGACAGTTAACTGACCAGAGCCTGAACAGTCACATGAGACAGTTAACTGACCAGAGCCTGAACAGTCACATGAGACAGTTAACTGACCAGAGCCTGGACAGTCACATGAGACAGTTAACTGACCAGAGCCTGAACAGTCACATGAGACAGTTGACTGACCAGAGCCTGAACAGTCACATGAGACAGTTAACTGACCAGAGCCTGAACAGTCACATGAGACAGTTAACTGACCAGAGCCTGAACAGTCACATGAGACAGTTAACTGACCAGAGCCTGAACAGTCACATGAGACAGTTAACTGACCAGAGCCTGGACAGTCACATGAGACAGTTGACTGACCAGAGCCTGAACAGTCACATGAGACAGTTAACTGACCAGAACATGGACAGTCACATGAGACAGTTAACTGACCAGAGCCTGAACAGTCACATGAGACAGTTAACTGACCAGAGCCTGAACAGTCACATGAGACAGTTAACTGACCAGAGCCTGAACAGTCACATGAGACAGTTAACTGACCAGAGCCTGAACAGTCACATGAGACAGTTAACTGACCAGAGCCTGGACAGTCACATGAGACAGTTGACTGACCAGAGCCTGAACAGTCACATGAGACAGTTAACTGACCAGAACATGGACAGTCACATGAGACAGTTAACTGACCAGAGCCTGAACAGTCACATGAGACAGTTAACTGACCAGAGCCTGAACAGTCACATGAGACAGTTAACTGACCAGAGCCTGAACAGTCACATGAGACAGTTAACTGACCAGAGCCTGAACAGTCACATGAGACAGTTAACTGACCAGAGCCTGAACAGTCACATGAGACAGTTAACTGACCAGAGCCTGAACAGTCACATGAGACAGTTAACTGACCAGAGCCTGAACAGTCACATGAGACAGTTAACTGACCAGAGCCTGAACAGTCACATGAGACAGTTAACTGACCAGAGCCTGAACAGTCACATGAGACAGTTAACTGACCAGAGCCTGAACAGTCACATGAGACAGTTAACTGACCAGAGCCTGAACAGTCACATGAGACAGTTAACTGACCAGAGCCTGAACAGTCACATGAGACAGTTAACTGACCAGAGCCTGAACAGTCACATGAGACAGTTAACTGACCAGAGCCTGAACAGTCACATGAGACAGTTAACTGACCAGAGCCTGAACAGTCACATGAGACAGTTAACTGACCAGAGCCTGAACAGTCACATGAGACAGTTAACTGACCAGAGCCTGAACAGTCACATGAGACAGTTAACTGACCAGAGCCTGGACAGTCACATGAGACAGTTAACTGACCAGAGCCTGAACAGTCACATGAGACAGTTGACTGACCAGAGCCTGAACAGTCACATGAGACAGTTAACTGACCAGAGCCTGAACAGTCACATGAGACAGTTAACTGACCAGAGCCTGAACAGTCACATGAGACAGTTAACTGACCAGAGCCTGAACAGTCACATGAGACAGTTAACTGACCAGAGCCTGAACAGTCACATGAGACAGTTAACTGACCAGAGCCTGAACAGTCACATGAGACAGTTAACTGACCAGAGCCTGAACAGTCACATGAGACAGTTAACTGACCAGAGCCTGAACAGTCACATGAGACAGTTAACTGACCAGAGCCTGAACAGTCACATGAGACAGTTAACTGACCAGAGCCTGGACAGTCACATGAGACAGTTAACTGACCAGAGCCTGAACAGTCACATGAGACAGTTGACTGACCAGAGCCTGAACAGTCACATGAGACAGTTAACTGACCAGAGCCTGAACAGTCACATGAGACAGTTAACTGACCAGAGCCTGAACAGTCACATGAGACAGTTAACTGACCAGAGCCTGAACAGTCACATGAGACAGTTAACTGACCAGAGCCTGAACAGTCACATGAGACAGTTAACTGACCAGAGCCTGAACAGTCACATGAGACAGTTAACTGACCAGAGCCTGGACAGTCACATGAGACAGTTGACTGACCAGAGCCTGAACAGTCACATGAGACAGTTAACTGACCAGAACATGGACAGTCACATGAGACAGTTAACTGACCAGAGCCTGAACAGTCACATGAGACAGTTAACTGACCAGAGCCTGAACAGTCACATGAGACAGTTAACTGACCAGAGCCTGAACAGTCACATGAGACAGTTAACTGACCAGAGCCTGAACAGTCACATGAGACAGTTAACTGACCAGAGCCTGAACAGTCACATGAGACAGTTAACTGACCAGAGCCTGAACAGTCACATGAGACAGTTAACTGACCAGAGCCTGAACAGTCACATGAGACAGTTAACTGACCAGAGCCTGAACAGTCACATGAGACAGTTAACTGACCAGAGCCTGAACAGTCACATGAGACAGTTAACTGACCAGAGCCTGAACAGTCACATGAGACAGTTAACTGACCAGAGCCTGAACAGTCACATGAGACAGTTAACTGACCAGAGCCTGAACAGTCACATGAGACAGTTAACTGACCAGAGCCTGAACAGTCACATGAGACAGTTAACTGACCAGAGCCTGGACAGTCACATGAGACAGTTGACTGACCAGAGCCTGAACAGTCACATGAGACAGTTAACTGACCAGAACATGGACAGTCACATGAGACAGTTAACTGACCAGAGCCTGAACAGTCACATGAGACAGTTAACTGACCAGAGCCTGAACAGTCACATGAGACAGTTAACTGACCAGAGCCTGAACAGTCACATGAGACAGTTAACTGACCAGAGCCTGAACAGTCACATGAGACAGTTAACTGACCAGAGCCTGAACAGTCACATGAGACAGTTAACTGACCAGAGCCTGAACAGTCACATGAGACAGTTAACTGACCAGAGCCTGAACAGTCACATGAGACAGTTAACTGACCAGAGCCTGGACAAGAGAGAGACGCTAATGGTAGACTGTCTCAAGTAAGCTTACTTGTGCAATTTTTCAATAGCTTCAGTGGTGATTGATCCCACTTCTTTCAATCTCTGTGCTGTCATTCTACCACCATACAGTGTCATAGCCTGGGGGTTGGCTGAGAAAGGGTTAATAAAAAGCTATATTTTAATGATGATTGGAAATAAAAAGTTATTAAAAGCTACTATTTAAATTATGGTTGGTTAAGAGAAGGTTAATAAAAAGTTATATAAAGCTTATTTTAATGATGATTGTTTAAGAGAGGGTTAACAAAAAGTTACTGAGACATAGCTATATTTTGATGATGTTTGGCTAAGAAAGGGTTAAGAATAAAGTTAAAAAAATCAGATGAGTGCTTGTAGTAATACGATAGATGGACTAAAACAGTGAACATGTTGGTTATAAAAAGATATATCAGCATCAAGAAAACCCTCACTGTCTAATAAATGTTGTAGACTGTGTGGCAGATATGTTTGATGGGGTTGCTTCAGGTGCTGTCCTTCTCTTTGTTGGAATACACCAACATTAGAGGCTGCTTTCTAATTAAGTTAAAAAAAATAAAAGTACAGATATAAAGTTAACAAAAATTACTTCAGGGATAAGTAATATACATGGCGTAAATAGAAGTATCTACATAAAGTTTTATTATTTCTTTCAAAATGGTACTACAGCAATTAATTCATGTGGTTGTTAACTAAACTACTGTTTCATGTGGTCCTAACTGTTCTAACTTCTCTGGCTGTCCAGATCTAACGTATCCATGGAAAAAGATGTAACCAACAAAATTATGAGGTACTCACCTCTTGCTGACCACCTGGTGGATGCTTCATGTGTCCACTACTTGTTTTGTTGGATACATTTTCTATCTGACCACCCCCAGCTTAAAAAAAAAAATCAACAGACCCATTAACCTTTGTAGGAGAGATCTGAATGGTGAAGCAAACTTTTTAACAAACAACAAAATCTTTCACATTTTCACAGAAATTGAGTCTGTATGAAGACAAATATAAGGGCCAGGCAATTAACATAGATCATAAAGGTTATAACATTTTAATGACACATTAGAGATGCCCAAAAATTAGGAGAAGTAAGTGAAGGATATAGAATTATCCTTTTGTGATGTCATTTAAAGTATATTCAGTTTAGAGTGGATGTGTTGAAGTGTCAAATAATTACTTTTGGGTGTCAAATGGATGACCATATAAGTGCTAACACATAGAGCAAGCTTAAGTTTGTCAGCTTAACATAATGCTAATACAACACACTTTTTCAAACATGTAGGAAAAAAGTTTTTAATTATTTTCTTTACCAAGTGAAATATTAAAAAGCTGTGAAAATGAAAGCATAAAGAAGTTGAATACCTTCTAGAATGGCTTGAATCTGCTTATCATTCTGCTTGATTTCCTCCTGGGTTGATGCCAGCTTGGTGAGAATACGAGCTCCCTTATCTGGTAGGCTGGAGATGTTCACACCCCTCATACTGGCCTACAAAATCAAACCCTTTCCTTAAACAATTATTTTACCTTGAGCTGCCATATTTATTTACAACAAATAAAATATATCTTTATTAACATAAAACAAATGAAAACAAACATGGTGCAAACCTTACTTGTATTTTTTTAAGCTCAGTGGAGAGTTGTTCTCTTGTGTTCATTAAACTTGTCAAATTTTGACCTACAGCAGGTCCTGTCACATCCTGCAGATTTTGCTGTAAACTTTGACCTAATTGAGGGACCTTCACATTAGAGAGGTTAACTTGGTTTTGTTGCACACCTTGTTTCTCATCTCTTGTTGCTGGAACATTGTCTGATTGTTTAGAACTGGTCTGTGGAACTTGTGCCAGAACATTGCTGGACTGGCTAGAATTGGTCTTTGGAACTTGTGCCGGAACACTGCCTGACTGTTTAGAACTGGTTTGTGGAGCTTGTTCCACCAAATTGCTGGACTGCTTTGAACTGGTCTTTGAAACATGTGATGAATGTGATTTCTCAGTGACTGTCAACTTTTTCAGCTCAAAACTAGCCTCATTCACAGCCTCATCGTCACTACTTTCTGAATCTGATATGATGATCGTGTTTGGCTTGACCTTAGCTGGGCCTGGTGAATCTCTGTACTGATGAAAAGATTTACTGGCAAAGCTCATATCACTGGAGGTTGGTGGTCTAGATTTGCTGAGGTCAGCAAAACTGATTTCCATGAAGGAAGTATTCTTTTCTGCCGTCTGCTCTTCATTAGAGACTTCATTGCTGACTGACATGTCCAGGGAACTGTTGTTGGCATCAGTGCTGGCAGATTTTTGGGACGGAACAGCTGCACATTCTTTTTGTATTTTCATTGTTTCATGCTCTATTTCATCACACTTTTTGGTATTCTGCTTAGGAACAATAAAAAATAAATTTAAAACTTAAAAATTAAAATTGTGCTCTTTGCTTTGCTGATTTATAATAAGAAATAACTGATAAGGCTAAACTTCTAATAAAAATGTTTTTTTTACCAGGCTATATTTGGAATAACCACACCAAGAATCTCCAGTTTTTCTTCCATGACATCTGTAGTAGCACCTGCAAATTCAATCAGACATCATTTTAAACCCAAATTTCTTTAAATAGAATCAATAAAAAAATTTTTAATATAAGTTTAAGTAAACTTTACAACTATCATTTACACATTTTAATAATTATAAAAGTTGATAAATGTGTGTGATGTGGATAAGTGAACACAATAATTCTCTTGCTAACATGTTCTAAAAACGAAATAAATTATTTATTCAGATCAGGTCACATTTTGATGTATTCCTCATACTGTTGTCCAATAAAAATGATGAATGCCTCCATAATGGAATCTTCTTTAAAAATGGGGTGATGGCTTTCTCAAATAACTGAATCCTTAAATAGCTCTAACCCTCACATTATAATTGATATTACAATACTTAAATTATAACTGCTAACAAACTAAAACAACTATTTTGAAAGACTACATTGATAGACTGATAGTAAAGGGAATACTTGTAAAAAATAAATGTATTTACCGAAGAACCTCTGGTGACTTGGTCTTGACTAGTGACTGAAGATCTATCACATGTGTAGGATGTACATTACATTGGATAGGGGCTAACCTGGTCAGAGGGGATAGTGCTTTGCAATTAATAAAACTTTTTAATAACAAAAGATTTACTTTTTGTAAGATTTTTTATCAATGCACATTTGAGAATTGAGAAACAGAATGAAACAATTATTTTAAGTTTATTTTAGGCTTTTTTTTTTTAAATTTATAAATATAATAGTAAACTGAGTGTTGTTGTTTTAAAGCGAAAGTATAGTTGAAGCCTAATTTAAATTTATGGCTAAATTGAATTAGATATTTCTTAATATAATAATTTTTAATACAAATACTTACTCAGTAACTTTATTAAAACTGCATTGTCCACAGACATAAAAACTGATACCCTTGGAAGCGCCTGGTTTTGTTCCAGTTTTAAGCAAGCAATATGAATCTGAAAATGTACACAGATTGTAGACTCTGTGATCAATGCAATATTAATGAAAGAATTTAACATTCAAAGGACTACTAATAATATGTGGTTTTTTAACCTAAGATACTTGGTGACTTAATCTGTATATTTACTTAAGCCTCAGAGTAAGATAGAGAAAAGAGTCACAAAAGTCAAAAGACTAGGCATAGAGTTCAGTTAAGTTTAAACTTGTATTGGGGTGGGGGGGGGGGGGGGTGGGGGCGGCATGGCCTAGCGGTACACAGCTAGACTGCAACCTGAAAGTCTCGAGTTTGAATCCAGGTTTAAGTCAGCAGTAAGTCCCTGAGTCAACCGAATTCTGATGTAGATTTCTACATCTAACTCACATTAGGGAAAGTAAACACAGCTGGGTGTACTGCTGACTGCACTATCCCTTTATTTCATATGTTGAGGTTACAGAATCAGAAACAGGTACTCTACACTCTAAAATGAGTATTTCAGTACTTGCTCCATTGATGATGGACCACAAGGTTTGAAAGAGTACTTGTATTTATAAATTTAACTTTTAAAAAAAGGAGTAAGGCAGTGTCTGTGAATGATATTTAATAATAGTTTTCTTTTTATTTTGCTAGCAGATCTAGATTTATGTGATGTAGGTTTAAGAGACGTAGATCTAGATCTAGATATATATTTAGTAAGAGTGGCTGAGGGGACGGAGTGGTCTAGCGGTAGAGAGCTGGACTGCTTACCCGTAGGTCTCGAGTTCGAATCCGGGTTCAAGTCAGTAGACCGTCCCTGAGTCCACCCAACTCTGATGGGTACCTAACTCTTGTTAGGGAGAGTAAAGGCGGCTGGGCATAGTGCTGACCACACTATCTCTTCATATGCCGAAGTCACAGAAACAAGTGAACTCTACTTCACTTGCCCCATAGACCGTCAGGTTTGAAAGGGAAACTTTACAAGAGTGGCTGAGAGAGAACCGAGAGTTGGGTAAACCTCCATTTTAGCGTATTTTATTTCACGCTTCACGTTCACCTCCAATTGAGCGTATTTTATTATAAACACAACCGAAACACACAAAAACGTTTGGAAAGCACTAGATCTCCTTTTTTTTAATGAATGTGATTTTTAATTAGAAAAGATAAAAAAACAACATAAAAGAGCATTAGAACAGTTCCAATTAAATATCGTGTGATCGTCAGCGGGAGAAAAATCCTTACACTGTCGCGGGTTCACCGTGAGTTCACATTGACTTTAATTATCAGCATACGTCATAGCTCGGGCAATAGCTGTTTGAAATTGTGTTGGCCTCAGTTTTGGGGTCATTGTAAGTTCATAAATGTTTATTTATAGTTTATAACTTTATAGTAACTTGCCTGGGAGATACTTGTAACAATACAAACTTAACAAGCTGCCTTGCAATTGTGAGTTACGTTTACGTACTTCACCCATGGCCATGAAAATTCTAACTGACACACGAACATAGTACACTCAATATTCTAAATTTGGATTTTTCTCCAGTTTTGACAAAAGTAAATTATCAAAATCTAAAACAAAATCAGTCTCTTTTTTTAAATTCATTTGTTAAAACAAAAATACAATACAAATAAATAAATCATGTTTTCCTAATGTTTTGGTTATTATAATAAAATACGCTCAACTGGAGGTAAACAAGAAGCGGAGAATAAAATACGCTAAAATCATACTAAAATGGAGTTTAACCCGAGAGTTGAGTCAGTTGTGAAGTTGGCTAAGAAGTTGCAGCTGAGGAGAGAAGGAAATTTACCAGTGTGTTTGGGACAAGAAAAAGGCTCCATTATTTATATGACTATTTCAATAAAAGTTGCTTTGTTTAAAAACGCTCGTTGTCTATAGGTCTAGACTACATGACAAGTACAAGTTTAAAACGTTTTAAAATATTAATTATTAGAATAAGGCAGTTCTCTTATTCAATATTCGAACAGAAAGCAAAAGTGGAACACCGGAAGTAAATAAAGAATATCACAGCAAAGTTTCGCTCTTAAATAAATATATAATGTAAATACTTGTGAGTACGCGGAGCTTAGACCACGCACAGTGACTTTAAAAACTTTAACCGTAGGTGGTTTTGACCACATCGGGGCTTTGTAAGAGCTTTGAGGTTGTTTTTTTTAAAGTACATGCTAATTTTTATTAACACAAAATTGTATTAAATAACAGTTTATTGTTATTATAAACCTACACGTGGACAAACCATAAATGCCTATTTTGGTATTAAAGGGTTTTCCATTTTTAAAAAGGCACGCTTTTAAAAACGATTTTTACCCTCCCCCCCCCCCTTTTTTTACATGCAAAATAACGCCCGACATCACATATCTTCACTAAAAGTGTGACGTAGTTTATGGACGACCTTTCTTAAGTAAAATTTAAAAAAAACCTATTTACTTGCAAGAAAACTAAAGCATTCAGCAGATTTATCCCAATTAATAACGCAGAAATCAATTGTAGCTTATCCCACTTTCATAATTTCACCCCCCCCCCCCTTTCCCCGAATTCGATAACATACATGCCCGAGTCGGCATAACTCATAAAACTAAAGAGTAACTTTGCTCATACAATTTTAGATCTAGTTAAGTAAGGGTATTCAATACATATTATAGCACCCAATGCTTTTCTTTTCAGTAATGTTTCTTCATATTTTGTTAATCTACCAAAAAATAAGTACAACCGCAATCAAGTTTTTATAATGACATTTAACAACACTGCTCATTTATAAACAATCTCCACTCTGAGTTTCTGGGTCGAGGCCATTATGTAGTTTACATCATAATTAAGTTGACACCTGGCACAAACAAAAGTATTTGCTGCAATACCAAATTTTTAGAGATAGGAGCTTTAACAATTATCTCCCCTTCAGAGAATCTGTGCTAGCTAGCTTGAGAATATCAATGAACACCTGATATTCTACTATAATCTTGTTATCTCCCATTTTGATACTGAATATAACAATCTTTCATTCTTTATATTAGTTTTTTTAAATTGACTAATTTATTATCTAATTGCACTGAAAATTAGATAATGAATTATCATCTGAAATGAAATCTGTGAAAAGTTTGAAAGAAATTGCTCCATTAGAGGCAAATACATGATTTGACCACAAGCTCACATACCCACCCAAATATCCGGACATTGTTAACACTAAAACAGCTAGTAAAAATGACAATAGGACAAACTTAAGTTTGTTTATTATAATTTATTCTTGACTGAAAATTACATCTTTATATAGGCTGCCTGCTGTATTTATTACATCTTCACACAAGAGATTCTCATCCAAGGATGCAACATACAGACATAAACATAAATAAATTAGCTAAAAATGCTGTTTGCATTATGACCCAGTTTATTAAGAGAACAATAGTTCAAGGGCTACTTCAAGTATAGTTCACAGTTTCTGTGAATAATTAATTACAATAATTAAAATCAGATTGACAAACAATACCAATCTGCTTAGTTAACGAGCAAGGAGGTTGATGGTCCTGAGCAGGCAGCAATATCACTGCAGTGACAGGTCACTAGGAGATTGATCTGTGGAACCACCTGACAACTCCCCTAATATAAGGCTGAGTAGAATATCATAATGCCGTAACATGGGAACAATTTTATACAGACATTTACTGAAATGAAAGGGCAACTAAAATTGTTGCTCTATACTTCACATGATAGATCAATGCCCTTAAAAAAATCTCAAATATTGAATAAACTAATGCCATGTAATTACATTTGGGATCTATTTGCTGTAGATAAGATTAATGTGATGACATGATATGACCCTATAGGACTTATGTAACAAAATGCCACCAGTAGTAAATATGTCTAAAGCCATACATCTGCCACAAAACCCAGTAGACGAGATAAAAAAAAAGTGAGTCCGGTAATGGCAGATGTGGATACCTTTGATGAATAATCATACATAAGGAGAGCTAGTTGAAACATAAAAAGAGGATGAGCGCAGATGCTAAAATCAGAAAAAAAAAAGATGTACACTATGCACAGTAGATATGAGCACATGTATAGTTTTAGCTACTATCTAGCTTACATTAAAAAAATAAAATATGTACCTCACCCCCCCCCCCACCCCCCTCCCCCTAGTTAAAACATTTTAGTAATTTAGAACATCACAATTTTCAACTATTTTGAAGACATAATTTAAAACAATTGGCGGGAATTTATCCAAATGTAGTCTGCATTCAGATGAAGAAATGTTTGTTCTTTTGTAGCATATTCAAATAAATTATTTGAAAATCACAGATTGATAATATTTGAGTTCATCAAGACTTTCTAGGATGTCATCTAATGCCCTGAAAACACACAGACACATATTAAAAGGATGAAGCACAGCTGATTTATAAAGAAGGCAAAAAAAAAACCTCTTTTGTATCCTCATAAAGGTCTAAAAGTACACATGTTCATTCAAGGGATATAAGCAAATGAAAGCTCTACACAATTTTAGAATGAATGGATATCAATGTTGCAGCCATATTAATGAGCAATACTATGAACAAAAACCTTACCTGTGTGATAGTTTTTTCTTTGGAGCCATATTGAACGCTTCAGGATACCATCGTCTAAAGAATAATTTAAAAGAAAATGTGTGGTGAAAAAGTTAAATATACAGCATATATAAATACAACTTTAGGATCTAATTATTCTTTTTAAATTATTAAAATTGATATTATTTCGAAAAAAATAATATAACACTAACCTGCAATGAGGGACACATCATGGACATATGATAGTAAAGTAAGTATCAAGTTCTAATACTTAATCGCTTATCAAACAATAACTAATGGCAAATGAAAGAACATAATAAGAGTTTTAAAAAATTCTTACCGACACAATTCCTTCACAGTGCTCACATCAACAATTCTGTAGTGAAGATGCTGTGATAGCCGAGGCATGTATTTGTCTATAAACCTTTTATCCATGCCCACAGAGTTCCCAGCTAAGGGGCAGGTTCCAGGGGTGGTGTGTTTTAACAAGAACTCCAGCACCATCTGCTCTGCTTCTTCTGTTGTTATTTTACTCTGTTTCACAGCATTTGTCAGACCAGACTGAAAGTTGTAGGGAAGGGAGACAATGCATATGTGGTTAAAAATGACAATCTCCATGCTACAATAAAGCCTAAAACCCAAAGGGACATCACCACACAGTAGAACAGATGAACAGACCTTACAAACCACTACTGCTATAAATGGATAATCGATTAATTAGAATAAAGTAAACAGTATATTTTGAACACAAATTTAAGAAGCAAGGAAGAAAGAAAATAAGAATCAAATATTTGAAACTAATCTTAAACCAAACAAATGAAATAGAGGTAGTAATTAAACTTCCCCACAAGAATTGAAGGATGAACCCATTTTCCCTACCTCTCCATGATGTTCAACACACCAATCACTCATCTGATTCAGGAGCTCATCATCCTGATGGATGATGATACTTGGGCACTAGCAGATAAAAATACAATATTTAGAGTTTTTGACAACGTTCATTAAACAAACCCGACAAATGATAATAAAATAAGAATTTAGATGCTAACCTTGTCAACAACTGTAAGATCCTCTTCTGTTACAACACAAGCAATTTCAATAATTCTTTCTTTATCAACATCAAGGCCTGTCATCTACGATTAAAATTTTTTTTTTTTAATTGTTAATTTGATTTACTTACAAGTTTATTAATTTGGTGTATAGAATAGAACACAAGGTTATCTTAATTATTTTTTTAAAAAAAGGCTTTCATATGGTAAACTGTGTTCCATCAATGCACATGTAAAACCCAACATATTTATAATACTAATAATATTTAAATAGGCAGCTTCCAAACCGAGAAATGTGCACAAAATTTCATCAATATGAACAATCTATATAAATTATTCAGATATAAATAAATAAATAGTTATATTTTATGTCATAAAAATTATATTCTGTCACAGAAGAAATGCAGAAATCTTCAATGGATGTATGCAATGAATAAGCAAATCAGAAGTTTTTATTCCTTTTTTAGCTACAAAGTTGTGGGACCGTTGATGGTTTGTTCCTTTGACCAATAGTGGGTCTAAGGCTAGGCCAATGATTTTACCAAACATTATAAACATTTATGTAAAAAAAATAATATGAGATAATAGAAGTAGGATGGCACCAAGGTTATTTGGATATTCAAAAGAGGCACAGTGACAAAAACTTAGGAAAATGCTGCCTAAGAGAAAAGATATGCTCAAAACACTAGCACTTTCATTAAAAAGTTTTATTGAAATACCATTTTTTAAAATGTAACTAAACTCACCTCAAGATCAATCCATACAAGCCTTGATGATGGTTTAGTTTTAATATCTTCTTGTAAAATTTTATCCTTCATCCTTAATGTGCTTGTCTTTCTGGATAAACTGAATTCTGTTTTCATTAAAATAGGTAGAATGTACATGCTGGTGGCATGTTTGATGAAATGTAACTGTCTAGCATATTTAGGAGGCTTTATTTTAAACAAGGTGGAACTGCTTCTAGTTAACATTGGAAGAAACAGAAACTGGGACCCAAAAATCCTCTGCATGGTTTTCAGATTAAAACTAGACCAGAGAAGAGAAATTCAAGCTAAAACAAGTTTCATAATATAGTTAGCACAGATTTTTTGTACACACCAGTGTCTGACAATGGACTCTTCCATAAAAAATGAATGTTCTGTTGGTAGTAGTAATCTTAAAATTAATAAAATATCATGAATAGGCCAAAACTCAACAAACATTACCAAATAATTTCCGAAGCTATATCGTGATTTTACCTAGATTTCTATGGATCTAGGCCTAACACATCCAGATACTAAAGATGTACTAAATAACTATTAACTACCACCTTTATTTCAGTTATTTAATAATAAAAAATTAAGTATATTTGTATATTAGCCTAAATTATTAGGCTAATGTAATAATAATTAATAATAATAGCCTAATTAAACTAATTACTAATTAATATTAGATCTATCTTATTAATTGGTAATCTATGGTTTTAGGTAGGCCTACGTAAAATCGCCCGCGACTAGTAATGTGAAAAACAGGTGACTCCTTAAATTTTAATAATTATTTCACATGTTTTAAAAAATACGAAAATGTTTCCTTGTTTCATTTATGTAGGCTGTAGGCCTACCTACATGTTTTTAAACAATTGAATTAAAACTTTTCAGTAATAAATGAAGACTAGCGATGTTTCCAACAGATGCAACCATGCTCATTTACTATACTACAGCAGCCATCTGGTTTATTTTTTTTAGGCCGATTCTAGTCGGAGTAAGATACGCATGCGATATGCATGCGCAATGGAGAGAAACTACGACTTAGCGGCGATGTTTTCGATGGTACTGCGCATGCGTGTGTTTACAACCGCAGAACCCTAATACCAACCCTAATCCTATCCTTAACCCTATCCCTAATCCTATCCCTAATCCTAATCCTATCCCTAATCCTATCCCTAACCCTATCCCTAACCCTATCCCTAATCCTACCCCTAACCCTCATTCTAGCCCTAACCCTAGCCATAGGTCACTGCGCATGCGCAGAACTATCTTTTGCAGAAAAATCTTATTCCGAGTAGACACTTCGTTTTTTTTATTGTAAACTTATACCGCGATATTCAGGGGAAGCCACTCTTAACTTACAGATGGCCGCTTTTTATACAGCAAACCTTCTCGCAAACACTGCTGTTTAAAGTTAATTTCTTGCCGCGGCAGATTTTGCGTACCTAAAGCGATAGATTACCCTATTTAATAGGAATTATTAGGTAGGCTAGGCCTAAGCCCTAAGCATTTTTAATTTTTATCATTTTTAATAAGGCGGGCGGCTTAAGGCGTGAGTGTTGTGTTACAAAGATCAAGAATAATCAGTAATCTTACTAATCTAGAATCTAGACCTAGAATAATCTAGATTAGATACATAATACATAGATCTAGTTCTAGATTAGATCTATTACATACGTTAGGCTATAAGATCTCGATTCTAGATCTAGATCTAGAATCTAGACTATTAATTTTTTTAAAATACTGATAATTAACGTTGGTAAGCGAATTTCGTTGTATCAGTTTTTTAGTTTTTAACCAAATTAATAGCAGTTTTAGCAGTAAAAAATAAATAAATCTAAAGTGCTCACAAATTGAAACCAAAATGCTCCTGAAAACTTACTTTGCTGCGGACTGACACAATATTTTAACAGGATTTTTTTTATCAATGCATACCAATCGTGTATTTTTTGACGTGACTTTGTGGGTTAAAAGAAGGCGCTATATTTCTTGCTCATAGTTGTTGGCCCGTTTGTCCATACTACCGCCCAGACGCCCCAGTCCATGCTGCATGAAAGCCTTGAGTGTATGTTAATCACCGGTTACACTCAGTGGCGTAGCCAGGATCGTCTCAATGGGGGGGGGGGTTCCAATTTTTACCCGGGGACAAACTTTCGATTTGCACCCCCCCTCAAACTTTCGATTTGCACCCCCCCCCCCTCAAACTTTCGATTTGCACCCCCCCCTCATACTTTTTATCTATACCGAGGGGTCTATGGGGGGGGGGGGGGATTATGACCCCCCCTAACCCCCCCCTGCCTACGCCACTGGTTACACTGCAGCAGGGGCGCCGGGTTCGGTCCATGATTTGGTTTAATTGTCGGGTTCCACCGTTGCCCTTTAAAACGAATGCAGGCGCCATAGTATTCATTGGGCAGCCGGAGTGCTACAGGTCACCCAACCGCCGGGGCGCAAGCGGACACACCTGATTCGATTTAGTCAACGCTTACAGTAGCACAACGTATCCATAGTGTATCGCACTATTTAAAACGAACGTTGGCGCGATTAAGTGCTCAAGGGGAGCCGGGGCGCCGAGTGTATGTGTGTGTGTGCGCGTGTGTGAGCGTGTGTATGCGTGGGTGCGTGTGGGTGTGTGTGTGCGTGTGTGTGTGGGTGCGCATGTGTGTGCGTGTGTGTGTATGTGTGTGTGTGTGTCTAAGAGACAATACTAGATGAAACAATGTGACCGGAGATAACGGGAGTGTCTTATATAAACACTTTAACGCTGCGAAATATTGGATACTGCTATTTGGAATATTCCCCCCTCTATTAGTATTTCTTTCGGACTTTTTCTCCGGCGGTGGGGGGGGGGGGCACTTGAAACATTCAAGGGGGGGGGGGGGGGGGAAGACGTGCTCCTGAAAGAAACTATGCCGCTATGTAAACGAAGTGAGACAACCATCAATTATCGAAATCAAAGACCACCTGAATTCCCCTTCCCCACCACCCTACCCCCCTTCACAATACAGACACACACAGACACACAGACACACACACACACACAAAATAAACAGGTAGGTTGCAATACTACCTTATTTCGCCAACAAACGGTGAAGACCAGCTGAAGTAGGACGATCGGCGATCGCTATCCTTGACCAAATTACATTATGAATAATGACAAAATTATAATTGTATTTAATTTTTTCCCGTACATAGCACATTGCTTTATACAAATTTTATTCGACAACACATGGTTAGTTTTATTTCTTGCTTTAAAAATTATACTTGCTAATAAATGAGAAACTTGTATTTCCTAGTACAACTGGTTAAAATCTGTTTTTAATCTAATAACAAAATATCATTGAGTGAAACTTTTGCTTCTGTGTTATGTTGAGGTAGGCCTAAATATAAAAGCAATTCTACATTTTGTGAAAGGGGGGCGCAATGCTATATTGTTTTACCACACTGTCAAACTGTTTTAAATGTTAAAAGTTTTAATGTTTCATTCTACTGCCAGGGCTTGTGTTGTCGGCTTAATATAAAGTCGGCCTTTTATCCATGTCGGCCTTTCAACATGTCGGCCTTTTATCCATCTCACCTTTTTGTCTCTGTCGGCATCTTTTTGCCCCCCCCCCCTTACCCCCTTTCATCCTCCGGTAATTTCTAGTGTCCCCACCCCTCCTTCGGAGCAAAATGTCCGAAAGAAACCCTGTGATGGGCGACCCCTAGATGTTAAATCATTATCGTACCTAACTAATCATAAGAATGATGACGATAACATAACAATATTAGCAGCAATTCACATAAACTGATTGTCCTTTGTTCTCGAGCATCCAGTCTGTAACCTTCCCCTTCCTAGTTATACTTAATGTTATTTGTCGAGAGAAGCTGTCCAAGTGTTCTTGTTCTAACTAGAAAAGAGCTGTCTGGTCCCATTCTTACAGCTGTAGTGATCACAATATCATCACATTAGGCCTGAGCGCTCAGCTCAGTTCGCCGGGTGAAACCTTCGATTTCTAGGACAGATAAGGGGCGGTAAGCTCAAGGGTGTTTTCTTACAGGATCAATGTCATTATTTTTAGATTTAATTACGTCCCTTACCAGGACAAACTCGGGATCCATGTTTATTTCAATCGTTACAAGAAAAAAAGGATATAATTTATTATTTCAATTTCATCAAGCTGATAGAAAATCAGTGGTCGCCTCTCCAGTCTCCATCAATACATTCATTACATTAAAAGCGTCGCGTTGAGAAAATGACCGGGGAAAAATGACACAAGTAATGTCAGACTAGACATTAGACAAAAACAAGGATAATTTAAGTAATACAATGATGGCCGTGAGTTTTTACTTGTTGTTTTATGAGTACCGTTCACGAGATGAAGCGATATCTTGATTTGAAGTTGGGAACTAATGGAGTAAAAATTTCCTGACTGTGTAGGTACCGTGAGCTTATTTCCAGGCATCTCTTCAACCCCCTCCCCCCTCCATACTTTTACCATTGTCCGCCTCCCCCCCCCCCCCCCCTCCGGAGAAAAAAGTTTGGAAGAAACACTGCCCGTGAGTCTAGGTTAAAAGACAAAGTGTGCTATATATGGGTCTAGGTTAAAAGACAACGGGTGGAGAATTTCTTCCAGGCATCTCTTCGGGGAGGGGGGGGGGGGGGGGGGGGCTCTGCCGAAGAAAAGTTTACCCCCCCACCCCCCGAACGAAATGGAATTTATATAGAAACTATTTACTTTTAACAGTGTCCGCCCCCCCCCCCCCCCGAAAATTTCAGTGCCCCAAAAGAGAAAAAAAGTCTGGAAGAAACACTGAACGGGTGCTGTATTTGGGTCTAGGTTAAAAGGTTTAAGGCCACAGCTTCATTTAGGAGTATGGGGAGGGAGAGGGTTATAGTTAGGATGAAATCAAAACACAACCACAGATCTAGCAGCTAAATGAATAATAGTTGATCAACTGTTGACATTTAACACAAATGACATTTACTCTGAATCATAAACCCGGGCTGTATCTCCCCACTTGACCGGAAATGACATTCAATGTGACATTACCGCGCTGGGCGACATTATACATATTCCATTTGATCTGATTCGCCACACCGAACAGATTCATCTGTTAACGTAACTCTAATGACAGCCACTGGTCACCCTGTTTGCACACCCGGATGTGTACTTTAGCGTCGTCTGCTAGGCAATAAAGGTAATCTACTGTAAGAAATGTGATTTATTTGCAAGCAGGGCCCTCTAGCTAATGACGTCATCCTATTGCTGCTCCAGTATCTAGGTTTGTTTACCCCGGAATCGATGACGTCACTCGCTCGTATGCCTCCCCGCGTCAATTTGCCCTCTATCAAATTCTCCCTTCTGTTTCTTTCAATGATTTCTCCCTGGGGTTATTTGATAGAACTCATAGCATGATATCATCGCACTCACCATTGATGGACTGGAGATTTTCTTCTGACGGTTTAGAGATTATTTTTTTTTCTCGAGCTCAGGGTTATTTTTGTATGTGATGGAATAGAAATTATTTGCGTAAAATAACCACAGGTCATTTCATTAATGCATTTTTAAATAATAAAAAATCCAAAACATTGAATTTGTGTAATTACATCTAATTTGAAGATATTTTAATCAGAATTTAAAAAAAAAGAAACAAAATACGAGAAATCCTTTTTTCCTCATTTTTAAAATCTAAGGCTTTAAAATATTAGCTGTGTAGGATTTCCAAGAACTACTGAAGGGGGGGGGGGGGTGCTTTAACGGTTGTCCACGTGATTAGTCCGGCTCCAATAACAACCTATTACAGTAGCGATTTGGGTCATGGACAGCAAAAATACAGACATAGTAACATTGTATATCAGGTGATGTGAAGAGGAGGGGGGCGAGGGAGGTGTTTTATCGGGTTTCTATTATTAGCGGGTTGAGTTGTAAACAACGTGGGTTTTCGCCCCTTTTAATAAAAACCAAATTAGAATAAGCGACGGAGTTGTGGTTTATTGCTTGATAGAACACTCTCATGGGTGAGCAGTGAGGAAAAAACACTTCCATTGGTGAGCAGGGAAAAAATACACTAAGGGTGAGCAGTGAAAAAAAACACTTTGATGTGTGAGCAGTGAAAAAACCACTTTCATGTGTGAGCAGTGAAAAAACCACTTGTAGCATACAACGGCTTCCTGTCATTCCAGTACAGAGAGGGGGGGGTGATGAACAGGAGTTTTATTGATCAGGGGATGGAGGGGGGGGATGTCCTTAAACGTCAACTGAAAAAGTGCTAAATATTTAGGAAATTATACCAGCATATTGGGCATAGTGCTGACCACTCTATCTCTTCATATGCCGAGGTCATAGAAACAAGTGAACTCTACTCACTTGCCCTATAGACTGTCATGTTTGAAAAGGGAACTTTACTTTTTTATACCAGCAGATTACAATCAAAGGACAATTGATTATATAAAAGATAACCAACAATGCAAGTAACCAACCATTCTGCCTTGAAACAAAATTTTACCGTGTAGGTATTTAAACAATAGACAGACGTGCCACATGGAAGACACTTTGTTTCTATTTCAGGCAAAGTTCCAATTCTAAGCAATGTTAAGTTGAATTGTAAAACTACTTAAAATTGTAGGCCGTCTAAGGAGGGGGCCAATCTACACAAAAAAAGCTGTGCACATTTTGCACGCTGGAGGGTAGAGGTGGACTGGCCCCCGGTGGGCCCTCGGGACAATATCTCGGTGGGCCCTCAGGACAATATCTCGGTGGGCCCTCAGGAAAATATCTCGGTGGGCCACTATGAACGGTGTTGTATAGTCCTTTTAGTATTGATCTTTTAAAAATGGTTAGTAATTTACAATTTCTTTATACCTGGTGTAAAATTCAGGCCTTTGATTGAGAAAAAATGTGCAATTTAAAATTTCCTGGGACTCTTTGACTAGCTAGTCCACCCTGGTGGAGGGCTAAAACTGTATCTGGTCAGTACTTGTGGTTAAAATTTTCCTGTTGTTCTTTAAATCCTTTATAAAATCAAACCTCAAATTCAATAAGGTCATGCAGTTCAACAAATCAAACACTTAAATAAGTGTTCGATTTCTGCAGAGTTTGTTCAGTGCGATAAACTCTAGGGCAGCTCCCGATATCGATCACTTTGATTTCTCCAATACAGATGATCGTCTACTGTAGTGTTGGAAATCTAACTTTTAACGCAAGATTAATAACGTAACAAAATAATTAACTTCCTTACATAGCCGGCAAAAACAGCTTAAAATTGATCTAAGATAGGATTGAGAACATGGGGCATATTCTAAAATTCTGCAATTAATTATTAATTTAAAATACTAAACATGACGTCCATTACGTTTTAAGTTACCTTAAGGCAGTCGCATGTCCGTTAATTGAATCACTGTAAGGACTCTTTAATTTGAACACAGCTAAGGTTTGAAAGCTAATTTTTCCTCATCCTTTCTGCAATACGGAAATGCACCATGTACTGGTTGCCCTGAGCTATTCAATATCTATTAATATATTAAGAAATTTTGCAAGGAATGATGCATAACAAAATATTGCATTTACCAGTCAATTTACTATCTGTATCAGGTGTCCCCTCCCCCTAAGAAACACAGATAAACACGCTCGGAGGCTGTTATATGAACTTAATAAAGTAAGTTTGGATTAATTACTTACCAATCAAGATTATATGGCATTGTACTTCCGATCAGTGGGGTGTACCCCCCCCCCCTTACCCCTCCCGTGGATAGAGTTTATATATATATATATATATATATATATATATATATATATATATATATATATATATATATATATATATATATATATATATATATATATATATATATATATATATATATATATATATATATATATATATATATATATATATATATATATATATATATATATATATGTGTGTGTAAATATCAATAAGTTTTCCAGCAGCACTATAATCTTACAATATTCTATAATCTTACAGCAGCACTATAATCTTACCCTAGCACTATAATCTTGCAACAGTTCTATGATCTTACAACATCACTATAATCTTACTCACGCCTATAATCTTACAGCAGCACTATAATCTTACCCCAGCACTATAATCTTACAACAGCCTATAATCTTACAATAGCACTATAATCTTACAACAGCATGTAAGTTTTAAACTAACAAGATAGCAGGTAAGATTGTTCTTGCTTATGAAGTTTAATTTCACTTCAATTTTACAACTCTACAAGATTTTGCACCTGTTAAAAAACCCAGATTAACAGGTGAACGTCTACACTAACCAGACGTCACGATACGGGTAAGTTGTAATGGGTGAGCAGGGGTGGGGTTTACCTTGCTCACACGTAGACTCATCATATCTTGATTTAACGTTAAGTATGTAGAGCAGCAACTGTTACACTGTTAAAAAACTGTTAACATTGGCTGTGTTAACAGTTGTCATGGTGTCTGTGAGTGTAGTTGAGTGCAATGTTGGCTTAAAACTGTACTCACTTCTGTATTGTTGGGGTCTAGCTAGCTATCCGCCACACAAGCACCAAGGGTAGATCTAGATGCTAGTGTCAGTAATGGAAAGCTTTGGTAGGCACAACCAATTTGAACAGTAAGTAATATAAAGGTAGAGCGGTCGACTGCTAGCCCGAAGGTCCTGAGTCCCCGAAGTCCCTGAGTCCCCAGAGTCCCTGAGTCCCCCAGTCCCCTGAGTCCCCCAGTCCCCTGAGTCCCCCAGTCCCCTGAGTCCCCCAGTCCCCTGAGTCCCCCAGTCCCCTGAGTCCCCCAGTCCCCTGAGTCCCCCAGTCCCCTGAGTCCCCCAGTCCCCTGAGTCCCCCAGTCTCCCAGTCCCCTGAGTCCCCCAGTCCCCTGAGTCCCCCAGTCCCCTGAGTCCCCCAGTCCCCCAGTCCCCTGAGTCCCCCAGTCCCTGAGTCCCCCAGTCTCCTGAGTCCCCAGTCCCTGAGTCCCCCAGTCGAGTCCCCCAGTCCCCTAAGTCCCCCAGTCGAGTCCCCCAGTCCCCTGAGTACCTTAGTCCATCCAGCTCTGATGGGTACCTGACTTATGTTGGGGAAAGTAAAAGGGGCTTGGCATAATGCTGACCATACCATAACTTCATATTCAGGGGGCCAAGAAACATATAAACTCTACTTCATCTACATCTATAGTTACGTCCGAATTGGTAGCATTACTTACTTTACTTGTTACATAACATAACAGGGACATGCATCCCCAGACGTTAATAAAGCCAAAAAATAAAACTTAGCACCGAGATAAAACAGCCATGAGATGCATTCATCCACCCCACTATCCGAATCACACGCATAAAGACACGGGCTGAGATCATTTAATAAACCTCGGCTCACATAAAACTAGCACAGCCAGGATGATTGAATTACGATTGTAATTACCACAAACCTCCTGGGAGTCCGCGGCACTCGACACCAGAATGGAACCCGAAATTTGTTAACTGAATTATGTGTTACATAAATAACTCCGAAGTATTACTTTGTCTATATCAACTAGTTACAAACCTATAAGAAAATGGTAATATATTAGTGTATATATATATTTACAGGCCCTATAGATATATATATAATATATATATATATATATATATATATATATATATATGAATATATATATATATATATATATATTCATATATATATATCTATATCTATATCTATATCCATATATATATATATATATATATATATATATATATATATATATATATATATGTATATATATATATATACATATATATATATATATATATATATATATATATATATATATATATATATATATATATATATATATATATATATATAATATATATATATATATATTCATATATATATATATATATATATATATATATATATATATATATATATATATATATATATATATATATATATATATATATATATATATATATAGGCTATATATGTGTATGTGTGTGTATCTATAATTGTATAATTTAACCAGAAACCACTTCATGCAACAGACAAGCACTCATGTTCCTATTTTATTCAACAACGCAGCGTTACAACAAAACAATAACACAATTTTCTCCCCCATGTATAATTCGGTTTTGCCTCCTGGGTATTTTCATTGGGTGAAGTTTCCAAGTGTGTGGGCACTTGTGCTGTTAATTACACCGGCCGGTCTTTGGACGACTCCCGGCTGCCAGATACTCAGACACGTCCCCGGGATTCCTCCATTCCCCGGGAGTTGAAGATCAATTTAAAATCGCCGGCGTGGACAAGATGAGATTTTTCTCAGCAAGAAAAACTTGTACTTATACATAGACAAAAAAGGTGGAGGAAAGAATTGAGAATTTCAAATACAGATTTAAACCAGAGAAAAAATTTACCTCGAGCGAAAAAAGGGAGGATAAAATAAAAAGCTGTATTAGTAAATAGATAAAAGAAAGAAGCTATATTAAAAATAGAATCGCTTAGATGTTATAAAAACACAGTACGACGTAATCATGGAACTAGTTGTTTGTTTCTTTACTCGTGACAAGTGTCCATCTTCTTCTTGTGTGTTCTTAATACAGTTTATGGTGGAAGATTTTAAGTCCAACTTCGTGAATAAACTGGACTGTGGTCTCCATATCTGCAGGTCCCCCATATAGTTCTTCCCTGAGTGGGGTGTATAGGGGCCTGTGTTTGGATCGTGCCTGGATATATAAGGAGCAGTCCTTAAGGACGTTCTGTATTATCCGGGGCCATGCAACATGGGCAAGTTTCGCCATACCAAATTTTTAGTTTTTTTTTTTTTTTTTTTTTTTTTTACACATGTGCTGTTTTAGTCTGTTGTGGCCTTTTCTGAGTCTGAAGATAACATGTTATTTTTGCGTGTTAATTTGTAAATTACGTCGAATTTTGTGTAATTTGGGTAGGCCTTTGGAGATATTTTTTTAAACTGGGGTTTTGATAGTTTTTATATCCTAGTTACGTCACTTCTTCATACCTAATCACTTCATATCCTTATTCCTTGCCTTGCAACTTTACTATTCGTAATCACATTAGATCACATTTTTATCCCTAGCCATGCCACTTCATTATCCATAATCACGTCAGATCACATCCTTAGCCCTAATCACTTCATAGCCTTATTCCTAACCACGTCACATCCTTATCCCTAGGCATGTCGCTTCACTATCCAAATCACGTCACTTTCGTATGCCTTTGCCTTTCTTTAAATTTAAAACTTTTCACAACGATCTTTTAAAAAAAACTTTTAAAATTGAATTTGACAGACGCTAGCAAAAAGCCACTCGACAGCCCGGTTGCCGGCTAGACGGACCAAATGCCGGCTAGACAGCCGTAAATGCCGGCTGGTTTCCTCACTCGACTTTAACAAAGTGGCTAATAAATTGACGTTACCCAATGGGACGGCAGTGCTGGGGTCACGTGACCTCGTCACCCTGGACAGCCGTTATTTCTAGAGAGCACAGAAGATGCCAAGTTCATTAGATGTCCCTTGGTCTACAGCACTTTGTTTTAGGTGGTGGATTTATCTAGCACTTTGTTTTTACTGATAGATTTCTCCAGCACTTGGTTTAAGCTGGTGGATTTATCCAGCACTTGGTTTTAGCTGGTGGATTTATCCAGCACTTGGTTTAAGCTGATGGATTTATCCAGTACTTTGTTTTAGGTGATGGATTTATCCAGCACTTTGTTTTAGGTGGTGGATTTCTCCAGCACTTTGTTTTAGGTGGTGGATTTATCCAGCACTTTAAGTTGGTGGATTTCTCCAGCACTTTGTTTTAGCTGATGGATTTCTCCAGCACTTTGTTTTAGGTGGTGGATTTATCCAGCACTTTAAGTTGGTGGATTTCTCCAGCACTTTGTTTTAGCTGATGGATTTCTCCAGCACTTTGTTTTAGCTGATGGATTTCTCCAGCACTTTGTTTTAGGTGGTGGATTTATCCAGCACTTTGTTTTAGGTGGTGGATTTCTCCAGCACTTTGTTTTAGCTGATGGATTTCTCCAGCACTTTGTTTTAGGTGGTGGATTTATCCAGCACTTTGTTTTAGGTGATGGATTTCTCCAGCACTTTGTTTTAGGTGGTGGATTTCTCCAGCACTTTGTTTTAGGTGGTGGATTTATCCAGCACTTTGTTTTAGGTGGTGGATTTATCCAGCACTTTGTTTTAGGTGGTGGATTTCTCCAGCACTTTGTTTTAGGTGGTGGATTTCTCCAGCACTTTGTTTTAGGTGGTGGATTTATCCAGCACTTTGTTTTAGGTGGTGGATTTCTCCAGCACTTTGTTTTAGGTGGTGGATTTCTCCAGCACTTTGTTTTAGGTGATGGATTTATCCAGCACTTTAAGTTGGTGGATTTATCCAGCACTTTGTTTTAGGTGGTGGATTTCTCCAGCACTTTGTTTTAGGTGGTGGATTTATCCAGCACTTTGTTTTAGGTGGTGGATTTATCCAGCACTTTAAGTTGGTGGATTTATCCAGCACTTTGTTTTAGCTGATGGATTTATCCAGCACTTTAAGTTGGTGGATTTATCCAGCACTTTGTTTTAGCTGATGGATTTATCCAGCACTTTAAGTTGGTGGATTTATCCAGCACTTTGTTTTAGCTGGTGGATTTATCCAGCACTTTAAGTTGGTGGATTTATCCAGCACTTTGTTTTAGCTGATGGATTTATCCAGCACTTTAAGTTGGTGGATTTATCCAGCACTTGGTTTTAAATTAAAATATATTTACACATACACACACATACATACATATTATATATATATATATATATATATATATATATATATATATATATATATATATATATATATATATATATATATATATAAACACATGCACACACGAACAGGAACACAAGATTAAGCAATATACTTGATTACATTTGTAATTGGACGCCATTATTACACCTAGACCGTGAGTGTAATTAGCATGAGCTAAAGTAAAACTAATTAACTTGTAAAAGATTGTTCCGCCCCGTCTGACCACTGGTCGCTTCTAGACAGAGCTGACCGTCTGGCAGGAAGGATGATTAAATGTGGTCAGTTCAGGGGCAGGGCTGGTGGGCTGGGATGGACTGGACTGTTCGCTAAGTTAGGAACTCTCATAGCGTTAAATTCATGTGGGTCTAAGTTTGAGGTTGTTACACTCTCTAGTATCATTAGAGTGTGGTCAAATTTTGTTACAGTGTGGTCAAATTTTGTTACAGTGTGGTCAAGTTTTGTTACAGTGTGGTCAAGTTTTGTTACAGTGTGGTCAAGTTTTGTTACAGTGTGGTCAAGTTTTGTTACAGTGTGGTCAAGTTTTGTAACAGTGTGGTCAAGTTTTGTTACAGTGTGGTAAAGTTTTTTTTACAGTGTGGTCAAGTTTTGTAACAGTGTGATCAAGTTTTGTTACATTGTGGTCAAGTTTTGTTACAGTGTGGTCAAATTTTGTTACAGTGTGGTCAAGTTTTGTAACAGTGTGGTCAAGTTTTGTTACATTGTGGTCAAGTTTTGTTACAGTGTGGTCAAGTTTTGTTTCAGTGTGGTCAAGTTTTGTAACAGTGTGGTCAAGTTTTGTTACAGTGTGGTCAAGTTGTGTTACAGTGTGGTCAAGTTTTGTTACATTGTGGTCAAGTTTTGTTACAGTGTGGTCAAGTTTTGTTACAGTGTGGTCAATTTTTATTACAGTGTGGTCAAGTTTTGTAACAGTGTGGTCAAGTTTTGTTACAGTGTGGTCAAGTTTTGTTATAGTGTGTGATTAAGTTTTGTTACAGTGTGGTCAAGTTTTGTTACAGTGTGGTCAAGTTTTGTAACAGTGTGGTCAAGTTTTGTTACAGTGTGGTCAAGTTTTGTAACAGTGTGGTCAAGTTTTGTTACAGTGTGGTCAAGTTTTGTTACAGTGTGGTCAAGTTTTGTTACAGTGTGATCAAGTTTTGTTATAGTGTGTCATCAAGTTTTGTTACAGTGTGGTCAAGTTTTGTTACAATGTGGTCAAGTTTTGTTAGTGTGGTCTGGTTTTGTTACAGTGTGGTCAGGTTTTGTTACAGTGTGGTCAGGTTTTGTTACAGTGTGGTCAAGTATTGTTACAGTGTGTGGTCAAGTTTTGTTACGATGTGTGGTCAAGTATTGTTACAGCGTGGTCAAGTTTTGTAACAGTGTGGTCAAGTTTTGTTACAATGTGTGGTCAAGTTGGTTACATTATGATCAAGTTTTGTTACACCGTGGTATATTTTGTTACAGTGTAGTCTAGTTGTGTATGGTCGATTAGCAATGTTTTCAATACACATTTTATTTACATGTACCAATCCACTGAAGCGACAGACTGGGTGTTAGACTTCAAAGCCCGAGACAGCCCAACAAGGACGGGTATTCTGCTTCCATTTCTTGCCACAACCACAACCACACCGACAAGGACGGGTAAAACGACTAGTATTCAGGTTCCGTCTCTAGCCACAACCACACCGACAAGGACGGGTAAAACGACTAGTATTCAGGTTCCGTCTCTAGCCACAACCACACCGACAAGGACGGGTAAAACGACTAGTATTCAGGCTCCGTCTCTAGCCACAACCACAACCACACCGACAAGGACGGGTAAAACGACTAGTATTCAGGCTCCGTCTCTAGCCACAACCACAGCCACATCGACAAGGGCGGGTAAAACGACTAGTATTCAGGCTCCGTCTCTAGCCACAACCACAGCCACATCGACAAGGGCGGGTAAAACGACTAGTATTCAGGCTCCGTCTCTAGCCACAACCACACCGACAAGGGCGGGTAAAACGACTAGTATTCAGGCTCCGTCTCTAGCCACAACCACACCGACAAGGGCGGGTAAAACGACTAGTATTCAGGCTCCGTCTCTAGCCACAACCACACCCACAAGGGCGGGTAAAACGACTAGTATTCAGGCTCCGTCTCTAGCCACAACCACAGCCACATCGACAAGGGCGGATAAAACGACTAGTATTCAGGTTCCGTCTCTAGCCACAACCACACCCACAAGGGCGGGTAAAACGACTAGTATTCAGGTTCCGTCTCTAGCCACAACCACACCCACAAGGGCGGGTAAAACGACTAGTATTCAGGCTCCGTCTCTAGCCACAGCCACAACCACACCGACAAGGACGGGTAAAACGACTAGTATTCAGGTTCCGTCTCTAGCCACAACCACAGCCACAACCACAAGGGCGGGTAAAACGACTAGTATTCAGGCTCCGTCTCTAGCCACAACCACACCCACAAGGGCGGGTAAAACGACTAGTATTCAGGCTCCGTCTCTAGCCACAACCACACAAAGGCCAACATGGCTGGCTTAGCTGTAGGAAAGTGTACGATGTAACAGTGTGTAATAAAAATCAGATCGAATTCACCAAATCGATCTCGTCCAATGCTACTACAAAAAGCCAAGGCAGTAAACTCTAGCTACCCCTCACACACACCCACACACACACACACATTCGACAGGAATTGGTGTGGTGTTTTAGGGTTCTGGTGAGGTAATAATTTTAAATTTAATCGGGCCTGTGTGTGGGGTGTACGGACAGGGGAGAGAGTTTAGTTTGCAGTAAATAATCCAGACGTATAGAATTCCATAGAAAGTGGAAGTAGAGTTATCTCTCTTACAGTGGATCAGCTGATAGAAAATAGTTTG